CGAGGCGCTCCTTATTTCTGGATTCTCTTGCTCCCGATAGTTGCTATCGAAGCCGGCTACGGATACAGCCGTTTGACTGAGCCGGGTGGGCGATAGGATCAAAGGCAAGGTAATCTTTCGGAACGCAGACGCGCTACACGCGAATTCGTGACCAAGACGCGATGGGTGTCGCTGTTTTGTCCCACTTCTTGTCACGACACTGCGGTATCCAAGGACATCGCAGCCATGCGAACCTTGTTCTGACGGCAGAGAAGATTGACGACGCTCCGATTGTGGTTTGACGGGAGCAGCCGTATAGGTGGTTGGATGATGACCAAGCGCACTAAGCCTAAGGCAGCGAAAGCCGCGGAGTTTAGGTGACGCAGATGAGGTGGATGACAAAAGGGCCCCGATGTCGCGGGGCAGCAACGGGAAGATTACCCCACTTTCGATTCTCGTGGGTGATGCATGCAGTTGCGTGTGGCTTGCATCATGTCACGTACAAACCTCACATCACTTGTTGCTCACTCTGAGGTGTCTTCTGGCGTCTGCCGATGCTCTTATCCTCCTGAAGCTCTGCCATAGCACCTTGAGCGTCACCAGCCCCCATCAACATGGCGACTCCAAAGATTAGCGAGCGGGGCATCCGCATCGCAATTGATGTATGCTACCAAAACACACACGCATGGCGATAGCTGACAGTGCAGCGTGGGGGTACTTTCACCGACTGCGTAGGCAATCCTGGCACCGGCAAGATGGAGGACGACATCCTCATCAAGCTGCTCTCCGTCGACCCCTCCAACTACGATGACGCGCCGCTCGAAGGCATCCGCCGCCTCCTCTCCAAGTTCACTGGAACCGAGATCCCCCGTGGACAGCCGCTCGACACGTCCAAGATCGAGAGCATACGCATGGGCACCACGGTCGCGACTAACGCGCTTCTAGAGAGAAAGGGCGAAGACATTGCCATGGTCGTCACAAAGGGCTTCAAGGATTGTCTTGAGATTGGAAACCAGAGTCGGCCCAACATCTTCGCGCTCGACATCCGGAAGCCTGAGGTGCTGTACAAGAAGGTTGTCGAGATCGATGAGCGCGTCACATTGGAAGACTACGCCGAAGATCCAGAAAGGAACCAAACACAGGCCAAGAGCATAGAAGAGGCTGGCGACAAGGCTGACTTGGTCAAGGGCTTGTCTGGTGAGACGGTGCGCATCCTACAACGGCCCCAGGAAGAGGCGATAAGAAGGCAGTTGCAGGAGGTCTACGACGGTGGACTGAAGAGCATTGCGGTATGTTTGATGCATGGATACACATACCCAAAGCACGAGGCGTTGGTGGGAAAGATCGCGAAGGAGATTGGCTTTGAGCATGTCAGTCTGAGTCACGAGCTCATGCCTATGATTAAGCTGGTCCCACGAGCCACTTCGGCCTGCGCTGACGCATATCTCACGCCCGCGATACGGAAGTACATCGATGGCTTTTCCAAAGGCTTCGAGGGCGGCCTTGGTACCAAGAGCGTGAAACGCGAGGAGGGGTCAAGAGGCGCACGCTGCGAGTTTATGCAGTCAGACGGAGGCCTGGTCGACGTCGATATCTTCTCAGGCCTGAAAGCTATCCTTTCTGGTCCTGCCGGAGGTGTCGTTGGTTATGCGCTCACATCGTACGATCCCAAAACCAGGATTCCTGTCATTGGATTCGATATGGGCGGCACTAGTACCGACGTGAGCAGATACGGCGCTGGACGCTACGATCATGTCTTCGAAACTACGACGGCCGGTGTTACCATCCAATCACCACAACTCGATATTAATACTGTGGCTGCTGGTGGTGGATCGCGCCTCTTCTGGAGGAATGGACTTTTTGTTGTGGGCCCAGAGTCTGCGAGCGCACATCCAGGTCCAGCTTGTTATCGCAAGGGTGGTCCGTTGACAATCACAGACGCGAATCTGTTCCTTGGGCGCTTATTACCAGACTTCTTTCCTAAGATTTTTGGTAGGAACGAAGACGAGGGGCTCGATGCGCAGGCGAGCGAGAAGTTGTTCAAGGAGCTGGCGGAGCAGATCAATAAAGAGGTCGCAGGCGGCAACAAGGAGAAAGAAATGTCGCTGGACGATATCGCGAACGGTTTCATCAAGATTGCGAATGAAACCATGACACGACCCATCCGCAGTCTGACCGAAGCCCGTGGACATGATACAAGCAAGCACCGGCTCGCGACGTTTGGTGGTGCCGGTGGTCAGCATGCGGTGGCCATCGCCGAAGCTCTTGGCATCTCGCAGATTCTGATCCATCGTTACTCGTCGGTTCTTTCTGCATATGGTATGGCGCTTGCCGACGTTGTTGATGAGAGGCAAGAACCAGAGTCTACCGTATGGTCGGACAAGAAGGAAACAAGAGAGTACTTGCAGAACAAGATGGCGGATCTAAAGAGCAAGTCGACGAGTACGCTCAGAGATCAGGGCTTTGATGAGGACCACGTCCACTTCGAGGAGTACCTCAATCTAAGATATCGAGGAACAGAATCCGCCCTCATGATTATCAAGCCGACTAAGGAGGAGGCACAACAAGAATACGATGGAGATGAATGGGCGTTTGGCAAGGCTTTCGTCAAGCAGCATGAACAAGAATTTGGCTTCACTTTACCTGATCGCGATATCATTGTAGATGATGTGCGAGCTCGTGGCATCGGCAAGACATTTGAAGGTCTCGAGAAGAGCGTAGATCAGCAACTCAAAGAGATCAAACCAAAGGATATATCAGGCGACACGAAGCGCTACGACACTCGCAAGGTATTCTTCGAGGGTGGTCGACAAGACACTTCAGTCTACAAGCTCGAGGATTTGGAAGTTGGTGATCGATTGAAGGGGCCAGCAATTATCGCGGATGGCACGCAGACTATTGTTGTGACACCTGGCGCTACTGCGCTTGTCATCAATACCCACGTGGTGATAAACATTGGTGAGACGGAAGACCAAGAGAAGGAGGTTGGTACGAAAGAGGTCGACCCAATCCTGCTCAGCATCTTTGCGCATCGATTCATGGCCATTGCTGAGCAGATGGGCCGCGCACTCCAGAAAACTAGTGTTTCCACCAACGTCAAGGAACGGCTGGATTATTCCTGCGCGCTGTTTGATGAGAATGGTGGACTTGTCGCCAACGGTACGTCGATTGCTAAAGTGACTGAACTCGGCTAATGGCAGTGAAGCCCCTCATCTACCGGTACATCTCGGTAGCATGTCAACCTGTGTTCGCAAACAAGCCGCCATATGGAAGGGCAAGCTCAAGAAGGGTGACGTCCTCGTTTCGAACCACCCCATGTTCGGCGGCACTCACCTGCCAGATATCACTGTAATCACGCCCGCCTTTAGTGGTGACAATATCATCTTCTACGTTGCTTCACGCGCGCATCATGCCGATATTGGAGGCATACTCCCCGGCTCTATGCCTCCTGCATCAAAAGAGCTTTACCAAGAAGGTGCGGCTATCAAATCTGAGAAACTAGTATCCGAAGGGCACTTCAACGAGAAGCGCATCACCGAGCTTCTTCTGGACGAACCAGGCCAGTATCCTGGTTGCTCCGGTACACGATGCCTTAGTGACAACATCAACGATCTGAAGGCACAAGTTGCCGCCAATCAAAAAGGTATCAACCTGATCAGCACACTAATGTCGGACTATGGCGAGCGAGTCGTCAAGTTCTACATGACCAACATCCAAGCCAACGCAGAGCAATCTGTTCGTGCTCTACTCAAAGACGTCTACAAGCGTTTTGAAGGCCAAGATCTTAGCGCAGAGGATTTCATGGATGATGGAAGCCCTATCCGGCTCAAGGTATCGATCGATCCCGAGAAGGGTGAGGCTGTATTCGACTTTTCCGGTACAGGCCCTGAAGTCTACGGAAACATCAATGCGCCAGAAGCCGTTACCTACTCTGCTATCATCTACTGTCTGCGCTGCCTTATCAGCGAGGACATCCCGTTGAACCAAGGTTGCCTCAAACCGATCCATGTCCTCATTCCCAAGAAGTCCTTCCTCTCACCATCCGACAACGCGGCTGTTGTGGGCGGCAACGTTTTGACAAGTCAACGTGTTACCGACGTAGTTCTTAAGGCGTTCAAGGCCTGCGCTGCGAGTCAGGGTGATTGCAACAACCTCACTTTTGGCTTTGGCGGCACAACATATGGAGAAGGTGATAAGAGCGGCGAACGCAAAGAGACGAAAGGTTTCGGGTACTATGAAACAATTGCAGGAGGATCTGGCGCTGGCTCAACATGGAATGGCACGAACGGTGTGCATACACATATGACCAACACCCGCATCACCGACTCTGAGGTCTTCGAGCGAAGGTATCCTGTTCTGCTCCGTGAGTTCTCGCTACGACAAGATAGTGCCGGTAAGGGCATGCACGTTGGTGGCGAGGGTGTGATTCGCGACATCGAGTTCCGCATCCCCGTCCAAGTCAGCATTCTTAGCGAGCGAAGAGTATATCATCCGTACGGCATGGAAGGAGGAGGCGATGCAGCATGCGGCTTGAACATCTGGGTCAAGAAAGTAGACAAGAAGGCTATTGATCAGAACTCGGATTCCAAGCGCCCCACAGAACCTCTGGACACTACACACGCGCCTAGGACATCTGATGCAGTAGAAGCGGCCCAGAAGAAAGACGCTGCAAGAGCGAAAGAAGATGTGGAGTACAGATATATCAACATGGGTGCTAAGAATACGGCAGCTATGCGGCCGGGTGAGAGGATCATCATTCATACGCCTGGCGGCGGTGGCTGGGGTAAGGAAGGTGAGGAAAGTAGGGTGCAGAACAAGGTCGATCCAAGGGGAAGCTGGAAGGGTGGAAGTATAGCCGAAAGGCAGAGCACTGCAGAGGCCAGTGCGTAGACACTGCTTCGTGTATAGTATGAGCAACGTGGACAGCGAATCTCATCCAAAGAGCTGATGCTTTCTTGAAGATATGTAAATCATGTCCATGGTTGTCTAGGGCTTTCTGAAACCAAGACAATTCGTGCATCCTACTCGCTTCCAGAAATTATACCATCTTCCTCTCTCGCTTTGGCAAATTCAGCGCTCTCATAGAACTCGTTCATCTCGTTCCAACCCTTCTCCCATTCCTGTTTCATCCATCCCTCCTTCGCAACCCAGAGCTTCTCGTGGACAACCTTCAGTCTTCCATCGCCCTCGTCCTCCATGGGAAAGAATCCACCCCATTGTCTATCCAACTTCGTCACTGGATATGCACTCTCCGGACCAAACTGCCAGTTCAAAAACGCCTGCTCAGCCATTACGCAATCGTAGTTGTCGGTCTTGACATAGTTCTGCACAAGTCGTGCATGCATGCGCAACGAGGGAGTGAAGACCATCGACCCGACGTTGACGTTGGGATATGTCGCATTGAAGATATCTTGCGCGACACCAGCGAAGACGTAAGACTCGCAAACTGGCCCGTCGGATAGAAAGTCATCAAGATGCAGTTTCTCCGGTATGCAATCTTGCTTAGGAGCGAGGTCGAACATCTCATCAATATTCGCCAATGGAAACGCATCGGCATCCAAGAACAGGATGCGCTCAAACTCAGTCTCTTTCCACATATTGAGCTTGGCAAAGAGATCTTTCCATCGGTCTTGCACGCCAGAGACGTTGCATTCCCATTGAAGAGGTGAGAGCTCGCGTACTAGTGCACCGGCTCCTCTAAGGAGCGCACGCTGCTCGTCTGTTACATATTCGGCCACATAAACGATGAGCGGGTATTTTTGGCTACGTGTTTGGGAAGACCAGAGTATCCGATAGATGAGCGAATGAATAGCGAGAAAGTAGGGATCTTTAAGAGAGGGGTTACGAGTAGCAAGAAATGTTGCATACGCATAGCTTCCAGAGGAGCCGGCGTCGTAACCGTGAGGCTTTTGTGTCGAGTACCGTTGAAGCACGGTGGTAGGTAAGTCAAGCTGTAAGTCGTTTTGGAAAGGATATTTCGTCTCGGCTCCGCTGTCTATTCTTGATGACGGCAGGACTTCCTCGAAGGAAGGTCTCGACTGGAGGTCTAGACTAGGCTCTTCAATAGCGGAAGCGGCGATTTCCTCTAGTGGCGACCTGACATCTTCTGGTATTGCTTGGCTTGATATTTTATCCTTCAGGATAGAGAAGTCATCGTTTTGGTGGGAGGAGGTGAGCCTGTCAGACGGCAGTATCTCAATTCCGCTGATGTGTGCACCCCCTGGTGTGGTTTCAAATTCGTGTCGGTGTTGTGCAACCAGGTAAACTGTTCCGAGACAAGCAAGTGTTGCTAAAGTAATATTATGTCGGCGTCGCATGATGTGTACGGAGACACAACGCACATTTGGCGACAAACCTTTAGTCAATCCTTGAAGGGGCGGATATCACATGCACCCACAGTCGAAATGCTCGGGCACACACCTACGTCATAATTGAGCCGACGACGGGACAGAGAGGAGGTGCTACTTGAATAATGGTAACAAAGCCGATGACCTGATCATCGCCTCAACACTGATGAGAGCAAGGCTTCAGATAGTACGCGGCGTTGTCGCCAATTTCGGGTGCTGCCGCTAACAACGATCTGCAGGCGCGCAATTTAAAGACGGAGAACACGATAAGGCAGCTGCGCTGCCGATCATGAACGAGAAACACTAAACTACAACGTTAAAACCCTAGGTAAGTTCCCTATTCTATTCTGTTTCCCTGCTGACTCTAAAGCAATGGAATCTGCTCTAATCCCCGTCCCTATCCCTAATAGCATGCCTGACATGCCTGCGCTCTCGGAACTTGAGGAGGTGGCCACACTAATTAAGAAACCTGATATCCTGATTCTAAAACTCTCCTAAGCCGTCCAATCCAAAGCTCGCTATAAAGCTGTGCTCAGCGAGTCTGACGCAGGCGCGCAAAGACCGACGTTCAATGCCCAGGCGCCCAGAGATTACCCCATGGGGTGCGGTGTCGGAGCAAGCTCCAATTCGGAACAACCAATAGATGTTATGCCTCCATGATAATGCACCTTACCCCGTCCGCACCTGCAGTAGTGTTGTGACGGGAATTCCCTGAGCGGGTAAAATCACATGAAGCCGAGTAAGAGATGAGCACGCAAGCGTGCATGTGGTCCAATGCAAGGCGATGACGCAGAGAAAAAACTCCAACGCAAGACTGATTAAATTTCTAACGTACAGAGTAGCTGCGCTGGTGCTTCGGCGGGGTTATTTGTGGCCGGACCGTACACTTGTAAAGCCAATTGGCTAATGTGACGCTGGGCTCATCGACTAGTTTCGTAACAACCTCGGCAGCGTAGAGTGTAAGGGGAAGAATGATCAGCTGTGGTAGCCAGAATGCAACCTCGAGACCCATAGGCCCTTTCTTGGGGAGCGGAAACTTGTCGACCCATCCTGGTATACCGTCCTTGTGAAATGGCCTTGAGAGCCCAACCGCGGCGTAAAGTCGGTCTCCCAGGGTCCATATTACAAGCCCGTGGACTAGGTATAGCGCAAACGAGATGCGCGCAAGGTACTGGCAGAAACCAGTCTCGAAGAAGCGCTTGAGCCATGGCAGGCGTGGGATTGAGGCTACTGCGAAGAATGCAGCCCAGAAGAGGTAGAACCACTTTGCGTCGAAGACAGCTTGGGGCTTGAGATGTGACAGCCAGACCCATCCAGGCGACCTGGAGATGAGAACGGTGCGATCGATTTCTGGCGCATCGAATGCCGGCACTCCGCCGAGGTAAAGTGCGGCAATGAACAAGTGGAAGAATATGAGCTCCTTGAATCCGGCCAGCGCACTAAGAAAGCGCGGGAGTTCGTCCCGCTGGGCCAGTAATTCAAGGTCACACAGCAATAACCCGGACATGAACAATGCTGCGTAGAAGCCGTCTACCACATAGAGAAAGTATGTGATCAAAGCCACCTCGCACCATAAACGAGCGTTTCGTGTGCACCGCGAAAGTGCAGAAAGTGTAGTGTAGATGACAATGGATCCTTTGAATTCGATAGGTATTGACCAGGTATGGGGATGATACGCTTCCGTGAACTCATAGATGTTTGTAGAGAATACGAAGCTGTAGTTTTTGAAGGTTTGGTACCAGTCAATGACGTCTTCGCGGAATGTGGATTTCATCTCGTGCATGTCAAGCGAGAGTTTACTCCAGTGTCGGAACGACGTCCAGGCAAACGTGACAATGATGACAGGAATGTAAAGTCGAAGCCAGCGACGGAAGAGAGCGGAGCCAACCGTTTCTGATGCGCTTGATGGTTTTCCCTCTTGTATGAGTCTCAGGCTTTTGAGCGAGAGGACATATCCTGAAATGACGAAGAAGATGGCGACGGCGAAATGGCCACCAGAGAAGAAGAGTCGTACGAAAGGGAAAGCTGCGGAGTAGTATCTTCCCTCGTAGCCGAACGAGTTTTCGAAGACCAGATTCCCTTTGCCACCGTGGGACCACAGTTGATTGTGATGCAGATATACCAAGAACGCTGCAAATCCCCTTAGACCGTCTAACCACGCTGTCGGTCTGGTGGAGCTGCTCTTGGTGTTTGAGCGTAAGTTCAAGAATTCCGGGCGCACGATGTTAAGACTCCATCTTGCTGTTCGGACTGGTTTCCATATCGTTGGTGACAATTTGACGTCGTCGAGGCGGCCATGATCCAAGAGTCCCCCATTTGTGGTTGGCATGGCTAATATTGAAGATGTAGCAGTGATCGTAACGAATTTGACCCCGACTGGATAGGGTAGTGAGGGTCTGAGGACGCAAAATGATAGCGGTTACCGCGGGGGTCGTGCTAGGCCCAAGGAAACACAATTTTCTCAAAATGATCGTACACGTAGCTGATCTCAACCGAGGCAGCCCATGTGCAGAGCTTTTCAGATGCAACAGAGCACTCATCCAGACCGAACGGCCCATGCAGGCGGGGTACGGTGTTGGTGATTCTGATAGCATACCGCGGGAACTTCCGACAATGGGCTAGATTGACCCGCAACAGCGCTCATCAGTTACGGTTTGGTAAATAGTCCTATTGGGTCGTCCCTGACAGATGATAACTGGTGCGGGGCTTTGAGTGGGAATGGTGCCGCTTATGTCGAAACCGCCGACTAACTTGCAGGGATCGTGTAGAGAAGCTTTAGCCTAGGCATCTTAACCTTACATCCTCGCCGCAACGATGCAGATGAGCTCTTAGCCATGCAACGCACATGCGCTATCGAGCTTCCGCCACGAGGCAGGCCCTGTCTCAAATATTTGTACCGACGTACCGAGGATGATAGTTGAACGGGGATTGGTGGGCGCAATGGCCGCTTGTGAAGATGACAGGAGGCTCTTGGAAGAGTCAAGACGAGCTAATCCCTCATAGACTTCGAGAGGGTCGGGTGGCCGTAGTGGCCTGGGTCGTTGTAATAACCCAGCATGCGCACACGACCTAGGCAACCTCCGCCCAAGCTTCACCTTGATACCGCAATGCCTCCCCATTCCCCAATTGCATCGCATTTCTCAGGCAAGCTCACAAGTCAAGTTCGAAGGGTCTTGCCTGCGTATCTCGCCCTTCTCTTCATATTCTTGTTCTTCGCCAATACGCACTTTTTTACTACACCCATCCGGGCTGCTTCAAAGTACAGACGCGAGCTCAAGTACCAGCAACCGCTGCAATTGAACGGTGCAGTGATTCCTAGGAAGATCTGGCAAACATGGAAGGTTGGTCCCCTAGGTTTCGAGAAGCGCGACTCCGACTCAGCAAGGACCTGGTAAGAAATCGCCTCTATGAACTGCATGTGAGACGTATATTGACTTCGTGCGCGCACCATTCAGGCCAGCAAAGAACCCTCAATATCGGTACGAGGTTTTGACCGACGACAACGCAGATGAGTACCTCGAATGGCACTACGGTGCACATGGTATCAACAGACCGGACCTTGTCGACCTCTACCGAGAGCTCAACATAACAATTATCAAGGCTGATTTGCTCCGCTACCTCGTCATGTACGCCGAGGGCGGCGTGTATGCCGACATAGACGTAGAATGCCTTCGTCCCATCAGCAGATTCATACCTGAGCGGTACAACGAGCAGGATGTCGACATGATAATCGGCGTGGAGATTGATGAGCCAACGTTCGCTGACCACGAAATTTTGGGATCAAAGTGTAAATCCTTTTGTCAGTGGACGTTCGCCGCCAAGCCAAGACTGCCTGTGATGATGAGGCTCATCGAGAACATACAAGTCTGGTTACACGAGCTGTCGCACGAAAAGGAGGTTGAGATCTCACAACTACACCTGGATTTTGACGAAGTCATTAGTGGGACGGGCCCTTCGGCATTTACCAAGGCTGTGCTGGAGCAGATGACAGCACAGAACCAAGGGAAGCCGGTTACCTGGGATCTTTTCCACAATTTGGCCGAGTCGAGGCTGGTCAACGGAATCCTAGTCCTGAACGTGGAAGCCTTTGCAGCGGGCCAAGGACACTCGGATTCCGGGAATCATGACTCAAGGGGTGCGTTGGTGAAGCATCACTATCATGCTTCGGGATGGCCAACGCTTCATCCGCGACGCAATCACCCCATGTACGGCGAGGTCGAACAGTGTAATTGGAAGCCAGAGTGTGTAGCAGAGTGGGTAAGTCAAACAGTAACCAAATTATAACTCCAAGATCTGTGCTGATATCGCGAAGGACAAGAACGTCGCTGAATGGGATACGTTGCCAAAGGAAGAGCAGGACAAGCGTATTGCCAGCAAGCTGCCACCACCCGGAGGCGCAAAACCTCACTAGGCTTACGTATTGTGTACGTACGCAGGCCGGTGTTCTGATAGGATGCATGCAAGCGTTCGCAGCGGGTCGACATGGGTGGAAAGGAGATATTGGGTTCTTGGCTATCGCGTGGCGGTTTCATCGTCGAAGGCGAGTTCCTGTTGAGTTTGAACACTCTTGTTGTATCTCTGCAAAGTCTTGCAGATGACAACTGTTGCAGCTACGGGCGTGGTCGATGGCATGGCGGTTGCGGAGCTGTTGCAGCATGCCGGCAGCTCGCGTCACGTCTCGAATTCGATCTTAGCGCATGACGCCATCGACCCATCCGTCTGTTGACCCCAGCAATCAACACATCACGACATGACTGGTTTTTGATAAAGACCTTATAATCCATTGCTGACTCTAGTCTTGACTGTTATTCATACACGTCCCTTGTTTACTACCCTTTACCTTCTCTCGCCTCAGAACCTACTACATAGAGTCTATTCGCGATTCGATCTCGTGCTAGACACAGAATTTCTGCCTCGAGAGTTCCTCAATATTGTACATCCCTGATCGCCTCTAGATATATGTTATTGAAGGTGGTACGAAAGCTAGCCTCGATGAAATTTGTGGTTTTGATGGGAGAAGCTGATTGCGAAAGCTTAGATGTAGGCATCCAGGGAAGAAAGCCTAGCCGGCCAAGCGCCGGAGACCAACGCTGTGTGGGACACGGTAGAGGACGCAACGTTGTCGCCTTGTCATATCCTGTTTCTTCGGGCCATCTCAGATGATACAGCGCTCACAACTTAGTAATCATTTATAACGCGTTATTCAGATTGTATGTTATCATACAGAAGAGACTGCGAGAAACTCAAGACGAACAACGAGTTCGGTCCACATGCTTGCTTCGGCAGCTAGCGTCTTTTAATCTATGCACGGACAATGTCGTTACATGTAATTTGGAGCCCCGACCTTGGAAAGCCGCCGGACTTCCCACTTTCCAACCACTCTGCCATCAAACTCTCTTTTTTGCATCGAGTCGCGTCAGTAATTCGGCTGTGTCATGATCCAACTTCTTCATGTTGGCAATGTGGCGGGGCAACTTAAATTTAGCTGGAACATCACGCCGATGTGGTGGCTTAGCGCAACCATGGCACGCCGCATTGCCGTTTGCTCACCATCTTGACAGCTTCCGCCGCTAATGCACTTCCCACATTACTTTCCGCAATTGCATCGTGTTCTATTGACTGCGAATTGAGGTCTACCACTCCTGGAAAGCTTGCGACGCCATGGATCATGTCAACGCATCCCTCGAGCTCATTCATCGTACGTATTTTGGTAGATAGTCGCTTGCAAAATCCGATGAAAACTCCGCTGCCCTCCGAGTTTGATGCACTTCATGACCCGGTACAAATCCTTGCTGGAACAGAAAGCTATTCTTTATCTGCGGAACTCAAACATTAGACAAAGAACATACGATCGCAAAATGGGATGCTAACACTGCCATAGTCATTTGCGCAACTCTGATCTTCATTCGCGATGTTACGAAAGACGCAAGCAGTGTACCACACACAACAAACTTCTTGAACGAAACACTCGTCTTCTTGGATGTCTTTTCGAACGTCTGTTTTAGTGAGCTGACCGGAATCTTGCGCGACAGTCGAGTCCATCGTACCTTAACGAGTGATGTAGAGTATTCTCTATACTCGCTAAATAAGTCGCTAGCTGCGCATCGAGAGGCATGGAGGTACATAGGCAAAAGCCCTATACCTGGAGCAGGTCAGAGAAGCATCGAAGATCTGAAGCGCGGTCGCGCCGCGTCGTTGGACGCTCAATATGAGCAGAGAGGCTGGAGAGAGGAGATGAAAGAGCGTTCGCAACTATGGCGCGAAAAGGCGCGACCTGGGCTGTACAAGGCGTTGTTCGGAGACGAGGAGATGGCCACGCTCACCTTAAACTGCTTGCAATGGACGCATCGGCTTCGACAAACTTTGGAAATCGTCTTCCTTGGTATCGGACGGCCAGATCCAGGGTTCGGTCGCACGAGACAAGCTGCCATCCTTGGTGTAGCAGAGCAACTCGAACGCCAGCACCGAGCGGGTGCAGAGCCTTCGAATGATTACAATGCGCTTGTTGGTGCACTGAGGGACCCGATAAGCACCGAACAACCGTCACACAGCCTCATCAAGACAATATATGACGATGGAGGTGAAGAGGTGGACGTGCTGGTTGAGCCTAGATCCGATAGCGAGACGCCCGCTGAATACATGTGCCATCTGACGTGGCTGTTACAGGCTCCTCATCAAACTGATGTATCGGTCAAGAGCGATGCCCAAGATGGCTATCAGCTGCACACCCTCAGCTGCATGGGTTTCATCGATGATCCACTGAATACGAGGAGTTTGATTGTCTACCGAGCACCACAAAGTCATCCTTGGGCATCGAATCCACCGTCTTTGCATGATATGATCTCGAAGGGTCCAACCGCAAGACCCTCGATAGGAAGCCGTTTCCTAATAGCGAGAGCGCTTACGAGCACACTACTTGAGTCGCACGCTTCTGGTTGGGTACACGGAAATGTACAGTCGCGTAGCATAGCTATGATGCCACGGTCCTTGAACGACCTCGAGTTGTCCCCCTTCTTCGTCGGTTGGGGCGTGCTCCAGCCTCTCGACGCTACGCACTTCGCATTAGAGCCGAATCTATACCGACATCATGACCGCTTCGGCCGACCCTCGTCTGAATATTCCAATGGACATGAGATCTACTCTCTTGGCGTGGTACTTCTCGAGCTTGGGTTATGGCGAACGATGGCGAAAGTCTTCGCCCGCCGTATAGAAAAGTTTCCCATCTTTGATATAGCGCAGCAGCAAGATCTTTTTAATCGTGTGCACAATGCAACACTAGATTGGGCGAACAGTATCGACATCGAGAGAGAGATGGGAAAGACCTACGCGCAGGTTGTACTCAAATGCCTCACTTGGCATTGTGATGACCCAACTGAAGGCATGGTTGAGTTTCGGAAACAGGTTGTCGATGTGTTGACTACTGGATGTGGACTGTAGCGATGCATTTCGCACATTCACGAATACTCAGTCTATATGTTGCCCGTTTCATTCTTCGCGGGAGAAGATGCTTAGACACAGCAGAGGCGAGAGTGGACGCGCCAATGAGACAACGTGTATTTGCTGGAGCAAACCATACTCGTGGCGTCAAAGAAGAAGACGAACAAAAAGAGCGACAAGCCTAACGCTACGCAAACCTTCTGATAGAAGGCGACGTCTCACGCGATGTATGTTACCAATCTTTTTTCACAATTCGATACGTCGGTGCATCTTCGCGCCATTATATATGTGACATTACTCTATGACGGGCGCAGCATTCAGCCTACTCATCTAGTGGAGCTCTATATGTCAACTCCCAAGAAGCGCTGTGACCAATTTACGCTAGTGGTTCTCACTGCAGCCTTTCGGGAAAGAAATGAGGATAGGTAAATTATGTCAGAACTCCCCCTTTGGGAGCTGCACGTGAGCAGAGATGCTACCAGTATAAGTCGACCGATGACTAGCCCAACTCCGCGCACACCACAGGCACGACGGCCACTCTCCACCACGATCTCCACCAACACCCAACACCTTCCCAAGCTTGCCAGCTCGACCGCTCGACCGCCCAACACTCTACAGCATTGCCTCATAGCATATGTCGTTCTCGAATACCCATTTGCCAGACTGGGCCATCCCAGCCGACCCAATGGACCTCGCCTGCATCGCACAAGTCAGATATCATTCGGCGATGGAATTGGATGGCGACTACCAGCCGGAAGATCTACAACAGATTGCGGAGGATGTGGCTGTGGATCTTCGCCGAAGGTGGGATGAGGTCCTTCAGCGGAGTCGAGATACCGCTGAAGACGAGGATTTACGGCGTTTTGCGAATGCTGAAGTCGAACGTCAGCGCGCAAAAGAAGATGAGGAGACTCACCTTGCACTTTCCATCAGCCAAGCAGAGTCAAATCAAGCAGAAGAGGCAGAATTCCAGACGGCAAAGTTGGAGTCTCGCGTGGACGAACGTGCCCGAGCTGAACGAGCCGAGCGCGAACAGTTGGAGCAGGCCGTTCTAGATAGCCTGGTGACAGCTACGCTTCTTGAGCAAGAGCAAAAGGAGGCTATCGACAAGGCCATCGTTGAAAGCGAATCGACCGTGAAGCGTGAGCAGAAACGAAAGGTCGAAGAGCTTACCTGTCGCCTGGCAAAGTATACTATCAACGACTTGACCGAAGAGGAGCATATGCGGCTTGGTATACTTCTAAGTCAGAAAAAGGAGCTTCGAAACAGTGACGCTGCTGTTCTTCCGGCCACCCTTGCTGTAGACGGCGGCAGATCCAGTGTAAAATCTCCGCATCCAGCAACTGCGGGTACTTTATCTTCGCTTCCAATCAGGATCGGTCCCTCTGTTCTATCAGTGCCTTCATCAGGTTCACCATTGTACGGTACGGAAGCAGAGAACCCTGCACGGAGAGTGGAATTACCCAAAGTATCTCGCAGTACCCCGAGCGATTCGCGAATCAGCGAAAACCACTTGGTATACCCAGGCGCATTCCCAGTATCGCCTTCTCAGACAAGCTCGGCAGCACGTGGTGCGGTGGGTAGACCGATATCAAACTGTAGTACCCCATTGTTACCGGATGCATATGCTTCGTCTTATGCGGGCAGTACAGCACCTCATATTGAGGCAGGATCGCTTCCTGGTATGCTATTTGGGAAGAGAATGATCATAAGACGCCCTTTAAGCACCGGAAGATCCAGCGAGCGACTCTCTGGCACATATCCACCACCATCACAAGCGAACGACAGTCCGAATCGATCGGCTACAGTGTCTACTGGAGACACGTTCATCACAGCTCGGGAATCGCTGTCGCCCCAACTCCTTGCACAACCGCAGAGTGCTCTATCGAACTCCTGGCGAAATGAGTATCATGACAGTCAACAGCGAGAAGCCCAAGAATCTCGATCATCCACGCCCTTCTCGCTCTATTCACTGCCGAGCAGAGCATCGTCTGTTGGTCGGCCGCCCTCTTCTCAAACATTGCGTGAGAGCGTTGCGCGGAAGCCTGTTGCAAATTGTCGGCCTCTGGCCCCCGTTGCTTCTGTAAGTCGACCACCAGAAATCGCTCCCGATGCGGTATTATCGCCAGCCGTAGCTTCGTCGTATTCACAGCAGCTCTCGATACATTATCATATCAATGGTAATGGTCCTGTGACTATCAACAACTACAAAGTTCCGGAAAATACCACGTCATCTTTGTCCCTAGCTCAGCATGTGCCAACTAGAGATGGCGGAAACATTGCCAATGGTATGAAAGAGGCAAGAATCGGCTTCAAAACCATAGCAGAAGTCAAGAGTGCGGCGAAGAATCTGGCGAGGAGTGCAACCCAAAGTGAACTGTGTCTCGAGGGGGGGAGCGGGCAGCGATCTTGAGGAGGATAGGAAAGAGATTCAAGGTCGACTCTCCAAGGATTGCGTACGCTGCAGTCAACGAGATTGGCGATTTTGAACAAGCCTCTGTTCCCGAAGTCCAGAATGACGTTGGCAGCATCGCTCCGTTGCCGCAAACACAAAAATGGTTTGTCACAAACCCTGACATAAGTTGCTCGAATCTGAACACGCCCGAGGCCGGAGGATCTCCAAGTTCAGAACACCCAATGTCGCAGACTATTGGCGGTATTGCACCTAGAATGCCCTTGTTACAGCAATCGACAGCGTCATCCCCACTATCGACAACAACTCAGCAGACGACAATGCGGCCGCCTCAATGGGATGAGTCGATGATCTTGGATGTGAATGGCGATGCAGTGACTCCGCCTAGCGATCGGCAGTCAGACTTGACAAGTCTTCCAAACGATGGTAGTATCATTCACGATGCTGCCGCTTCGAATATATTCGATCGTGGTCTTATGCCTCCTCCTTTGAACTTCGGTAAACGGACTAATACCGTGCTACGCAAGCCGCAAAACCTGGCTGGCATGTCTTCTACAGCGCCATCGCAATCACCGCAGATGAGCCGTAATCCGATGTCTAGATATATGGCTCAAGTACAGAAGCGACCGGATGAGTGGCTGCAGAGGCCTGTACAATTCTCATTTCGAACTCAAGGATCAGCCCCTGGTTCGCCGGACAGTATGGCAGCGGAGGCGCCGACTCCTGGTCGAGTTAATGAAGCTCTAGGTCGCCGCAGCAAGTTTCCGCCAATCGATACTAACCTGGCGAATGTGCCTCCGGGAGAGCGAGGCATCAATCACTTCAACTCGCGGTCGATGACGGATTACGGCAGAATGGCTCATGTAGGCAACCCAGAGATTATGGGGGTGCAGCGCGAACAGTACCAGTAGACCTACAATCGCGCACCATGAGAGCGTCCAGGGAGAGAACTCGAAGACGACCGCTAGAATGAAGGAGAAGGAGATACAAGAGCCCTTGGTGAGGCCACTTCGATTACTGATAAGGCATGGACCAGAGTTTTGAGTAGAGGGAAACACAGTTTCGTACTCGAATAGCATAGCTTCGCAACATATGATATATAACGTCAATTCTACATTTCGGGAAAGGCGACCCTGATATACTCAAGGAATCGTAGTGCCGAGTGCGCGATGTAATGACTCGAGCTTCTCGTGCATGTCATCCATGGTCTACATGGATTGCAATAAAGATACGCTGCTTTCGCCGTATTGTTCAGCGCCCATAGCAATACCCGTGGATCTGAGATAACGTTATCCGACATTACGCACTTGGACTGGCAGGGAAACGTCCTATCGACCCACTCCGAGCAGGGGTATCGGCCTGTCCAACAATTCCCGATCGATAAGCAACGGCGATGCATGCCGTGGCAATAAGATCAACCATGATACTGCGAACTGGAGGGGAATAAGTATCCGACATGTAGGCACAGGATCCTGATTATACGCGCTTTCGTAACTTGTTTTCGTATTCTTCAAACCTCCACACAAACATGGGCTCGATAGATATCGCAAGTGGAATGAAGACGGTATGTGATTGATGTGAAGGGTTACATAGTGCTTACTGATTCGATCGTGTAGACGTGGAGTCGCTTGGTACGTTTTGTGGCAGCCGAAGACGGTGTTGAGCATATCGGCGAGCCGCTCGACACAGAACTGGATGGTATGCTAACACCTTGTCTTCACCGAAGGCCATTCTCTAATGAATTCCAGTCGGCGCAGCCCTTGCAGCTGGATCAGAAGTCGGAGTACGTGTTTTCACCGGTTCATCGGTACTCTCTGTAGATGCGCAGCCAACATCAGCGATCGCGACAATATCACGACTGCTGCCACCACTGTCAAGAACCGAAGTCGGTACTATTCGCTGTATAGGCCTCAACTATCGCAAACATGCTAGGGAGATGAATCTGGATCTCCCAAACCACCCAACACTTTTCTTCAAGCCTGCAACCTGTCTGGGTGCACCCAATGGGCCACTGGTCATCCCACGTCAAGCGACCGATGGGCAGGCAGACTACGAAGCCGAGCTCGCCATAATCATTGGGAAATCGGCAAGGAATGTGAGCACAGAAGATGCTATGGACTACGTGCTGGGTTACACATGTTCAAATGACGTGACAGCGCGAGTCCACCAATTCAACGGTGCGCAATGGAGTTTTGGAAAAGGCTTCGATGGCTTCGCACCGCTCGGGCCCTGTCTCGTATCCGCGTCTTCAATATTGAATCCGGGCGACATCGAGCTCAGAACCGTACTGAATGGCGAGACGATGCAGTACTCGTTGGCGAATGATATGATCTTTAGTATACCTGAGATCGTTGCGTACCTTAGTCAAGGGACAACATTGGAGCCAGGTACCGTGATCATGACGGGTACACCGCATGGGATTGGCGTCAGCAAAGTACCAAAGGTGTGGCTCAAACAGGGCGATGATCTGAGAATCGTGATGAGTCATGGTATGGGAAGTCTGGTGACGCCAGTCGTGTATGAGAAAGCCTAGAAAAGGTGCTGACAGCGAATAAACATAATTCCGCGATGATGTTCAAGCGAGATCGAGTTATGGTGCAGATTTTGACGATAGAGCCGTAAATAGCTATGACGAATGTCAACACCACTCTTCAATCTGTAGAAGACATGCCAATTTATCCGGGGCTTGGTATCCTATTGAAAACCAAATAGCATTTGCTCTTGTGTAATGTTGTCCAGCACGTGTTCCCAGTGTTGCAGATCAGTATGCTCAAGCAGTGTCAAAGACGGGTCTCCCCATGGAGGTGCATGCCATTGGAAGGGCCCACCTGTACCTACCGCTGGTAAGCCGGGTACTGTTACCGAGCTATCTTCCGTATTTGGCGATGTCAAGTCGATGTTGTTAGCGACATGCGTAGTAGCCGAAGCATCATTCGCTGTGTTAGGTCGTGTTTCAGTACGGCTAGTGCGGAACTGGTCCGCTTTCTTGATGCAGAGCTCGATGATCTTAACCTCAGCTAGCGCGAACTCGTTGAGCCAAATGTCAGCTCTCTGCATGTCACAGTACGCAGTAAGGTCTTCTAATATCGCACGGCATTTGGGCGAGTGCGGATCCTTAACAGCAATGATACCGAGCACCAAGGCACTATTGAAGAGTTGGTGAGGACCCAAAGTCCACTTCAGGCGGTCGTTCAGGGGTTGTTGAAAATAATCGATGCGCATTGCGAGGTCAGCGCATGCCGACGAGATGCATGCATCATGACTATGCCTGAAGCGATTGGTGATACTTTGACGTAGTAGATACGGTCGGTGAAGAGTGACACGGGCGAAATGGTACATAGAATGGAGATGTAAGCGGTTCCAGTACAAAAACGGATGTACATGATCCATAGAAGTATCCGGGTTCTTCAAGTGATAGTATACGGGTAGCTTCGCTTCCCATGTAACAATCTCGTGGTCCAGTGAAATGACCGTGTCGTAAGATACGGTGAAGAGGCCAAAGCAGCGATCTTGAATGTCGCCGATGATCTTTGCTAAGTCGTGCGCGAGGAAGTTGTAGACGCTCAAGGTAGGCGAAGAGATTGGAAGTTCTGGGATGGCAGAAGCGGCCTCATCAGGTTGATCATCCAACCAGACGTTGGTAGCTCTTTTGACTAAACATTGCTGGTCAACGATGGCGAATGGGCGACCGATGGCGAGAGCGATAGTCTTATCCAAAGTGTAAAGATGACTCCACAGGCGCCTTCGTGTTTCAGTCTCTTTACGGGGGAGACGCCAACGCTCGCCATCGATATGCATACCTTGCGCTTGAGCCATGCGCATTGCGAAACTTGTTGTAAGCCAAGCTTCGGGGACCCTTCGCAAATGAATCAGGTAACGTGTGACTAAGACGCCGGCTCGGACGAGATCTGTCGACTCTCCGTAGAACGTTGGTGCGATGACTATAGCGCGTCTCGCAGCCCAGTAGAATCGTAATGATGTCTCTTGGAGATCACGTTGCACTTCGCCGTTCTTTGGGTGAGGACAGTCAAGGAAGACACCGTACGCAAGGACGATAAACAGTAATGCCAACCACCTGAGATCGATAGATGCGTAGTCATCGAAGCCGAATTTGCGTTCCCAAAACTCATCGTATTTCAGTTTGAAGGATTGAGGATGAATAGCGTCTATGGTCCAGTTCAGCTCGGTAAGAAAAACATGGACGAGGCGGTCGACACTGGCTTTATTGCGAGGCAGTAAGCCCAGCAGATCCCATATCTGCGAGAAGGGACCGCCAACATCTCGGAAAGACTGCGCCGACGCGGCTGCATGGCGAATTCCAGATGAGAGGTCCGGTGCGGGCTCCTCGATTATTTTTGCAGCCGCCTGCGGTCCGAAATATGATGAGCCAAAGAAGGAGGGCGCGTCTCGGCTACGGAAGAGGTTGCCCACTTGTGCATCTCTGGGTTCAGGTGAGGTTCTACTGTGCGTGGCCGTAGTATGTGTATCTTTGTGGTATATTTGTAAGCCAGAGTACGCAATGAGAGTATCGCAGACATTCGTGCTCTGCTGTGCGACATGTTGTGGCGGTATTGACATACCCGTGACACTGCCTGAGGACGCTTCATCGCCCAGAGGAGCGGTGGGAACTTGTGAGGTCTGCTGGCGGCGAGCCTCAGCCTCTTCGCTGTACGTGCAGCTCGACGCGACATCGCGTCTGCTGCAATTGAAGCATGGCAGCTCTCCGTCGCACTGCCAACACTATCAGTCACTGTCTGACCGATACAGTCTGGTCGTAAAGATCATGCCACCCTGCGTGCTGCGAAGGTTTGCAGGTTTCTGTCTTGTTGGATACCTTACGCGTTATCGCAGACGCGAACTCTCAGGTAGCTGATTACGTCATACGCACCTTCTGCTTCCGCCGATGACACGCGACGCAGCTCTTAGCTTGTCGACCTCTCTTCCTCTTTCTGGCCAACAAATCTCCATCACCTCTGTTGACCTCGCTCTCGCAGCGCGATTCCATCATGTTGATGATTTCCGATGATACTCACGATTTAGCCGACGGGTATCTCTATCAATCGTCTGCCAATGCTTGCCTGAGGTACTAGTGCATCCTTCGCTGCATGTCGTGCCCACTTTGGCAGGGCTCGCTATCTCCCCGCATCGGACAATTGACAAGGCCCAGATCGGCAATAGATACCATTACATACCAACATGCATGCTATAAGGTATTCATCATGACAGATGCCTTTGGGTGCGATCGCTAGTCCACAGCGTGAGTTTTTTATTTAATTAATCGCCAGCAAACATCACCCGCAACATGTCGCATCCGAACCAGGATGATAAAGCCTTCGATGGCTCAATACATGAAAAGGATACACAGATCGGTGCTAGTGAAGAGATCCATATCGATCCGGTTGCGGAGAAGAGGGTAGGCGTAGCACACATATGACTGGGTGTCACAAGCTGACCTGGATGGATAGCTTATTCGCAAATTGGATCTGATATTGTCTCCCATGATGGTCCTGGTGTTTCTGGTATGTGAAGTTCAACTTCACAAATACTCCGCTGTCTAACAAGCATGCTTCAGGTCGCCTACCTCGACCGATCCAATATCGGAAATGCTGCTATCGCAGGCATGAATGAAGACCTAGGGCTCACTGGCAACCGTCTCAACGTCGCTGTGACGCTTTTTTACGTCACCTACATTGCCTTCGAGGTTCCAGCCTCTATATTATTGAAGAAGCTGCGGCCATCGCGCCTTATCCCTGCATTTATCATCGGATGGAGTGCGGTCATTATTGGAGCAGCTTTCATTGAGAACTACGCCTCTCTCATAGCTACACGCCTGCTCCTTGGTGTCTTCGAGTCCGGCCTGTTCCCATGCCTGACCTTGTATCTGAGCATGTACTACAAGCCGCTAGAGCAAGCTCGAAGGGTTTCCTACCTTTTCGTTGCATCTGCACTGAGTGGGGCCTTTGGTGGACTGCTAGCATACGGTCTGACAAACCTGCATGGCGCAAAAGGACTTGCGGGCTGGAGATGGCTGTTTCTCGTTGAAGGAATCATCTCTATGATCGTCGGTATCGCCACAATCTTTCTGCTACCTGACAACTTCGAGACTGCATGGTGGCTTAATGAAGACGAGAAAGCTCTGCTCCGTGCTCGACACGAGAACGAACGACTTTATCAGGGCAAGTCCATGACATCAGACGCTTTGGATAAGTCCGAAGTAAAGCTTGCTTTCCGCGATCCGAAGGTATGGCTCAGCGCTGTATGCCAATTCTGCGCCAATACTTGTTCATTTGGATTCTCAACGTTTCTTCCGGTGATTATACGTGGCTTCGGATACTCCAGCATTCGCACTCAACTTCTCACCGTACCTGTGTACATCTGGGCCTCAGTTGTATACCTCTTTATCGCCTTTTGCTCCGACTATGTCAATCGCCGAGCATTCTTCATGGTTCCTCTGGCACTGGTTACATCGATCGGTTACGCCATGATGCTTGGTGTCTCTATGTCCTCGACCGGGGTGCTGTACTTCGCGACTTTTGTCACTGCTACTGGCATTTACTGCGTCGTGGGCCTGAACGTTACCTGGGTGATCAACAGCAATGCCGGATACTTCAAGCGCGCCACCGCTATCGGTCTACAACAAACCATTGGTAACTCTGCTGGTATCATGGCTGGGCAGATTTACCGCATCACGAATAACGATGGTCGCTACGTAATCGGTCACGCTATCTCGATTACAACTATCACAATCGCGGCATGCGGTTACGCTCTCATGTACTTTACTTTGCGCGGGATCAACAAGAAGAGAGAAGTCATCTCCATCGAAGAGAGGATTCGAGAGATCGATTCTGGGAAGCTTGGCGATCGCCATCCCGACTTCCGATACACATTGTAGAGATGGATCTATGTTTAGACTTTGTAACCATAAAGAATTTCGGACTCACTGTACTACACCATGGCACTCGAAGTTTGCGAGCACCTCATAACAATAGCATCCGATGTGTTTCTTCTCTGCTAAACTACACCGATGATCCAGGCTTCAGACCCTTGAATGTCTTCGTAATGTTCGTTATCGCGTCCTCGACTGGCAAGCGTTCCATTGAGCTTGCACCATAAAAGCCATGCACACCCTTCGTCTTGCTGATCACATACTCCGCATCCTCTGGCTTTGCGATTGGGCCTCCATGGCACAGAATGATGACGTCCTCTTTAATTTTCGTTGCGGCATCACGTATCTCTTGGATCAGTTTGACGCATTCATCCAAGCTCTTCCCACTGCTTGCACCGATACTTCCACTCGTTGTGAGACCCATATGGGCGACCAAGATATCGGCACCAGCGTTTGCCATCTTCTTCGCTTCTTCTACGTTGAACACGTATGGTGTGGTCAGGAGATCCATCTTGCAAGCCATCTTCATCACTTCAACTTCAGCATCATACGACATTCCTGTTTCTTCGAGATTCTGTCGGAATGTTCCATCGATCAAACCAACGGTGGGAAAATTCTGGATGCCGGCGAAACCGAGGTCTTTCAGCTGCTTCAAAAAGCGAGACATATCTCGGAAAGGGTCGGTTGCGCATACACCAGCTAGTACTGGCGTGGACTTGACGATGGGAAGAACTTCACCAGCCTGAGATTGTCAGCTACTAGACACTTTTCACAGCCTTTCAAAGCTAACACCAAGTGAAGTGCGCATACCATTTCCAGTACGACATCATTAGCGTTTCCGTACGGCATTAAGCCGGCTAACGAGCCGCGGCCGGCCATCCGGTATCTTCCACTGTTGTATATAATGATCAAGTCGCCACCACCAGCTTCGATGAACTTTGCGCTCAATCCGATGCCTGCACCCGCACCAACGATGATTTTGCCATTGTCGATCTGCGAGCGGAGGTTCTGCAATATGCTCTTGCGATCGGCGGGGGGTGACATGCTGTCAATTTGGTATGCTATCGACCTTGAGTACACGGGTCAGGTATTGGACGTGGTATTATATTGTCGTCAAGTTACAGCGATGATGCTGAGAAAGGTTGTTGAAGTATGCACGATGACGTAATGCAAGCGCGGGGGATACAGTACAGTGGCATGAACGTCTGCGACCCACGTCTTCACACGATATTCGTATCATCATCAACGCATTGTCTCCTGGTGAGCACGTCATTATGTCTTCAAATCCCCGTGTTGTTCTTCTTGGTACTTGCGATACAAAGTTGGAAGAGTTGCTATTCCTTCGTAAAGAAATAGACCGGAACAATGTCGACGTGATGCTGATGGATGTGGGTCGGCGCCACAAGGAGTATGATGCCATCACAATCAGTCAACACCAACTGCTGGAGGATCATGGAGATGCAAAAGATGTGAGCAAGCTACCTCGAGGAGAAGTCATCAAGACTATGGCTGGCTGCGCTACCAAGGCTGTCAAAAAGCTATTCGATGAAGGAAAGATACACGCCGCGATCAACGCGGGAGGTTCAGGTGGTACGTCGCTCGCAGCGGAAGTGATGAGAACTGCGCTCCCTATCGGCTTTCCAAAGCTGATCGTGTCAACTGTGGCAAGCGGCGATACTGGGCCAATCGTAGGGGAAACCGACATCACCCTGATGTACAGCGTTGTAGATGTGGCTGGCCTTAATCAGGTGCTCCGCAATGTGCTTAGCAATGCCGGAGCAGCCATAGCTGGAATGGCTCGCACATACGCATCTCGCCAACAAGACGCAGCCCAGCTGATAAAGAAACGTGTTGGTATTACTATGTTCGGTGTCACCACGCCAGCTGTCGACTTCATCCGAAAACATCTCGAAGACAACTACGACATAGAGACGTACGTCTTTCACGCTACAGGTCACGGCGGGAAAGCAATGGAGCGACTCATTCAAGAAGATGGGCTTGATGCAGTCCTCGATCTTACCACTACTGAGATATGCGATCACATTACTGGTGGTGTCATGAGTGCTGGTGAGCATCGTCTTGAAGCCGCCGCAAAAGCCGGAATACCAAATATCGTCTCCGTAGGCGCGACCGACATGACAAACTTTGGTCCGAGAAGCACAGTGCCGGAACGATACAAAGATCGCAAGCTGTATGAGCACAATCCCGTCGTGACCTTGATGAGGACATCAGTAGACGAAGCAACTCAAGTTGGCAAATTCATTGCAACGAAATTGAAGCATTGTGCAAAGAAGCCCGGAGCAATTCAAGTCTGGTTACCGAAGGGTGGTATCAGCATGATCGCTGTCCCTGATGGGCCTTTTGAAGACCAACAGGCGGATGTTGCGCTCTTCAGTGCGATACGAGAGGAACTCCGGGGTAGTAATATCGAAGTTACCGAAGACGAGCGCGCGATTAATGATGAGGGGTTTGCGCACGATATCGCGGAGGCGCTAGTCGCTAAGATGGGAGTTGGTCGGTAAGTAAATTGTGGTAATTGCGTGGCTTTGAGAAGCCGGAAAGATGGCACAGCCAGTCCAGGAGCAGTTGCCAATGTCAAATACCATCTTCCCAAGCTCTTGGCTCCGACACGAGGTGCATGCACCTGACGGCCATAGGACCGTGCCACTTCCAACACGTATCGCCAGGCATCTTCACGCCTATATTAGGCGGCGCGGCCGTTGCAGCGCCCCTGAATTACTATGCGAGATGGCAACAAGCCTTTTTGGGCTCAGGCGTTCTGCGCTAACTAACCGTTGGACAACCATTGGTGACACTGTAAGGCGGCTGAGATCCACATAACTAGCGTCATGCTACGCCTGCAAACATCGTCAACTGTTTTCCGATCTCTTGTTCTTGAGAGCGCTGCATACCCACTCTGTTTTTTTCTGGCGTTACGCAATCACACTCGTTTCGTTTTTCAAAATGTTCGCACGCGTCAGTGTGCTGTCACTCGCTTTGTCATGCATTGTTAGTACTACCGCGGCGCTCGACTTAGATGTCCAGAACAAGGGTAATGACGATCTTTTCCACTTGCGCGACTACGATGCTAACGTGTACAGACTCTATCATACTGGCCGCGCAGGCTCTTGCAAGTGGTATCGTCAAGTTCTACAACGATTCCCTTTCTGAGGATGGAATCCCCGGCCTCTTTCCAGACCCCTACTTCTGGTACGAAGGCGGAATGATCTTCAACGCATTGATCGACTACTCTTATTTGACTGGCGATAAGCAATATGACTCTATTGTATCTGAAGGCATTCAGGGACAGCTTGGCGACCACCCTGGCCTTGCCTTCTTCCCCGCTAATCAGACCGCGCAAATTACCAACGATGACCAAAGCTTATGGGCTCTTGCAGCAATGGCCGCGGCGGAATCAGGTTTTCCAAAGCCGGAAAACCAATCCTGGGTGGAATATGCTGCCCAAGTGTTCGATGCTCAGGTGCTACGCTGGGATGATAAGAGCTGTAACGGCGGTCTTCGCTGGACTATCTTTACTTTCCAGGCAGGATACGATTACAAAAATGGAGCTGCCAACGGTGACTTTTTCCTCCTGGCTGCTCGTTTGGCCAAATTTACCGGCAACGAAACGTACTCCGAATGGGCTGACAAGTCTTTCACTTGGGCGAAGGATATCGGTATTATCGACGACGAATATGCTGTGTTTGACGGTGGTGATGCCACCGAAGATTGTCGCGATATAAACAGATTACGGTGGACGAACCTGCATGCCGCCTATACGGAGGGCTCTGCTATCATGCAGAATATCGTAAGCACTTCCTAGTACAGTCTATCGACATCATGCTGACATACGCCAACAGACCAACGGAAAGCAGAAATGGACTGACGCACTCCAAGGCCTCGTGAACTCATCCGCTATCTTCTTCCAACAACACGACGTCCTCACTGAAGTAGCATGCGAAACGGTCGGAAAGTGCGATGTCAGTATGCGCGCTTACAAGGGTATGGCCATAAGCTCTTATGCTCGCGCAGCCGTTGCCGCTCCCATTATTGCAGAACCCCTCACCAAAAAGCTCGAAGTCTCCGCTCAAGCTGCTGCTGGCGCGTGTGGTGGAGATCTTCACAACGTTCAGTGCTCGCTAGATTGGGCAAATTCTACCGAAGGCACGTGGGAGGCTGCTGATGCTAGTAACGGGAATCTGAATGAAGTGTATGATGCGCTGCAGGCGGTGCAGGGTTTGCTATTCTCTCAAACCACGCCTTCAAACGTGACAAGTTCTGGGAATGGAGATGACGCCACCCAGAAGGTTGGTGCATCGGGTACATCAGGGGCTGGAGCGCCCAAAGAGACGGGCGCAGCGGGAACCATTGCTGCGAGTATTACGATGGTTCTGGCTATGGCTTTTGCTGTGGCGCTGAGCTGCTAAGATTACTCCGTGAAAACTTGCGAAAACACCATGAATAATCTTACTGCGCGTTTTCTTGGGGTACAAGGTGTTCTTTACATGTGAAAGGTGGTGAAGCGTTACTAGAAGAAGACAGCGAGAAGGCATGAGGCTGAGGCTTCCCCACTTCGAGGCCTTTCAGGCTGTGTGAAGCTGAGTAATACAGTCACATGCTTCATGTTTGCGCATGCATCAATCTGTGTGAACACCATCAGCAGCTTGTTAGAGCTCACCTCATGCTTCCCATTCAGATCAGTCATTTGCACTGCAGCCATGATCGCTGTGTTCACCTTAGGTAGTGTCCTGTTCGGGTATAGCGTCTCCGTGCGCTGACATCATGACTAGATGTTCTTTTTACCAGCACAGGTGGACTCTCGTGTCGTTGATCGCGGAAGGTTCGGTCGAGATGTTAGAAATTCAAGAGGCTGAAGATCGCGTCTTGGTCGCGTCGCGTCGCGTCGCGTCGACTCAAGGTGGATCTGCTCAATGACCAATCGGAGGAAATCTGACGAACGTTGAACCGCCACCCCACCAAACAGGATGCATCACAACTTGCTGCAACAAGTACGCCCTACCATATCCTCTGTCGCACATATCTTTCCAGTAACACGTGGCCTGTTGGCGTCGGCTTGTTAACCGACGATCGGACCGAATCCGATGTCAGAGGAAGGGCACGAACAGTATCTATTTCGTGGCAAAACCTGTTCGCCTGAGCAGGTCCAAGTATGCTGTAGCATCTATTCCCCGGTCACATATGCCGCGCATGGTTTGTTCGACCTCTATCTATTGCGGGTGGCATCACTGCAACGATGCTGGCGCTCGACGACGCTCAAGAAGAAGATGTCTCACTAGTGCCGTGCAGCAAGTACGGTAATCTTCTAGAAACTTCGTCACCCATAAGTGCAGATGTGATTCGGGAATGGCGTAAGCATCGCTATCAAAATCCTTCGGGTACTGCCACCGCAAACATCCCGCCATATGCGACAAAAAGCCATATCTTTCTAGCTTCGGTCTATGGTACTTTCTGGTAGTCACGCTCTAGACGGTGCTATGGGACAGAAATATTATTGTCTCTCATACTGATCACTCGTCTGCGACAAAGCAATCACAAACAGACCAACACACTCTTCCAGGTCATACACCGCTCATGCATTGCTAGGTTCCTTCCTTTGTTGCCACTTTGCTCTCCGCGATTTCGATGTTATCGTCGCCGCTTCGTAGATACATTCGAGAGCTGGAGTTTGGCCCAGAGATATTGAACACGAATCTGGAAGTCGACCTTCAATACATCAAGGAGCAAGGAGAGGAGCCTTCTACCGGCTATCCACATCCTGAGAGCTACATTTATGTGGATTCTGCCCGCCCAATCTGGCCGATAGCCAAGCTTCCAAGACCACTGCCTGAAGATGTTACCAGCAGGGACTCAGAGTCAGCAATTGTCGTTTGATAAAACAAGCGAGGTAGTTATGATCGCTGGCTGCAAAAATACGGAGATACGCTGAAAATGTTAGTTGAACGCCAAAACCACTTTCGAGCTGGAGTTGGATATGTCCGAGAAGCCATCATAAAGTTCCCGGCATTGAACAGCATCAAGATCAACCCTCGTCCAATAGGTAATTACTACGAGCAGCGGTTTGCTGGAACCATAAAACGGAGTAGGGGTACCACGCCGCTCTTCCGCAAACTTGGAGCACATGAGTTCGAATTAACGACCGACACGGCTCCGTACGGCTCAGAGTCCATCTTGGAGTTCAGCCTTGACGGTCTTCTCTTCATGGAGTATCACGCAGAGATCAATATGCTGGAAAACCTCTTCAATGTCTTGAGCTCGGTTGACTTGGGCAAGTTCACTGTTGATCTGACGATCACTGCAACGAACCTTCTATCTAATGGCAAGGTCTTTGACACCAGTCACCGAACTTGGACAGCCATGGCCCCCCGTGTACGAAGCCTCACGTTCGACTTCGCAATGAGCGACATGAAGATTTACCAGGTCCCTCCACTGTTGACATGAATAGCCGAGATGGTACAACCCACCCGTGCGGTCGAACACTTCTTCGGCCGCGATATCTTCTTCAGGCACTTTGTATTGCGAAAAGTCTTCGCGCAATCTTCTTGGACGAGTCTTCGAACGCTGCATCTCTTCCGATGTAAGGCCCATAGCCGCGATTTGGTCGGAATGTTCCTCCGTCATCGTTCAACTCTGGAATATGTAAGCTTGTCGTGCGTCACGACTACTGGTATGAGCGCAACATCCTGGAGGAACATACTTGTTCTAATGAAGGGCATGAATCAACTTGACCGTGTCACGCTGGATCGGCTCGAACTACAGGGTGCTATCGATATGTCTAGCCTCTTGTCGCATCCTTGGAACTCCAAACCATCCACATGTTATTGCTTGAAGGCAAAATGGCACCAGAAAATCCGTCACATGCTACTTGTCGCGACAGAGTGCATCATACTTATTCCAGGTCGGAAATCTACGGTCTGCGAAGTGCACTTTCGGACATTGCAACTCAACAAAGAGCATCTAGGGCAGAGCTCAGTGGGGTCTTGGCAAAGCTCGTCCACAGACCTGTCTTAGACAGCTGCAGAATCATCACGTGTTAAGTGTAGGTAATGGATACATACTTCAATATTGAGTAAATCTACAAGCTCGGTAGTTTGCCATCTTCCTGCACACGGTACTGCATCCAGCTTATTTCAAGGTTCTTGGGCGCGTCCTTACTTGTTTATCTCAAAAATCCTACTTCCCATCTTTGCGTTAGCCGGGTACTCCTCCCTCATAAGGCGTGAGATGAGAAAAGCACCGAGCTGTCTAAACGCTGGCACCGGCGTTAGGAACTCAACGCTCCGGCGATACAACTTATCGGCCGATAGAAATTTCCTTTTCTGGTTAGCGTCGCCTCTCCAGGAACCCGACAGGGTCTTGACAGTCAGTAGTCTCACAAGTCTGCGCAGATATATAAACGCCATATACCGTACTTGAGTAAGGACACTGCCAGATCAACAGTTCATCAAAACAACGATATCGAAACTATGGCCTCTCGAACTATTGTCTTCATCACCGGAGCCAACACCGGCCTCGGGCTTCACACCGTGAAGGCTCTATACAGATCAACAAACACATACGACATCTTACTCGGTGCTCGAGACTCGAACAAGGCATCAGTTGCTATCGACGAAATCAAACAAGAGAACCCCAACTCTTCGAACAGCATCGAGGGAATCCAAATCGACCTTCAGGATGACGCTTCGATTGCTCAAGCGTTCGAAACAGTCTCCAGGAAACATGGCAAGATAGATGTTCTTCTCAACAATGCGGGTATGAATGTGAAAACCTCGGTAGGCTTGTATTCAGACTGACTTCGCACAGGAGCGCAGTTCGACCAGCAAGTACCCAAGGGCAACATGACCATCAGAGACATGTGGAACAAATCTTGGGACGTCAACGTGACTGGCACATATATAGTGACCGAAGTCTTTGCTCCATTGCTTCTCAAATCGTCTCAGCCACGACTGGTTTTCATCACCAGTGGCACAAGCACCCTCGCAGAGCACGACAACTTAGCGATGCCCATAAACCGCTCCCCTCCTAAAGGCTGGCCCAAGGAATCCTTTGCAGTCACGGCGTATCGAGCAGCCAAGACCGGTATGAATATGATGGTGCTGGAATGGGCTCGGATGCTCAAGGAGGATGGCGTCAAGGTGTTCGCAGTCAGCCCTGGCATGCTAGCTACAGGTCTGGGCGGTGATCCTGAGGCTATGAAAGAGATGGGGGCTATTGATCCGAAGATTGGGGCGGAAGTCGTTCGCGATGTCGTCGAAGGTCTTCGGGACGAGGATGTCGGGAAAGTGGTGCGCAAGGATAATGTTCAGCCATGGTAGCTCCGGAACATCATACGTGTAGGCTTTGTACTCGAATTGAAACGGGCCACGGCTTTGAATGCCGGTTTATCATAGAATGTCGGAATCATTAGCAGACGTGGTCGTCTCGCAGAATTGCTCGATATCTATCAACCCGTTGCTTATGAAGTCGAACGGATCGAGCGTGCTGAAAGTGAACTGGTCCTCTGAGTATGTATCGTGATTATTGGTGTCAACAGGCCAGTCTGGGATTCCATGTACTATGATCTCCGTTGCTGTTTGGGGCTGGCATCCTGTTGCTGATCCTACTGTCGGCTGTATGAAAGCAGATTTATTGACGTCTGCTGATTCTAATGTAAAACTTATCGCTCGTCCCAATCTTCTCGCGTCAATACTGGACAAGGATCTATCCACGCAAATAGAGTGAGCTGTCTTGAGGAGCAAAAGGATTTCTTCCAATGCAATCGTCATCGAACCCCGGGAGATACTTCTTCGATGATCCAAGTTGACATAAAGACAAAGAGTGCTCCCGCCAAGTAGGAAATCAGTCATCACGAAGTTGTTAAACATCCAGCTTACTGCTTGAAGGCGACCGTCAGGTCGAAATCCACAGTGAATGTCGGCAACACTCTTTACAATGCTACTGGCGGCTTGGGTGCATTGCACAATGCTATGAGCATTGCCACGTACCATGTTCTTCAGGTGCAAGATGCATAAGCTTTTCAAAAACAGAAGCTCGAGGAAGAATCGACACATGACCAAGAAGGGTGGGTCAGAAATGGATTCGGATACTGAACGCCATCGTAGGATATTCGGGATTGTCGCATATGCTTTTCTCGTCTCCGTTTCTAACTCTATGATTTCCGTCTCACTCTTGACACGCAAAGATAGCGCGGCTTGACATATTTTGGCGAATACAGGCATCAACCTGTCTTTGACAATGAACCATAGAATTGGGGTTGGCTCACTCTCTGGTCGAGCTTGGGGAAGAACTTGAGTGTCGAAGTCGAAATCAGAGTCCAGTAAGTTTGAGGGAGACTTGGTATCGCAATTTTCGAGGATAATGTTATTGGGAAGCCCAAGTTGGAAAGACACCATGGTATCCACCTGCTTGCAACAAGCCCAGAAGCGTCTTCTCATCTCGCCTTCGAAAACTGTGAACTTGCCGAAGGTATCGGGATCGCGATGGTATCCTAGTTCGTATGCATGCCGTACAGCCGTACAGATGATGGCGCCACATTCGCGGTTGGGATCCAGACTTCTGAGGCTTTTGCAATGGGCGTACAGTAACAACGCTTCCGGAGCGTCTCGCTGCGTATCATGATAATCACCAAGCGCCAAAAGCTTTCCTGCAGCATTATAAAACTCGCAGCTAGGTGTCTGCGCTGTCTTCTTTCCTGCTGCTCCTTCGTGAACTAACGCAGCGATTGAGAAGATAGAGAAAAGGGTACTCAGCCAAAATGCTGAAGCTGCTTGAAAGTATTCAACTTGAAAAGTGTGGTATTCTCGTTGGAACTGTCTTGTATGAATGAAAGGTTGCACAAACGTGCCACTTCCGAAGTAGGTTTCCAGAAGGTGATCAGCGTCCTTCTGCAATGGCATATATTGTGACAAGATGGCGCCTTTCGAGGATGCACTTGGTAAGCCGAGAATATTCTTACTGACAACGTCGTTTCCGTGGGCGATCGACTCTCCAAGGCCGGGCTCATCAACCGTCGTAGGTAGTTCCAAGCGCAGCTGGTGGATGCTTTCCATAACTTCTTCCACGACAGTAGGAAATTGGTTCCTCGGCGACTCCAGCTTACGACCACTGGACACATGCGCCTGTTTACCAGTGGAGTTGGAAGGCAATCTCGGGCTATGTACTGGCTCTGATGCATTTGTTGTATCTAGCAATTGAATGACCTTAGCTTCAAGATGTTGCAGTCTTTCCTCGATGGCCGGCTGACCACGTGCGCGTGACAATCCATTGTAAGAGCAGGATGTGCCGCCATCTCGTCTGACACACCTACTACAGGGCCGATTCCTGTCGCATCTGAGTTTAGAGGCCTTACAATGATCGCAAACTAATGTTGGTCTTTGGCGCTTGACAGGCTCTTTCTGTCCCGCTCGCTGTTGGCGTGTACTATAAGCCCTGAAGCTGCCGATGGATTGTGACTTGTGAGACATGGATTGCATATGAATTGACATATATGGGGTTGTTATTGGCAGATGAGACAGGAGTGACGTGGTGCTAGCACCTACATTGAAAAGGTGGAGAGCAGCCGGTAGCTCCGATGACCGCCGAAAGAGGGCGCGTACCGAGGCTGACGGCTTAACAACCTTAGCGGCCCGATTCAACTATCTTTTCCACTGCAACTTCCTTGTCAATCACCCAACCTTACTAGATTCCTACCATACTTGCTTCATCGCAACAATCAACAGCACCTCCCTTTATTTCCAGTCCCATTCCGATAAGTAGTGGTCACGTATGCTCCTCGCTCATTTTTCTTCTTCTCTTTCGGCCAGCAGCATGCCATGCATAAGACGATGAGGAAGAGAATCGCAACGGTGGCTGCGAGACCTATCAAAATGGCTTTTCCGTGGCTGCCATAGTAAATGAACTCGTTGTTGATAGCGGTACGACCATTCTCCACCTCCAGTGTGGAGGTTGGGAGAATGGACGTTGTGAGCGTTGTAGCTGCCATGGTGTCTCTGATGCAAGTTGATTGCTAGAATGATATGAGTCTCTCTTCAAGATCACTGAAGAAGGAATTACATACGTGTTTTTGACCTCAATATGATAGTCTGAGCTATAGCCTTGCTTGATGCTAGTGGGCAATGTAAGTATGCGAACTCTGCCTTAGTATAGAGGAGGCTATCGCATGTTTTTAATCGCACATTAGAACACTTCCGCGTATCATCTCTACACCTTACCTTCACTCAACGTGATACAATGTCTTCTCAATACTTTATATGCTCGTCTATAACGGGTTGGTTCTGCCAAATCAAGCTTACTGAGAGTACAGCGGCATGCCACAGAAGGTCTTCCATTTCCGCAACGTGACCTGGTCCTGTAGCAGTAGCTGATCTTGATGTGGGAGCCTGATCATAGCAGCAAGGACGCCTCTCTTAGCATTATTCGACTTCTCAATACGTAAAGACTTGCTAAAAAAGGACTTGATAGCCGGCCCGTCGATACTTACACCAGCGGGACCCTGCATGAAAGTATAGCACACGTTCTGCTAGACTTTTGAATATCTTCGCACGGCTGGACTTCATTGATAGGTGTGTGAGCATGGAGAGAGGTGATGAAGCGGCTGATAGTTCGTTTCTCGTCAACTCAAGAGAACTGTTTCTCAGTCTCAATGATGTGATTCTCACTTCTCGTCATCTTACTTCTATATAACATTCTATAAGCACTACCTTGTAGTAGCCGGTTTTTTCGTTCCAATATAACGGCTGTCACTTCGCACAGCGTCGCACAAGCATGGCGCATCGATGATACATGTGCGTGCGTCGCGCTTGTGAAACTCATCTTTCAAATACTCAGAACATAATATTGAGACGATACTCCTGGTGAAGCAGCGTGTTTAGAGAAAGAGTGCTAGGGGTAGAATTCATAATGCTGACGTGAGTCAGTGACGAAAGGTTAGTTGTATTATTTCGCACCGTATTAGATCTACATGTTTGTCGTACAAACTAGATATTCAAATACCCATAACTACCCAGACGAACTACGAGTTTGTTGACAACCCATGACGGTGTCCTTTCTGTATGTGAGAGCCCTCCATCTCAGCGATAACAGCCGTCATATCTCCTCTATTGCCCGGTCCAAGCTTCGGTGGCAGTACAGGATCAGTATGCAGTTCGGCCACCCCATTACCACCACTAGAAAAGGTGTCGCTTCCAAGCTCACTTACCGGGCTCGTAATCTCAGCACCGTGTAACTCTGCCGAGCGTGTTGAGCGGAGTGGTGTATTCGTGCCAAGTTCGCTGACTGGAATTCTCATTCCTTCGGTGCGGAGATCAGCACTAGTCATCCGGCTGGTAGGTACTCCAGATGGGATGTTGGCATGCCAGCCTTGCATCGTCGAAGAAGCAGAAACAGGTGAGGCCGGCGACGGTATGCTTGGTGCCGCGTGAGATCCCAATTCGGGATATCGAGAATCCATGTTACTACCATGGCGGTGCAGATGTGACTGTTGTGCTGGGCGGTAGAATCGCGAGCTCTCATTACCACTTCCGCCGCGTATCTCCGGTGGGTTCGGATAGCCATTGTGTGCGGTTTGGGGGCGTAGCGGTGGCGATGCGCTTTCGCTATGTAGTTCGGCTTTCAAGTGCTGACGCATTGGTGGACCGGCTTCGACTTTTGAGTGACGACCAAAGCTTGAATCATTCTCGATAACTGGAAGTTTGGGTTTTGGACTAGTATTGCGAGAGGGTTCCCAAATGTTTGCGGATGAAGTGAGAGAGGCTCGGTGCTTACGGCGACGCAGGAAGAAGAATACAAGGCCAATGATCAGAGCAATAGCTACAGTGCCGCCCGCTGCTATGCCGGCAATGGAAGTCGTACTTAGAGTCGGTTCTGTAGTATGAGTATTTGTGGGGGCTGGCAGCTCAGAGTTGGATATTGTGATGTGAACATGCGATTGGATAGTGACGTAGTTCGGAGGGGTAGTATTGCTTGAAGCAGGAGCTGCAACAACGGATGTAGGATTTCCTTCGTTCGTAGAGCTAGGTGCTGCAGCTGGCGTCGAAGTCGCGGGTGGTGGCGATGGCGCTTCTGATGACTTCTCCGTCTCCGAACTTGACGATGCCGAAGTGCTGGTCGATGGTGATGGAGTATTCGACGTAAGTATCTCAATAATGGTCTCGTACGTTGACGTCGCCTCAAAGCTAGTCGCCGAATCCTTAGTACTCGCTGCAATACTACCTGATGGCGTTCCTGTGAGCAGATCTTTATAGTTGAACTCATTACCCCCAAAGTGAAATTTATTATCGAAGTAATCTTCGTCTGTTCCTTGGCACGCCGCCTCGAACATGTCTACGTAGTCTATAGCCTATGGTCAGTAAGTCCTGACTGCGTGTTGTGTATAAACTAAAGGCTTGCCTTGTCGGTCTTTCACGCTTGGACAAGCGTTGAGAAGACATGGACCATACATGTTGAAGTGTATGTGAACAACGTCGGAAAGCTCACAAAAGCCTTCGAGGTTATCGGCACAATTGCCATCGAGGACCTTTCCTTCTCCAATGAGACATTGCTTCTACGATTAGGGTCAGTAGAAGAGTCCATTGGAACGATCGTGTGGCTCTTGGGCCGTACTTACAGTGCAACCAGGAAGCGCTAATGGTGGCTTCGCGGCGATGCAGAATTTGTCACGCTCTTGAGCAGCGACGCTGCCGAATAAGAGCAACAAGATGGAGAAGTACATATCGAAGATCATTGCAGATCGCTGAAAATCTAGGTCAAGAAAGCGACCAAAAAAGACGGTAAAAGATTCAGACTCACGACTTCTTAAGTGCAAACGCCCCATGTTTGCTCTTCCACCAACTACCGACTGCCCCAGCCCAACGAACACTCGTCCCCTGCTTCACCTTACACAAGCACCGGCGGAGCAATCTTAACACCACTTCACAAACGGCTAACCACATGAACGCGCACGTAATGCTATTTTCGTACTACCAGTTCGCATGCACTGCCTCAAGTGTACGACTTGGTTGACAAATGTACGTCTAAACCATGGCCGTCACCCAACGGGCATCCGCAGGACCAATCTCACAAGTCTCTGAGCTACTTGGTTGAGGCAAGTGACCGGTAGGAAAAGGGAGATAACGTTGAGAACTCCAAAACATGCAGTCTCAATAACGTGCACTCCTCCGAATACAGTCTTCTTCACGCTCCCTTGTCCACTCACGAGACTGCGCAACCCCCCAATCGCTTGTTGCGTCTTGTCCTCGCTGCCGCTGCAAATCTACCGTCTCGTCGCCGTAGCTGTTCCGGCGGGCACTATATCTGCTCATAGAGTCGTCATCAGAATTTTCCTGATTTGGCGCTGTCTGGAAACCTCGATTCTCGTTGTCAGGAAGCTCGTATCGACTGTGGTCACGACTGTATTGCCGCCCATGTCCAGCAAATTTGTCGTCGCCATACTCCGACATGTTATAGTCCTCAGTCTTTGTGCCATATTCGCGAAGTGCAGTGCCATAACCATGAACAAGGTGTGCATCTGTACTCCGCGGTGAACCAATGAGTGTAGCGTCGTAGGCCGATGCGCGGTACGTGGAAGCGTCTGCGCCACGGCCTGCGCTTGTAGTGTCACGACGCGACGCGAACTCAGGTATCGACGAATCGCTGATCAAGGTGTTGATTCTCATTGACATACCTTCTGGATTTGTAGCGTCTTGTAGTTTTGCATTGTCCTTCTTCAGCTTGTTGGCCTTCTTCCTGGAATCCCACCAGAGCTTTAACAGACCAGCAACGATGATGAGGACGACGACGGCTGCGGTGACAATGCCTCCGATGGCTCCGCCGGTGAGCTTAAAGGGCTGTCGGGCGCTCTCAGAGACAGAGCCATTGGAGTCGACGGGTGGGACTGAGGCAGGTGTTGCAGAAGGGAAGGTGGCTGGAAGATACGGTTCCCAGCGCTTGGGTATGTCAACAAGTTCCTTGTTGACCTTCTTGCAGTGATAGAAAAGACTATCCAGGAACTCTGGAAGGGGGTCAACATTAGCTGACAAACAGGTTTATGCTCAGAAAGCGTGATTTACCTTCTCTTCCTATGTCGCCATAGCAAGCGTCTAGAACGCATTGCTGGTCGAATTCAGTGTTCTTTTCGAGGGAGTTGCTGAACTTGCAGATGCAGTCAAGATCACCGGTACTACAGGACGGTTCGCCCTGTGGCTTCTTGGTCATGCATTTGTCAGGAATCTGATGGCCGTTAGTGGGTGGACTCATGTTAGAACCTTAGGGAACATGCGCCGCAAATTGGGATTTGCCCATCAGCAGGGCCCGTCGGTGTTAGCATTGCAGAGGAGATTATATTGGTGGCTGTCTTTATAGAGTGTGTTGTGGATACGTCTAACGATACTGAAGAGCTAGCCGCACTTGTGACTTGAGTCAATGTACCCGGTTGAGGAGACGTAAGAGATTGGGAGCTGACAGTAGCGGTAGACTGTGGGGGTAGTGGTTGATCGTATGGAGACCACTCCGGAGAAACGTCTATTAAGCTCGTACCACGTTGCTGGCAGGCTGCTCGATACATAGCGAGAAACTCTAAGCGATTGTCGATTAGTATTCTCACTCACTCGCCATTTCCCTCACTTGGTGGCGGAGCACGGTACTCACGCTTTCTCGCATCCGCGCCGTTGCACTCTTGCAGTACACAAGAAGCGGAGAAGTATTCATTGTTGGACAGCGTATTTGTGAATTTGCAGATGCAAGAAAAATAAGCAGCGATATCGTAGTCATACTGCTGACAGTAGAGCCATTTGGGAGCGTCGGACGTGTTTTCCGACTGGCACTTTGAGGAGATCTGATCTCATTAGCTATCGCGCATCTGCGCTGAGTCTCATGAACAACCTACTTCACAGAAGTAACCCGGCGCCGTCTCCATAGGGAGAAACACAGAGCTCGACTGAGTCGAACTTGAAACATCCATAGTGGAGGCATCAAGAATGGCAGGAGGAGTGTACCCCGGTGGATTGTTGTTACTCGCCATGACTGAGTTCAGTAACAGTGAAGTATACCTCGGTGGATTGTTGTTACTCGCCATGACTGAGTTCAGTAACAGTGAAGTACACGAGATGTGATGACGAACATTGATTGCTTCGCACCAGACGTCGTCCTTGCTCGAACGTCGCCGTTCAAGCTGAGAGACCGTCCGTTAAGCGGACCGAGGTCGGGACAAGCAAACAATCTTCACAAATTGTCTTGTATACACAGGTGTGTGATGTTCAACGAGCCGCGAAAAGGGTGAGAGACTGTGAAGTTATCATCGACGAAGTGAAGTCTGGGGGTGCGTCCGAATCGCTGGTTGGACATGCATAGTCATATGCGTTCCACTTGATGCCCAGGTCGCGCATTGCTGTGAATGATTGCACCGCAAACTGTGACAGTGTAGCAGGGCAAACGCCTAGCTTCGAGCTGCTGCTTTTCGGGTCGTGACAAACGGTCTTCGATCGCAGGTCTCTGGACTGTCAGCCAACAAGTTCTGGAAAAAAGGTCAATGCGGACGAGATTATGAAAATGAAATCGTCGAATTAGGTAAGTTGGTAGCTGGCAGTACTCTCTGATATGCCCTCGAATCGATAACCAATCATATCCATAGAGACCCCGGTTGCAATAGAACAAAAGAAAGCCCATCGGTCTATAGTCTGTACGCCGAACCCTCTTCCCGTCACTCCATGTTCGCATGGTATACGGATTCACCGTGGTCGAAAAGCCAGATTGCCCCATGTAACATGCCGCCTCTTGCCGCCTCTTGCGCATTCCATTTCTATCAATCCTCCCAACTCTGCTTGTCCACAGTGACCTGTCTAGAACAAGCAGTCCAAGCAACAACAGCACGCCAGACCAGCGCACAATCCAGCGAACAAGCCTCCGCCTCCGCCATCGGCCCTCCTGTCATCTTGGTAGTAGCCGCCGGGAGGTGGCGGTCCCTGCTGATATTGCATCTGCTGGCCTCCGTATCCGTATTGTCCTTGAGGAGGTCCGTATTGGCCTTGTGGCGGTCCGTACTGGCCTTGAGGCGGGCCTTGTTGGTAGGGGTTCGGGCTGCCGCCGTAGTAGTCTGGTGCGCCGCCGCCCTGGTTGTAGTATGAGGGTTGCATGCCACCGGGGGCTGGGCCGGCATCTTGGTGGGTAGGCGGAGGGTAGGCGGGTGGTGCGCCTTGGTCCTAAAGAACCATTAGTATTGTCATGGTTTTGCGACAATAAAGAGATGGGGTGATGTCGCGCAATGCGACAGGAGGTGCTGACAGTCGTGGAGACGTACATATGGTTTAGACATGGTGGCGATTTGTGTAGGTCACAAAGAGCGTGGTGTAAGAAAGATGGGTTCCTCGGAGGACCAAAAGACTGTCACGTCGTATTGCTGGGCGGCGAAGCTGGGCAGGCAATCTCTCCTCAGCTGTCGATCGAACTTTGTCGGGCGTTTGCTTCCGGGGTAGATGGCGATCCTCTGAGAAGAAATAAGAAGAAGGAAAGAAGGAACGGAGTGTGTATAGAAAGCAGAGTATGAACAGGTAGAAGGAAGGAGCGACAGATGGTCAGAGTATAGGTAGAATGCGGAGTTGATCACACACCAGATGTCGCGGCGTACGAAAGAGGGTGGCTGAGCAGGCGTGGCGGATCGGCTATGCCTCATTCGTCATAGTTTCCTCCCATAGTCACCCGCGAGCGCGCATCGCTATACTTCCAAGGCTCGTATTACCGTGTTATCCGGCACCATGCATATACTCTGCACCGTGGCTGGATTTGTTCTTGCTCTTAGTTGAAGCATGTGCTCCTAGGTCCTCGCCATGTACTTGGGACACACACGGCCTTTTTCTCCATTATCACATGAATGTAAAATAGTGGGTAATCTCCAGGGTACGTGTTAGAAAGTCTCGCATATCACGCATGAGGACGCGAATTTGTAAGAAGAGCGCAGCCCCAGAGGGCCGCCAGAAACCAGTAGTTCTCTCCTCCAAGTCGGGGCAATGCCACCAACCCTAACGCCAGACTTAATGTACAATGCTCTACGTTCCCAGCCAACGGCACCTTCCATCCGCGTCTCAATGGTATCATATCCACCGCCCTTGTCCCATTTCAGCCGTTCCAACAAGTCCTTCTATGACTGCACATCCACACTCTCGTTCGCCGGGGCCTGTTGCATTTCCTGGTCCTTGTTAGGGATGATAAGCTCCTCTTTTTGCTCATCGTCAACAAATTTCCTCTCGCTAACATGTTCACCCTCTTTAGGAGCAACCCAAACATTGGTCGTGTTCTTCTTTTGACCGGGCTCGTGCTTATACAAGCAGCGGGGGTTCAAACACGGGTTGAACTTGCACATAATGGCACTGTGGCCAAATTTGCAACCTTCCACTGTGCAGTCGGCGCCGTTGTGGCATGGCTTCGCAGTAGGGTGCTTGTAAGGGCAGGATGAGGGATCGCGGCAGTTGGGCCAAAATGCACACTCCTGCTCTGACTGGAACTTTTGTCGCTGTGCGGGCGATGGATGCTTGCCAACACACTTCTTGTTCTTACACGCCGCTCCAAAATCACACGTATCGTTCATGTCGACAGGTGTGCCAGGTGCCGCGGCGGGAGACTGGTGGACAAAGTGGCAGTCGGGGTTGCTGCATCGCAGGTTGAACTTGCACATGGTGGAAGACGGATCTGGTCGCCCAGAAGGCATTTCGACGTCCATACCGCTGCCGTTCTCTCCAGCTGGGCCATCAGCCATAGTCTCGTCCTCGCCCTCCTTCTTCTGGAAAGTTTTGGCGTTCGGGTTCATGCCTCTGCCGCCCTGGTGTGACCGATCTATACGTTGGTGCAATGGCTTCTTAGGTCCATTACGGTTGTTGTGGAAGTTGGGGTTGACGAAGCCAGCTGGCTGGCCGCCGGAGAAGATCTGTTGCATCATTTGCGCCTGGTGCTCGTACATCTGCATGAGCGCCATTTGCTGTTGCGGGTTTAGGCCAATGCCTGGCATGTTGTTCTGACCGCCCATTCCCGGCATAGGCATTCCTGGCATACCGCCCATTCCCATACCATTCATACCAGCGTTGTTTTGCCCCATGTTCATGTTGGCATTGCCCATACCACGACCGTTGGCCATGGCTTCCATTCCGCGACCAATGTTCTGGCCTCGTGGGCCTTTCGGTGGATCACGGGCGTGTGCGTTCACTCTTCCAACGCCGCCGCCGGCGCCACGTACGCGATGTAATACTGAGTCGTTGTTGCGGTCCATGTTCTTGTTAAGCTGATTGAGCATTCGACCGCCGCGCGCTGGACGTGCTGCTTGGGCGCCGCTACCATTACGCATAGCCTTGGGACCTGTAGGACTGTTCACAGTTAGAATCTGGTCATTGTGGCACGCGAAGGATTGTGAGCGCAGAAGAGCCATCGCATGCTTTGCGTTGGCCTCAGATCGGCATTTGCGCGCTTGCGTGGTCTCCTTTGAGCGATTTCTCGCACAAGTGGCTGCGCCAAAGCGGCGGGAAATTGGGGTGGTATCATACATATTGCCTTGTCCTTCTGACGCGCCTTCCATGTCTGTATCTTGCGCTGCCGCCATGTTGTCGTTTGATGAGCCGTCCATCTGGTTTTCGACTGACTGCGAGACCTGTGCATTGCCGCCGCTCGACTGCTTCAGGTGCTCGATTTGCTCGAATAACCACTGCGCAAACTGCTGTGTCTCTGTGTTCTCCGGACCCAGGTCGAGCAAATCATTTGAGAGTTCTGATGCGACCTGCGCTTCGTTCTTGTCGTTGGCCAGCATAAGGAGAATGTACTCGAAAAGCGTCGTGTCTTCGCCGCCAGTCGTCCATCCAAACTCAGCGAGCTTGGGCTGGACTACCTGTTGCAGCTGCATCGCCAGAGGCGAGTCGCTCGAAAAATCCACAGCCATAGTGAGGGCGGACGTTGATGGGAGAGCTGTCGCGTGGATTCGAGATTGAGCGGTGGGTGCGAAACTAAGGGAGCGACGAGGAACGCGACTTCCGTAACGTATGACGTAAGGCTATCGCGAGTGCGTGTTCAGACGGTCGTAACAGGTGTTTCGTCAGTCGTGAAAATGGTTGCGCGTTAGATGCAGCGGGTTGGGGCGTGGGTGGGTGTGGAGAAGGAAGTACGCAGTAATTGTCTGGGAGCACCTGCTCAAGTTCTGCGCAATCAAGCTCGGCACTTGCCGCGCTCACTAGCGCCCGTCTCATCCACAGCAGTATGCTTTCGCCACCCAGATTATATATCACAAAACAAGCTCCACATGGGTCCAGTATATCTGTCTGGAAGATGCTATACCCTAGGGGGCGCTTCTGACTAACTCACAAATGCGATAATTCTTCATCATGTATTGTCATGTCTTAAGCCAACAACTGCCGTCTCCTACTGTTCGACGTCTCATAATCAGTCGCACACGCCATAGACTCTTGTTGTCATCCATTCAAGTTTGTTCAGCAAGATTGCAAGGCGTGGTATATTTTCGTAAAAGCGTTCATACATGCAACTATATAATATCACACCTGCGACTGCTCCAGCTTCAGGCGCGCTTCTTCCATGCGTTGGTCTTCTTTCATACGTAGCCTATACTGCTCTCGTATCTCGTCTGTGATAAGAATACCAGCGCCCTCTGTGCGACGTGGTGGGAGCTCTTCTTCACTCTCGTGCCCAGTTCTCGATATGCTGATGTTGCCAGAGTTCTTCTCACTGCTCTTCTCCCGATTCTTAGAGCTGAGCATGTTTCTCAAGCCGTGACTTCTTGGCGCACCTTCGCCAGACCGGTTGGGTGACTGTCGAATGTACCCGTGGGTATCATACGAGACAGTATCTGATGGCCGTGTACGGCGTTTGGGTACGACGGATGCAAGTACTGGACAGCAGCCGATGATAACAGCTGGTAAAGTGTCAGTTTGATAAGCAAGAGCAAGTCTGGCGACTTTACCTGTTGAACATTCGATGATAGTCCACATAGTCAGCCATTTCGGATCTGGCGATCGAGGCTTTCCATCCTGACCAACCTGCACAATGCGTATAGTCGAAAAAAGTATGCATACAAGACCGGAGGCGAACAGTAACGCGCAACCGATCTTCTTGGGCTTCTCCATTTGCAGATTCCAAATGAGCCTGATTGGGAGAAACATGACTGCGAATTCCGTTATTACAAAAAAACAGCATTTCGACGTAAACTGAGCATACCCATCATGTTCGTTACAGTGTCTACTGCGTACGCGTAGTAGAGATTTGCTGTTTGTCGGCGAGTTTCTTCGGGCGACGAGCACACAGCGCCCCTATCGAAGAATGCTTTGGTGTCGTTACATGCTAGCCCAGGGCCTGTGATGATACAGGTAGACCATGTCTATACCAAATCAGTCAAGGTTTTTCAGGGGCTATGCGTGTAAAGACCCAACGGGATGAACCTTTACATACCACGACGCAGAAGATCAGTGTACCCCACCAGATGTACAGATACTTCTTGGGCATTCCAGAAAGCAGCTTCTTGTACAATGCCAACAGTGAGAACTTGACGAACCAGAGACATGTCCAGTACTCGATTCCGCTCTGCCACATGACTCTCGATGCGAGAATGGTGTCTTTCATCATGGTAGGCCATGGCACAATACGACCGAGTTGTAGTTCCTGGATTTTGAAGAAGATAGGCGTGATGACGATGTAGAGGATAGTGAAAGCCAAGTAGGCCGCGAAAGCAATGTAGAGCAAGATGTCCTGCGCTTCGATGGGTTTGCGTCGCCACGCTTGTACACCAATCCGTGCAACAAAGACTGTCGATGTCATGGCCAGCATAGCGTAGTCTATCCGGAGCAGATCATGCTGCGAGATCCAGTCGGCGCCTGTCGACATCGCGAGGACTGCAGGTTTTCAGGAATTTGGCTAGGATTGAATAGACCGGGACAAAACCCAACAGAGCATGTTTCTCGGGACGGATATTGTGTCGCAGCAGGACTGCGCTGTAGCTATCAAGATGGAAAAGTCCTGGATTTCTCGGTTTCCGAAGCCCGACACTCTGGATTAAACACTTGGGAACTGGAACTTGCTAGGTGCCCGGGTTAAGGTGCGTGTAGGGGTGTGGAAGCCTATGAGACGCATAGGTATATTGAATTACATGGGGTCCAACGCGTGTCTGAGCAAGGGGATACACAGATAGCGAACTCGATTTACCCAGTACACGGTTCCTGGTCCCTGGAATCTGGTATTCCGATCGTCTGCTCTCTCGCGACGTCGCACACTCTCGGTGAGAAACTCTCAGGGAGTCAGGATGGCCTTATCAAAGTGTTCATGAGTATCCTGTAGCGGGCAAAGGCCAGTAAGCCCCAAAGAACGCCTCCTGGCTAAATAAACCTTAACAGCCTAGCTTGGGGGCGAACTTCTCCGCTCACGCTTTTCGGGGTGGTGACATGCGCATCGGCGCTACAGGGTGGGAGCACGGTGCCTGACATTTTAGCTGAAATGAACGTAGCGGCTGACATGCTTCTTCTGTCAATATCCTTTCTCCTTTCCAAGACATGTTGTAAAGGCAACGACTCCAGGCTATCGCCTTGCAGCGCGGGTGTGGAGCAAACTCCGTTTAGGCCTCGGCGAGGTAAGCCACAGCGAGCCTAGCATATCGCTCCTAGGCAGGCCTAACGTACTCTACTGCGTTGTAGACCTAAACGGTCAGGACTTCGATAAGTTTGTCCACGGCAACAAGTATATTCTCAGGGGATTGCACGTAATTGTATGCCGGATAAATAGATTCAGCCATCGCTCGTATACACAGATGCAGGCGGCGGGTGCGAAAAAGGTGTCTTGCGGTTGGCGGATAGTAGTGTACAGCTGGCGTGGTGGCGTTCATGCGGCATTGGCAAAGACGCAGGAGCGGCACGGCTGGCTCTTCCCTTGTCCGCTCTGGACACCCACCCTCGGACTCTCACTTGGCATGGAATTCTTTTGCATCACAACACGCGCTTAGGTGTGGACTCGTGAACAGCTGCATGAGTGAGGCACAGTAATCCAAGTCATTGGAAGCGACGCGTCTATCCGTGGAGCCATGTATACATAAGCAAGGCGTCTTTTCAGCTCCCACCGATGTTGGACCATCTTGAAATTGCCATGCAGCCACACCAGGTCCCGGATGTCACTACCATGCTAAACTTTTGCCACGGCTCGACTCGCGACAAGAGACTAGCTCATACCCCACAAACTTTGGCCTTTGCTATCCACTAAGAATGCGACCAAGCTGCCTTCTCCGTCCGCTAAGGTCTACACCTATAGGCCCCGTCGGACGAGTATGGACAGCACGCCCCTAGGGGCACAACCTACATTAATTGCAGTGGCTCCCTGCACCTCAGTCACCGGCCCACACACTCGGTACCAGCTTTCTCCATCATCCGGCATATTCCGCTGACGCGCAAATGGGGATCACGAAGCTTATGTTCGCTGCTTCGATAAGCGCCTTCGCGGCTCGTGTGCTTGGAAGTACATTCGAGCCTGTCGACTTCAATGTAACGGAAGCGCTACTCGCCAACGGTCTCGATGTAACTGCTATTCCTGGCCTGGCAAGTCTGGCGGAAAGATCTTCGTCTGGGGCTTGCTCCACAGCTGTAAGTCTGCACGATCGTCGTGATTGACCTGGGGTCATTGCTAACCCTGGATCTAGTGTGCAGCTCTTCGAGTTATGTTCGGCAACGGGACTGTGCTGTCAGAAGGAAGTGCAGCGTACGACAACTTCACCAGCGACTATTGGGCAGCTCAGCAAGCCGCTGTAGACCCATTTTGCGTCTTCAAGCCCAGCAATGCCAAACAAATCTCAACTGTTGTGCTCTTGTCTCGATTTACGCAGTGTCCCTTTGCTGTGAAAGGAGGCGGACATGCTGCATTCGCCGGAGGATCTAGCATCGAAGGAGGCATCACTATCGCTCTGGAAAAGCTCAACGAGAGGAGCCTATCGTCAGACAAGAAGATCGTTTCCGTTGGTCCAGGTAACCGGTGGGCCGATGTGTATCCTTGGATAGAGCAGTACGGACTTGAAGTCATTGGTGGCCGAGTACGTTACCTTCCCTACTTGTTCCTATGCCCCGGTTTTCACGTCGAGCAGCTTTTCTAACCCCATGCAGATCTCTTCGGTTGGTGTTTCTGGATTGACTCTTGGAGGAGGTATCTCCCATTACGCGAATGCTTACGGATGGGCTTGCGACAACATCGATTCATTCGAGGTTGTTACAGCTTCAGGCATCATCGTGAATGCGAGTGCCACCAAATACTCCGATCTTTATTGGGCTCTTCGTGGAGGTGGCAACAATTTTGGCATTGTCACCAAGTTCAACATGAGGACCTTCGTCCAAGGTGAAATGTGGGGCGGGCAACGTGCCCACACTGAGGATCAGTGGGACAAAGTCTATGCGGCCTACTACAACTATGCCGTCAACGCAGGGAAGGATTTGAAGCAAGCTCAGATCGTGTCATTCGCACTCCAGGCCGGCATGAAAATTGCGGCCGAAGATCTTGAGTACTCCGACCCTACTCCATGGCCTCCTGTATTCGACGAATGGAAAGCCATTCCAGCCATCATCGACCAAACTGCTATTGCAAACATGTCGACTTTGGCCAATCAGCTTGGTGCGGGAGCTCCGGATGGCGTCCAAGAGACGTATTGGGACCGCACCTTCAAGGTAGACAAAGACATCTTCAAGGCCTTCATCGACATCTTCTTCGATATGCTGCCCGCAATCCAAGACGCTGCTGGAATCCTACCTGTCCTGTCTTTCCAAGCAATCACTGTTCCGGCAATGCAGCATATGCAACAGAATGGCGGAAATGCACTTGGTCTTGACCCCAATGATGGTCCGATCTTCATCTGTAACCTCGCCATTCTCTGGACGGATGTCGCGGACAACTCCCGTATCATGTCTTTCAGCAACAGCCTGTATGAGCGGCTTGTCAAGGAAGCGGCAAAGAAAGATCTGAACTCCGACTTCATTTACATGAACTACGCATCACCGTACCAAGATGTAGTCGCTAGCTATGGGGCTGCCAACAAGCAGAAGCTGAAGAGCATCTCTGGCGTTTACGACCCTACTGGCGTCTTCCAAAAACTTCAGCCCGGCTACTTCAAGCTCGAGGGAGCACCGTACGGAGCATTTCCAGCGTAATTATATATAGTAGTATGGTTCCGTGAAATATAAAATTGATCATAGCGGATGACTAGCTATCCTTTCACGTGCCTGTCTCGTGGGCCCTTTCCCGATCGCTCGGACAGAAGTGCCCTTGCCATAGGTTTCCGAGTGGAGCATCCAAACAAGCAAACCCTTTGGCAACAGGCACACCATGAGGATCAGTGTTTCCTTGTCTAGCGCTAATTGCCAGGATCTCCCAGGTGTCGGTGAACGCTGACGTCCGAGGGAGCGTGCCAAGGCGCTAGTCCAAGCGTTTGCTGAGCTGCCTCCAGTACTTTCTTGTCCGCTTGCGACCTTCTATCATCAACCACATCCGTCACCGTCACCCCCAACTTGTCTCGACTGCAAGTTTCGTATCAACTTTACATACCCGATTCACGTAACTAGAAGACAAACATGTCTCGCGGCGGCGGCACCACGCTCTACGTCACCGGCTTCGGCCACGGCACACGCGCTCGCGACCTTGCCTACGAGTTCGAACGGTATGTCTTCCAATGCCTCGCCCCAGCCCAATCGCACGCGCATCGTCGTCCTCCATCATAAACCTCGATCCCGCATACTCTCTGCCCCTTCCTCGCCCTGGCGGTCACACAAGACGTTGCGCGACGCTGCTTCCTCTTTTGCTGCCACACCCGTGCGCGTCGATGACGATCTGCATCTTCCTACATTGCACACACGCTCCTTCGAGACAACGATCTGACAATTCTCAAGCTATGGCCGCCTTGTCCGATGTGACATCCCAGCCCCCCGTTCGGCTTCTTCTAGACTGTGAGTTGGCCCTACCCAGCAGCAAGAGACCCAGGGTCTAACAGGCCAGCAGCTTCGCCTTCGTCGAATACGAGTCTCGTCGTGACGCCGATGACGCCTACCACGAGATGCACAACAAGCGCATCGGCCGCGATGACTTGTTGAAGATTGAGGTATGTCAGAATAACAACAATGACGTGGGTCTGTCTAACAAGCTATAGTGGGCCCGTACGCCTCCTTCGGCATCATGGCGATTCGACTCTGGCCGTGACCGTCCCCGTGGTGAGCGCTCTGAGCGTGGCGGTGACCGCGGCGACCGCTCCGACCGTGGTGATCGTGCAGACCGAGGTGTTCGCTCTCCTCGCCGTCGTAGCACCTCTCCTCGTCGCGAGCGTGGAGCTTCTCCCCGAAAGGATGACCGTCGCGAGCGCGACTATGACCGTCGTGACCGTGATAGGTCAAGGAGCCCTGTTGACGGCGACCGCGAGATGAAGGATGTCCGCGATCGTGAGGACGACCGTAGCGACCGTGACCGTGTCGATCGCGATGATAGGCGCGAGCGTGACCGCGAGGTTGAACCGGCTGGTGAGCCCCGCAAGAGTAAGTCAACCGAACCTTGTTATAACGAATCGCTCTGATCAGCCATCTAGTTGACTCCCCTCCTCCTCCTGCTCACGAAGACCTGGACGTGGCTGAGTAGAACTGAGCTGCGTTGCGTCTAGCAGGCAGCATCTGGACTATTGTCACTGTCTGCACAAGGCTAGTATTGACACGAGTGCTCAAATTGATTCAAGCACGGTGTTTTGTTGATGGGAAAATGGTTTTTGGGATTTGTTATTTTCACAAGTGGAGGCTAGATTTACTTCTATGTCCTGCCACGACATTAATGCATTCAGCAGTCGAAAAGCTCGATTCGGATCTTTTTTGGCGAACGGTTACGACGATTACCATTCGATTCGGACTTCTCGCCTTGTTTCGGTCGATCGGTCGATATCGATGCGGTTCGAGTTCCTTGCCTCCTGTACACTATTCGGTCGGTCCGTAGCACCTCGAACTCTTTCAACCTCACTTTCCCCCTTCGATCCCCGTTTCGATGTCACGTCCACGCTACTTTCCCGACGCCCCCATCCCGATGCGAAACATCCGATATCCAAGGTTTGTATATTGTGCGCATAGTAGATAGCCTTCGTGATCGTGACCTTGTATGTATACTGTAGCCTGTGAAATACATTCCCCGAACATTGTGCGCGTCAATTACATGCGTGTTTTCTCATGCACCTCTATCTGAGTTTGTCGTAATGTTTGCCCGCTACTTACAGTCAACGCTCCGTGCATGACATCGCAGCTGCATAGGGCTGAATCAATGACGGCAGTAGCCATCGATTGCGGAGAGCAAGCGGTCCAAGCTCGGTCATTTTCCCGCAGGAACATCAATTGAACCCTCCGAATGTAACTTCTTGGTCGTCGTCGCAACGCCCTTCCAATAGATCTTGCGACCAATTGAACCGGCAATGCGGCTCCAGAATGTCTCGCAGAAGACGTTGAAGACCGTTGCCGCGCGACCCGCGCTTGCATGCCACGCGCCGTCCCCATTGCATCCGCATCGGCCACAACTCGCATCACCACAACGCCTACTTCTCCGCGCCACAGCACAGTATGCCGTTCGCTACCAATCCTCGTACCCGGAGCGCATAGCTATCCTCGGTGGGGGTATAGCGGGCTTGTCGAGCGCCTACTATGTTGCTCGGGAATTCCCCAACAGTAACGTGGTTGTGTTTGAGGCGGGGAGAGACAAAGGTGGATGGATCAAGAGTCGCAGAGTCGACGTTGTAGATTCTGAGGGGAAGAAGGGCAACGTACTGTTTGAGCTGGGACCCAGGACGTTGCGAAATGCTACTGTCACTGCGGGGTTGGTATGTTTGAGCGTGTCTACAGCAGTAGCTCTGCTGATAGCGTGTGTATAGATTCAAGACCTCGGACTCGTTGACGATATTACGTTCACGAAGCGCACCGAACCTGGCGCAAAGAACCGCTTCATCTACTATCCCGATCAACTCAACCGCCTGCCCTCCGAGCGTCCCTCCCTCGCAGACTTCTTCTCGCTATGGCGGACTGGCATAATGAGTGGTGCCTTTGGTATGATCACAGAACCAATGAAGCCAAAGCGGCCAGACTCCATGTCCGATGAGACGGTTGGCTCGTTCCTCGCACGGAGGGTGGACAAAAGGGTAGCAGACAACATTGTCTCGGCGGTATTCCACGGCATCTATGCGGGCGACATCAACCAATTGAGTGCCAAGACACTGTTGAGCATGGCATGGCAGTTGGAAGGACGATACGGCAATGCCCTTGGAGGCTTCTTCCGTATGCAAAACGAAGACCCACGACCGGAGCAGGTCACCCTCGTTCACCCATACGACCGGGAAATAGCAAAGGCCATGAATGAAGAGATCGACCTGGACCTGGATTTTGCAAAGAACCTAAAAGACTCTGCTATGTTCTCATTCAGGAACGGGTTGCAACAGATGGTCAGGGCATTGCTGGATACTGTGGAAAGCAAGGGCAATGTCGAGATCCGGACAGAGGCGCCCATTCAGAGCTTCAAGCCCCTGAACGAGAATGGGAAGCTGGGCGTCGAAATTGTCTCTGGGGTAATTCCATCGTCTCGAATGGAAGCTACGCGAGTACTGACAGTATACAGAACGAAGGCTCGACATCAACAGAATCGTTCGATCTTGCCATATCCACCCTCAAGAACGATGAGATAACCCCCTACGTCACAGTTATGACGGTAAATCTCTACTACCCCAACGCGAATCTTCTCCCTGTTGAAGGTTTCGGCTACCTCATCCCACAATCCATTCCATTCGAGCAAAACCCTGAGCGCGCCCTAGGCGTAATCTTTGATTCATCTGCTGTCAAGGGTCAGGACACAGCCAACGGCACAAAACTTACAGTCATGATGGGCGGCCACTGGTGGGACGGCTGGACAGAATTCCCCAGTGAGGAAGAGGGTCTGGAAATGGCAAAGAGTGTCCTGAAGAGGCACATTGGCATCACGGAAGAGCCCACTGCACACATTGCCAACCTCTCCCGCGACTGCATTCCTCAATACACACTTGGCTACGCTGACCGCATTAAAGAATTTGCGGAAGGCATGTCCAGCGAGTTCAAGGGGCGGTTACGTGTTGTAGGCGCCCAATTCAATGGTGTCGGTGTAAACGATATTATCACCGCGGCGTGGCAGGTATCGAGAGGATTGAGGGGAGAGGGCTGGAAAGGAAGAAGTTGCGGATTGGATAGGGTTATGGATGAGAGGGAGTGGACGGTTGTGCCTGCTAGCGAGATGGCGTATGTGAAGAAGGAGTTTGTGAATGTTGGTGGCTCGGGCATGGATCGCAGGGGTGATGGTGGGGTGTAAAGCTATCAACGGGGATGGGGTGTATATATGGTGATGCTGGAGGTGGAGTAGATAGGTAAAAGCATAGAAATGTACAACATTGACGTCTTAGCTGGACCGGCCTGGTTCTCGCGCATCTCAGAAGTGACACAACTACTCCCACGTATGGTCGTCAACTGTAATAACCGTAGTCCTAACTCTGATCAACCTCTGGCAACCTCTGCGCCCAAAATGGAGAGCCTCGATTATGATTCGCGCTGTCGCGTAAACGTTGTGACGTCTTCAGGCGACCGCTGCCCCTCCCTCCAAGACTGCGCCATGGCTTCATTGCCAACTTCAACCTGCTTACCTTCTACACATGTCTTCAGTCAAGGACTTGGCCTTTTGCTAAAACCCCCAAAAAATTCTTGCCCTTATCTTTGGGCTCTTCTCTCAACTTTCAGCATCTTTTGTTATTTACGTAGGCAAGCCATTCACGACTTTCGCATCATCAACGACACTCGACCACGAATGAGGGAAAATCACAAACCAAAGTGAAGTCATCTTGTCAAACCTAGCTTCATTGCCGACATGCCTTATTGCACTCCTTGCTCAACATTCGCCGACTTCGCAGAGCTACCACCGACCCCTCAACCTGCACGGAAGTGGTCGTCGTTGAGTGACTTGATTGCGTCAGCAGGGTCTGGCTGTGATCTTTGTACGCTGTGTTGGCAGTACGCTCACAACTTTAACTTCAAAGACGACAACGGACCAATCTGGCTTTGTTGGGGCAAGGATTCAAATAATGACGATGGTGCTGAGCGCTTAGAGCTTCGTCTGACGAAATCCGTGATCATTGTCGACGTTCAGGATCGCTCACAAACGATTGTGGCAGATGATGATGTGATAGTACAAGCTCGACGACTTCTCGAAAATTGCCTCTCCTCTCATGAGAAATGCGGCGAGATAGCCATCCTGGACCCTAAAGGAAGTGGCGAGAACGACAGAGATTCTGCTGATCGTTGCCCTGAGCTAAAGTCCTTGCCACGTCGACTGTTGGACTTATCCCAGGGGTCTGATATCCTCGTCATCAACGTGGAATCGTGGATAGTTGACGGTATCTCGTCGGTAGCTGAGCTGTCACAGTACTGTACCTTGAGCTATCGATGGGGAGTTGCAACTCAAAGTTGCATCCTTAGAGCGCCTTTTTCTAGCCAAATCATTATTGGCATGGCGGATATGCCTCAGACTTTCAAGGACGCCATCGAGATAACGCGGCGATTTGGTATTCGATTCCTGTGGATAGACGCTCTGTGTATCGTTCAGCCTGAAGCTTGTGGCGATTACACAGATTGGATTGCAGAGGGCCATCGTATGGGTTCCATATATCATAACGCTATATTCACCATCGCTGCGACCTGTGCTGATAGTGTTACGGACGGGTTTCTCTCGAAAGTAGATAGCGAGAGGATACGCGCAGTCTCTTGCAAGGTCACTCAACGTGCAAGTAATGGAGAGGCACAATCCAGTCTTGCGAAGATATGCGGCATGGATTATGATCATGTCATCGATGATTCGGCTCTCAACAATCGTGGATGGGTCACTCAAGAGCGATTTCTTTCACGACGTGTGCTTCACTTTACGGCTCAAGGCATTATCTGGGAATGTTCAAAAACCAAGGAGCATGGTAGCAACGCTGTATCACGGATGATCGTACTTGATGTTGAGGCCCCTTATTTCTTCGATTCGGTCTTTCGTAAGAAACTGAACGGGAAAGCCTGGATGAAGATTGTCAGTCGATATTCACACGCTAGCTTTACTAATGCAGAGGACCGATTGATCGCTCTTTCGTCACTGGCAAGGTTCTTCCATTCCAGACTTGGTCATAACAATGCATACTGCGCAGGAATGTGGTGCAACTCCTTGAAGCAAGATCTACTCTGGCACAGAAGATACCCGCCGGATTCCAAAACAGACCAGAGGTCCAACTTAGCTCCCACTTGGAGCTGGGCCTCGGTGACGGGAGCAATTGGTTATCTGGAGGAAAGTAATCGGGGAAATCCATACACTCAGCCTGTCGTCCCACCAGCACGAGTCTTGAGCGTACGCTCAGTACTTACGCCCCACGATAATATGTATGGAAACGTCCTTGAAGGCAGACTTGAGCTCGTTGCGCAAGTTCTCAATGTTATGATATGGACAAGGAGTGCAAAATCCCGCCAGCTCAAAGAAGATGTTCAAAACAAGCGAGTATCAATTTCACGTTCAGTCTATTGGGATGAGTTACAAGAAGACTCTACAGAGGAGGAGCAGTACGAAATCATCCCTTTTCGTTATTTCCAACGTTTCAAACATATATTATCCCACACCTCTCACCCCGCGATCATCGTTAGAAAACTGCCCTTAACAATTGCCACAGCCACAGAACACGATCCTATCCGTACGTACCGCAGGATTGGCCTGTTAGAGGATGTTCACAGTGAATCGGTGGTGATGCAAGGCGATTCTGAAAAGGCAAGGTACAATTACGGTCAGGCTGTGCAAGAAGTGGCGACCTTATTTCTAGTGTGATTATAGGGTAGCCTATGCGCATGATGGATAGGAAAGTTTCAGGTTCTGGCTACTTTTGGTGGCGAACTGTTCTATAAAACAAGCTATGGTTTATGGTATGCCTATGAGCATGCACAAGGTCAGCTTGCGCCGCGTTCATAGTGGTTTAGGAGAGCTATGCACATATCCATTTCACAGACCGGGATCGGGCCGGTACGATATTCACAATATGTTGAGGACAGAAACAACAAATCATGGCTGCGTTCGAGAAGAACGCCTGGTATTGGGCAATGCTATCAATGGGTCTCACGCAAGAAACCTACCATATGCTCACTGTTCAGATTACAGTTCGGGAACAGCGGTCATGGCGTTTAACTTCTGTTTGTAACGAGAATGGCTACCTATTCATAATAAAGTAAGATCAACCGCCGATGAAATAACAATTGACTCATGAATCTAGTCGAATTTAGGCAATGTCAGCGTGACCACTCAACAAATCCCGTTGACTGACATTTAGCAAACGAACATCTGCTCATCAAGGCCCTTATGACGCGGCAGTCTCCCTTCACTATATACAATAGTGAGAGAGAGAATGTGTCACCTAGGATTCGAAGACGATTTGACTATACTTCTTGGAATCTGACTCTACTACACTCAGTCACTTCGAATATAGATCCATTTTTAGAATATGTATTCCTTGTTTACCATACTGTCGCTTCTTCTCTCCAGTACGCCTTAATATTCTCTTCAGACTTTGGATTGTTGAGTACAACACATTTCACCACTACTTGTTCAGCCCTCTTCAGCGATATACGGGATAGGATATCGATATGTCTGACCACCAAGGCGGTAACAACATCTCTTCCTCTTTATCAGCCCCTACTAACAGTGGACCATCCAATGTAAGTCTCCCTTGAACCACATTTGCCCACTGTTAAAAGACTAGAAAGGTAAGACTAGACACAACCGACCCTTGCCCTCTCTAGACAATAGTAAACAACACAACCTTAACAGCAAGAGCAAGGCAACTGCAACCTAAATTAACTAGGTCAATTTCAACTACAAAGTTATTTACTACTTTGCATCTGACGTGATTGTGGCCTCGCTAATCTTATCCTTTCTTTGTGCCTCGGCCACCTCTTGCACCTCCACCTTTTCCACTTCCACCCCTTCCGCTTTTGCCACTCTGTCCGGCGTTTACAGGCGGCTCCTCTTCTGCATCTTTAGTCGCCTCAGCATTCTTGGCCTTCTCCTTGTCCTTTTTCTTCTTCTTTTTAGCCTTGTTCTTGTCGGCGTCGTCCTTTGCAGCCTTTTCCGCGTCCTTGTCGGCATTCTTCGCCTTCTTCTTCTTCTTCTTCTTCTTCTTCTTCTTCTTCTTCTTCTTCTTCTTCTTCTTTTCAGTCTTGTCCTTGTCGGCATCGTCCTTGTCGGCGTTATCCTTGGTAGCCTTTTCCTTCGCAGCCTTTTTCTTCGCAGCCTCGTCTTCTCGGGGACAAATCTTCCCGAATCCAGGCCTCTACGGAAGCTTGTTAGCGCACGAGGTACCCAAAGAGGAGTCCGTCGACAAGCTAGTGTCTCGTATCATGGCCCCACCTCACGACCTGTACAGTGCCGACGGCAAGACAGTCACACTGACTAAAACCTGGGTGGTTGGTCTCATGGGCAAAGACCGCTTCGAAGACTCGGGCCCACTTCTTTACCACGTCCTTTGTCACGGTGCCGAGCTCCGCGACTATGGTCTCGAATACGGCTTGTCTGAAAAGGTCTTGAGCTGGTTGATCAGCACCGAGGACACTGTGGAGTTGCCTATTGGTCATTTCAGTTACGTCTAAGAGGATACTGGGAGGGCAAGTCTTCTCCGAGAGATCATGTCGGACGGTAGATTGTGACGATAAACACCTAGTAGTGTTCACACGTTCACGACTTGTGGCTCTTGGCAGTTTAGAGACAGTAAGAGTGCAACATGGCTGGCTAGACCATCGGATGTTCTTGCGATAGATGAGATGGCTAGAGATTATATGAGCGTCAAGGCCTTTGACTCGGAAGTCTTCGTAGCATGAATTGGATGACTACGATACCACTACATCTGCGTGGCAACATGGGACATAATGAAGGACATGTGAAGCTGATTTGTAACCTCATTGTCAGTCGTGGAGATCTGAGGAGAGCACATGGTACTCTTCGATCATGCCTGCTCAGGGGTAAGTACTTCATGCACTCTTTGCAGCACTTTTAAATACCGAGTCACTTGCGCTTGGCCTGCATACAACCAACAAGGCAGAGACGCAATCAGATCTCCAGTACGCATGCCGTTCCCAAAGAAGTTCACTCTTCTTGTCTTGCTGAACGCAATAGGTCCTAGGGGTTTCCGGTGCGTTTAACATTAATCTAGTAATAAAGTTCAAGCTAATGTATGCATTAAAAAGATGTCACTTGTACAGTGAACCACATCTTATACCCAATCAGACTGAGCGACAGCACATCAAGTTCAACGAGGAGTTGTATAAATACAATGCGTCGGACTATTGAATAATCTCCTTGCTTCACCGGTTCCGGAAGTGATTGATTTCTTTTTCCAAGTGATTGGTCTACGGATGTTACCGTCCAAATGAGGCCAAGACGTTACTGTAATTCTGACTTCCGGCGGAGAGGGCAGATCATGCACAAGAAGAGTCCGTCTGTCGCACACGTTGCTCCGCCAAGGGTGATCATCCACCTTGGCGCGCCATTTCCGCGATCTTGTGGAACTCGAAACGACTACCATGGGAGGTCAGGAGGTATTCAGGGTGTTGCCCTATAGGGGCTTGCCCAGTCATGACGAAACCTTGATCCTAACAAGCACATAGTCTTGTTAGCGGAAGCTTCACTGCGTCTTAGCGCAGTGTCAACAGATTTGGTGCCTGAGAGGCGGTCTAAAACGTGTTCCTGGATTCAGTGTTAGTCCATATTGCATGCCTGCTCCGTAGAAACAGCGGAACTCTTGTGGGCCGAAACGTCACTGTGTACGCGAGATGTGTAGAACGTCTGAAAGCGGTGTCAACAGCGCCCACCACTGGTTTGATTAGTCTTGTGTCTGTTGCGCTGTGCTGCCTGCCAAGGGACAGATGCTTTGTCCGCTGTCGTTGATGATTTGCTGTGACAATAACGGGAAGGAAGCTGAACCCGACGCACATATGGTCAATCTGGTCTAGATTGGCTGTTCAGACTATGAGCGGCAGATGAACAAGTGCCAAGCGCGGAACGCAGTTCCTCCAGGGTGCCAAGAAGTGTTCGATAAAAGCAAGTCGTCGAGATTATTGCCAAGGTTGGTGATCCACGGCGTGGATGTAGTGGAACGAAGACGTGTCTTTAGGAATAGTTTTTGTGAAACAGTTATCCATGCACAATGTAGACCATCTTACATATTCACGACGTCGGACCGACGGTGTTTGAGTTGCTGTCGCATATTGCAAGCAGGCCGGGTCGAATACTGAGAGATGGTCGTGACTTCCTTCCGAATGCGCGTACCCCACAAAACGCACGAGCCGCGTGCAGATGGAGAAATAGCGCAATCTCCGCTGCGAAACGTGTTGAACGTTCTGCGGGTGGAAGAAGAAACGACGACTACTGCAGGTGCAAGTGGGTGACAGTGGAGAAACTACGGGATAGGAAACCAGTCGCTTGACTACAAGTCTAGCAGGACTCACCGCCATAGTTGCGCGACGACGTCAGAGTGTGTATGTATTGGCCAGGCTGCATCTGTCAGCTATGCGATGGAATGAGGCGGAGTATGCCTGTTGCGTGGGAGGAGCAGGCTAATTACTCCAATGGCCGACGTTGACGCAAATCTCTTGCAAAGCAAAACCGAGTTGGCTCGCCCGACGTTTGGAGTGTCGTTGACCTATTCGTGGAACACGATCAGGGTGCACATGGTCGCGATCGGGAGCCGTCTCAGCAGGCGTCCCTGTCAAGAGCACTGCAGATGCTGGCAAGTTGCATGAGGTGATACGAACCCCGCAATCCCATTTGATAGCACTGGAGACAGATGCTCAGTGACCACGGGACAGAGTCTGCAAGCAATCAATGGGCCTCGAAACCTTGGTGTCGTACTATATAGCGTGTGTCGGCGAAGAGGGAGCTGGTCTAACTGGTCATTGCGAGATGCAATAACCATGGCGGGGAAATGGCGTCGCAACGGCTGGTGACCCCCACGATATTCGCCTGTCGCGTTCGGCGGCAAAGGGCCGCCTAAGCTTTGGATTGACGGCGCCCTGAGCTGGGATGCGAGGGCATCACGCCGAACCATCGTCAGTTGATGTCTAGAGCTGCACAAGCAGCACATCCGCAAGGAGAGCGAATGTCGGCACGGCGGACACGGAGGCGTCCGCCTACGACCAGACGGTGTACAGAGGACGGCAGGCTGTCTGTGAAGCACATTGATGATGACTGCAGCAGCTTAGACCACATCCAAAGGCGGGTGCGGCATTTTTTTCCACTGTCCAGGCAAGGCCAGCATGATGCCCATTGCCCTCTCCAGGGCTCTGTCTCTCGTCTGGCAGGCGGAAGGGCGATAGGAAGCGCTGCTGAATCAAGGGGGGCCGCCGTCACGCGATGGCGTATTGGAGTGGTTCAGTTAGTAAACGCCTGGTGGCTGATTGCAAGACGTAGTTGCATTGTGTCGGAAGCGCGGGTTCGTGCTAGACGTGAGCCTCTTTTGGGCTTTTGTGGAGATGACAAGGAAGGCCGTAAGTAGACAAGCCGGGCGGTCAAGCTTTGCAGTCTACGATCATCGACGCACATCATCCATCACACGGCGCTGGTGTGTGGTCGCAAGGTCCGGGTCCTGGGGCAGAGCGCACGGTGTAAGAGCATTACTGGGCGGCCTTTGCAAGACGTGCATCCGGCCTGCAGGTGGCCTCTGGCGCTGTGGGGGTTGCGCAGGGGACTTGGGCCGGGGTGTTTTTGGCGTGAATTAAAGAGAGTTTAGTCCCTCTCTGCGACTTCTGGAGCCCACATATCATTGCGCGAGGCCCCGGGCGCCGTCTGCTCATACTTTCTGGGACCATTGCCGTCTCTGTCTGGTCTGATTGCTATTCCAAGGTCAAGTGCGCGAGCAAGGCGGAGAGAGGGACGTCATCTTGCCTGCCTGCATCTGGACCCTTCGACATTCACCCCTCGGCCGCTGCAAACCTCAATCGCGTGTCGTCGGTACCACATTCCGACGCAACATAATTCTTCTCCCCCAGTCACCCATAGCACTTTGTGTATATGGCTCTGTCACAATTGCAACATTTCTACCACACCCCGCTCCTGCTGCCCACCCTACACCTGCATTCGTGCAGTACGCTCGAAGGCTCGTATAACCGTCCGAGCCCTCTCCAGCGTGCGTAGCGACAAATCCCAGCACCCCGTCGTATCTCCGTATCCGCAACATTCACCCTCGATAACGCTCGGTCCCTTGCCGACCAATCGGAGAACAGCAGTCACCCTTCACCATGCCGATGGTCGCTGAACAGCCACGGCAACTGTCGATCTCTTTCGATGAGCAAACACTCTCCGACCGACTTCGCTACCGCGACTCACGCCCGCTCGACCACCGCTTTGCTATTGAAGAGGAGGACGAGAGCACCGGCACCGCAAGCGAGCCCGCAGAGCCTCTCACGCCCACCAGCCATACCAGCGAGGGCTCACCCTTCTCACATCCCTTCCGTGACGATGATGAGTCTGTAGACGACGTGTTCGCGACTCCGCGCCCTACCACGGACGACATGGAGAACAAGTCACCTTCCCAAGAAGCGCCTCACAATACCCAAAGCCCACCGAGCATTCGGGCGCCTCAACAGGTCGAGCGACAGTCACCACCAGAGAAGCGTGGCCTTGGAAAACTAGGTTCTCTAATCCGCGGCAAACTGCACAGAGGACATTCAAGCAGAGATGGAGGAAACCAGTCCGAGACTCCTAACTTTTCGACGCCCAACAGGTCTCCCAAAACAAAGGCAGAGACCAACACATACATTGTCAAGACCGGTGTAGATGGACCAGCTGAGATAGCAACACCAGCGGTCGATATCCCTAAACAAAGTAGGAGATTGAGTTCCTTCTCACTCACACGACGCTCGGATAAATCTTCCCGTGCAAATTCCCCGCCCTTATCTGGCTCGCCTATGAGCAGACCATCGATGGACAAGCGACCAGGACTTGGCGAAAAACCTGCATCCTCTACTGGCCTGGCAAGCATGAGCAGGCCTCGACCTGGTGTCACCTGGGCAGGCAGTGGCAATGCGAATTCTACTACTACTAAGAAGTCGGGTTTCTCACGGCGACGGTCAGCAAGTACGGAACAAGTCCCACGTATCGATGAGAACGCAGAAAAGCCCACCGCTGGTATGTTAACTACTTTCTCCAAGCCGGCCGTCCAAGGTGTGGGCATGAAGGCACGGCGGCTTAGCATAAATCTTCCAGATGACTTCATAATAGACTGGTGCGAGCTGGATAAGGAGTTCAAAAGTTCGAGTTTGATGCCTGGAAAGAGGGGGAAAATTCTAGGCAAAGGTGCAACGTCTGAAGTTCGGATCATGGCAAGAAGAGGTGGCATAACCAGGGAAGAGGATTTAGTAGCTGTAAAGGAGTTCAGAGAACGCGACAAGGACGAGACCGAGGAAGACTACGTCTTGAAGATCAAGTCCGAATACAGCATTGCGAAGAGTCTGCACCATCCGAATATTGTCGAAACCGTACGGTTATGCACGAATCGCGGCCGCTGGAATCACGTAATGGAGTTTTGTACATATGGAGAGATCTACTCGCTAGTAGAACGGAAGCTTTTCGCCGGTGGTGCGGAAGGGTTTTATAGCCGGGACGATCGATTGTGCTTTTTCAAGCAATTACTACGGGGCGTCGACTATTTGCACAGCCACGGCATAGCTCACCGAGACATCAAGCTAGAGAATCTGCTTCTTAGCAAGGAAGGCCACCTTAAGATCTCGGATTTCGGCGTGGCAGAAGTTTTTAGCGGTGAGCATCCTGGGCTTCGCGCGTCTGGTGGTGAATGCGGGAAGAACATGGGCGAAGCCCGATTATCTGCGCCTGGCATCTGCGGCAGTCTGCCCTATATCGCCCCCGAAGTGCTTGAGAAAGACCACAGCTACGACCCACGTCCATTAGATATATGGTCAACAGCCATCGTCTATCTCACCATGACCTTTGGGGGATGCCCATGGCAGGCTGCGAAGCCTGAGTTCGAGTACTATGCACGATTCAAGAAGGGCTGGGATTCATGGCTGGAGCGTCACCCAGATGGTGATATCTTCGATGGTATCGACGGCCACCCAAAGTGCGGCAAGCTTTTCAGCCTCATCGAGCCACCATCTATCAAACGACTGATGTTGAAGATGCTGCACCCCAATCCCTCTAAACGTATCACGATTAAGGAAGTACTCAGAACTACCTGCATTAAGAACATTGGCTGCTGCTGTCCGGAAACATACGATGACCCCAAGATCACGTTTGACGCTTCCAAGGCATCGAGTGCTAGGACCGCTGCTCCGAAAAAGTACCTTCACCACCACATTCCACCCAAGCCGGAGAACAAGGTTGGGAAGGCGTTCACTCATCGGTTTGACATGGGCGAACGATAACAACAACTGTATTTTTTTGATGACTACTGTTTCACGATCACTGCATTACGGCGCTTGGATGTTGAGCATAGCGGGTCAAAAGGCGGATCTTGTGTCGTTTACAGTCTCGGTGCTGCACTGTATTCTTGTCTCACTAGCATGTCAGTTCTTGCATTATTCATCGAATGCTCATTTCAAACGATCGACATATCGCATTATCTTCATCCCTCGTCCAACCTTCCATTCCCATTTCTCCCGAGCATCTTTCCCTATCAAACACACGTTGCGCGCACGACCAACATCATTGGCAGCCCTGCAGAAAGCGCAAAACGGCGATTGCCCTAGTAGCACGCACCGACGCTCCACTGCCTCCACTGACTTTCGGAGCAATTATGATTGCGCAACTTGCAGCTAGCGATAGCTTGTGCTGATCTTCCGCTCTTTATCGCTAAACCCTATCTTCTGACACATCTATAGCTTTCGTCATAACGCATAGCGGCCGCACCGACGCTCTTCACATTTCGCTGTTATGGGTCATTGGATCCCGACCTTGCATCGCTGCGATGGGAATCAGGACAGTTAGTTTGCTAATGGCCCGTCCGTCCGACGTGGCGCCGAGATACTTGGGTCTCTAGAACGCTGGTCGATTGCCTTGGCGAGGGAGAAAAGTGAGTCGCGCGCGGAACAAGACAATGCTGCGATCGTAGACCCGAGAGTGGGTGGCGTATAACGGGTACAACGCCCGCTATGTTGCGCATGCCTAAGGTTGCGTGTGCGAATACGGATTTTGCATGTCATCAAAACGTGGGGAATGATCAGAGCATGGACTAAGTCGACAAGACGCAAGTCCGACCCAAGAAAATGACCATCTCGACGAAAACACGTGGGGAAGACAATACGCTGACAGTGCGCGATTGAGTTTTATGGAACGAAGCATTGGCGCAGCACGTTAGCGGGCGGCGCTGGGCGATTTCCCAAACATGCAGCATGCTTCTCGAACGCGGGGCACAAATCAAGGCCGTCGCTCACATCCTCGCTCACAGCATGTCAAACTTCCGCCGAGTTTCAATCAAGCCTTTGAGCCGAAGTAACACAGAGAACGCGTGGTGTCACCATCGGCGCGTTGGTCGGAGCAGAGAATCGGCGATACGTCCGAAGCTGACTACGTCTCAACTATTCGGCCTTCCGACTTCTTGCGCGAGTGGGCGGGGTAACGCGTTGCTGCAGTGGTGTGTCGCGTGCAGCTCAACTTGGATATCACACGACTATGAACAGCATGGCGAGCAGACGGAAGGCGGCGCGGCCGAGCTCTCTGTCCCGTGCCTGTTGCGGCTGAAAAGAAGGTTGTGGTTGTAGGCATCAATGACGTATATTTGGCTTTCCACACCCCCACGAGATGGGTTCTTCGAATGAACTTGAGTAACTCTTCCGCACATGGAGCCCTTCGAACAAAGTTGTTAATATAAAGTACACGAGGAGCAAAGATACCTGCATTCTCAACAAGTCCGCATGCACATCTGGATGGCAACACACGAGGACGAGGATCACATTGGCAAAAGACCAACACATAACCCACAAACTCTTTCCTACCCAACACCTCCGTCCAGTACTACACTCCCACCCTCCAACTCCGCATTAATAATGCCGAACAACGTTCTCTTCCACTGATGCAGATCTGCCTGAAGTCATGCGATGCACAGCGCATCCCTGCAGCATCACCTTGCAGAGTGCGGTGTGATGGACTTTTCTTCCTTACATCGCACGGCACGTGTCCACCTTGACGCCTGGTACTATGCAACCATTTGGCATTAAGGTTTGCGCCCAGTGCGCCTTATCTCACATAAGGTGTCTCGAAGCGAATGCTTAGCATAAGAGTGATAGGTTGGGGTGAAACGCGTGATACGTGGAGTTGCACAAGACGCGTGGGGTGTGACTAGCGGTGGAGAGTCACAATAGGTGTGGTCGGGTATACGGCACATACTGCGGTGTGCGTCATAGGAGATGGAGTGTAAGATCGTTCGTTAACGAACTTGGGAAGAGGAGAGCTTCTTGCTACATGCGTGTATTGCGTATGCATATGTAATGTTTTCAGTGTAGTAATATGCGTGAAAATGCAAGATAAGATAAGTCACTTTCAACACGTCTTCTGAATTACCAATAATTGAATACCAGCTATCGTCGCTAGTATCTATTCCACATCGTGTTCAACAAGCTTTCTCTTCCACTCTATCATCACGCAGCTCTACCCACTATGGCTACATACTTCCTATTTACCACATCTCCCACACGCCCTCTGGTAACACTGACCTCATAATCTTCCAATGACTAACCGCACCATCTTCATGAAACTTCTCCAGCTCGCCAACATCCGCGTTACCCATAACCCTACCTCCATCCTCCTTGCTGACGAAATCGTACTTGACCTCCAACTTCTTCTGCGGCTGAAGGAAATTTGTGCGCGCAATACTACCTAGGAAGTCCTTTGGAACCGCATCACGGAACCTAACAGCCGCTTTGCCTAGCCCATCATCGTTCTTGACGCAGAAGATGACCATGTTGATGAAATCAGCTTCACCCTCTTTGTGTTCCTCTGGCGCGGGAGAATCGCGGAAGAGGCGGCAGGCAGGGAAGATGGCGTGAATGGTGTTTAGCACTAGTCTGGTTGAACCCAGTGTAAGGTCACCAGCGTAGTTGATCGCTACAACACCCTCTGGTGTCAACAAGTCATAGAGACCTTGCATGAACTCTGTGGTGAAGAGATAGACAGGTTCTGCGCCGCCGGTGAAGACGTCGTGAATGATGTAGTCGAAGCTGCCTGGTGCTGATACGGATTTGCGTGCGACGTAGGCGGTTGCGTCGTCGATGACAGCGGTGTGATCGGGGCTCAGGTCAAAGTATTTCGTGGCGTAGTGGTGGACTACAGGGTCAAGTTCGACAATTGTAGTGTTGATGCCGTGCTTGATCATGGCGTTAGGTGCCGTGCCGATACCAAGACCGATTACCAGAGCGGACTTCTTGCTATCATCAATAGTAGGTAGAGTGTCTACTGGTGGTTCGATGAGACGGACAGCTTCGAGAAGGACAAAGACGGCGAATATAGATTCCCGTTGCCGTTGGCCCTTAGCATAGGCTTGCGGTGTGACTTGCCACTCGCCACCGAGCAGAGAGTGGTCACATCGAAGGAGACGGAAAGCATTGTCGGCGTGATTCTCGAGGACGGATACATATCCCGTAACAGATTCCTGGCGGGCGAGAAGTGTGTAGTTTTGTGTAGCTTGCAACGTGGAGTTTGCTAACTGGAGACCATGAGCTGAAGGGTGATGCGGGTTCGTCCAGAGCGTGTGCAGAATTGCTGGGAAGGCAAAGAGGATGACACGCGATGGGCTAAAGAAGGCAGATGCTGACGCAAGCAGCATCTGCATACCCACGCGTGTGAAGTAAACAGATGTTCCGATGAAGCTTGGGATGAGAGCGCTGCTGATCTTGGCCACGGTCGACACGGTAAAGTAGGATGCCGTAGGGACAATGACCTCCTTGATAGGCGAGGGGTTAATACCGGTGATGTCGATACATTCCAGAAGATCGGCCGCAGCGAACACTGAGAGGAATAGCAGGGGAAAGTATGTCAGGGACTCGATGAGTAGAGGTCCATATTCGATACCGATCTTGCCGCTGTATGGAAATAGTAGAAACTGAATGACGGGGGTCCAGTACGCAACTACAGCGATGTACTGTGCGACATTTGCAGATACGTAGCTCTTCAAAGCGCGTCGCGTGATAAGAGCTCCAACAGCAGTGAGGGTCATCGTCCGTTGGTGGTGTAGGGATGCAGGAATGGATCCATAGACTGGTGATAGATTGAGCTGCGAAACTGGTGATGCGAAACCTGCAACCAGGAGGAGAGCTGCTGCTCTACCAACGTTCAAAAGGATAGTCGATGCTGAAGCATTTTGCGCCTGTGGTTCCACCTCTTTTGCTGCCTTTGGCTTCTTCTGGGTCTTTTTCGGTGACATACTGTGAAATTCCTGTTCTATCTCTTCCTATAAATCAAATGCGATATCTCTTGATCCAGTTGGCGTGGTAACTTTCGCGATGAAAAACAAAAGACGGGATATGTTCAATGTCGAAAAGACCAGATATTGCAGAAATGCTCCAAGCGGCCCAAGGTCTTCGCCCACTCTACACGGACCGTATATCCGCGATAGTGATGTATTCGGCCTGCGAACGACGAGATGGATCAACGCAACGCAAAAGAAGGATATAAAGCAGGAAAAGGAAAAGAAGGGACGTCGAAATTAAAAAAAACCAGAAGGCCAGCTGTTCCTGGCTGAATTGTTTGATGCACGGGTGAAACTGGCGATCATTAAGGTGGAGTTGGTTTCGACTGGGCGCGTTTCGCACTAAAGTGTGGCGCCTAATACCGCGTGTGGCGTCATTACCAAGCATTGCGAGATTGAGGATGCGCGCCGTGATGGATTGCTCCTCACACCTCAACTGCAGTGGGAGGACCTCGGAAGGCTCAGTTCCCTTAGCATGCCATATATGACGGGATCACCCTCGATGGCGTCTCTCGCCCTACGACCAGCGAACGCGTCGGAAGAAGCCAAGAGCCCCGCCGGCGTCCACAACAGTACCAACGGCGATGCACCGGCACCTGTAGATGAAGATGTAGCCATGGACGACGACATAGACGAATCGCTGCTCCGCGACCAAGTACGCCAACAACAAGACGAACGCGCCCAACGACTCCAAGCAAAGAACAGGCGCAAGCGCTACCTCGAGGTACACCCCGAATACTTTTCCGACTCGTCGCTTGAACTCGCCGACCCGCTTCTCTACGACCGTCTTATACGTCGCTTTCAAACCGCATCCGAGCGCGAAGCTGAAGGGCGCAAGAAAGGCTTTTCTGGTCAAATGGCCACGGATCTGTGGCGCGCCGAAGCAAAGAAGGAGGCGCTTTCACAGCCAGATCCAAACAGTCTCTTCACATACAACCGAGGACCACAGGGCCAGATAGTAGAGGAGGACAAGGACGATGTGCCAATGACAAAGGAAGAAGGGAGGGCGTGGTGGGTGGACGAAATGACACAGCGCTTCCTGAGAGGCGGGGACGAGGATTTTGAGTATGAGAAACTGGTGGACAAGAACCCCAAATACGATGATCCTGAGCAAGAGAGAGACTTGGAGGATGCATATTTCGACAGCATGGAGAGCGACTTTGACTCGGATGGCGAGGGCAAGGAGAAGGTGCTGACGGGTGAAACGGGCATACAAGACTACTGAGCACAATCGAGTCATGATCAGACAGTGAAAGAGAAGTTCAGACGGGCAGATACTCTTTTAGTCGTTCTGGATATCTGCGACACCCAGCCAACGGGTACGTCGTTACACATGCTAATTGTCTAAAGTACAAGACTAACGACACCCAGGCTAGAGGAAATACTTGAACGTAATCGCCCGATCACCGAGCGCGCCCAGCTCCTCCGGAGTATACCCGTTATGCGCACCTTCGGCTACCTGTCGTTCCCTCTTCGCATTGATGCGCTTGTAGTTGAACACTATGAACAGCAATGCTAGAATACCTGCCACGATAAATCCGAGCTCAAGAGCGTGGCCGAGAAGGTATCGCGGTGCATCCTCTGCACGATAGAAGTTGGAAGCCATGGCGCCTGCCAAATTACCTACGGCGATCTGGATAGCTTGTCCTGTAGCTCTCTTCGTACTTCCAGCCAAGTTATTGCTGAGCCATGTGATATTACCTGGAAATGCCGGATAAAGAGCACAGGCAGCAATGAAGACACCCGCATATACGAGTCCTGGTACGCTGCCGCCTGCGATGCACATGATAAAACCGATGGCCATAATGCAGAGGCATACCAAGATAAACGGATACCGCTTGCCAACTTTGTCGCTGTAATATGCAACAACAACAGCAAGGACGGACGCGGTGATGTAGATGGGTACGGTCAAGAGTTGAGCTGTCGAGGAGCTATATCCGAGTGCGCGAATGATCGAGGGCAGGAAGAGCGATATGCCGTATAGCGGACATACGATTCCTGGCTCTATTAGCTTGACCTATCGAAAGATGAGTTGGAAGACCAGACATACCCCAGTACACCAGAACATTCAACCAAATTTGCCAATCCAGAAAGGCGCTTTTGACAAATTTCCACTGAAAACTATCATCCTGTGCTACTCTAACGCCGTCGTCTACCTCTTCCTTGAAATTCTGGTATTTCAGGCGGTAAACAACAAAAGCGCGTTCTTCTTCCGTGAGGAAGGAGGCGGTTTCCGGGAAATCGAAGAGGGTGAAGTATGCAACAACTGCCACGATGACAGTGAGGATTCCTTCTAGGATGACTAAGAATAAGTGTACAAAGTCAGTACATGTCTCACATACAACCCCTATGGGGACACTTACAGATCCAACGCCAACCAGCAAGATTTCCTACACCGTCCATGTGTGCAATGCCGAATGCCAGAAGACCGGAGAAGGCACCTGCGACGGAGGCGGCAGAGAAGAAGAGGGCTTGGCGGAACTGCGCTTCGTGGCGGGCGTACCACATTGTTATATAGTAGGCTACTCCGGGGAATAGACTGTTCGTATCAACTGTTAGTTGGCTGTCCAATTGCGTGCGGAATATGTTTTGTGTGATGGGAAGATAGTGAGATGGGGCTCGAGAAGGAGAATATACCCAGCTTCAGTTACGCCCAAGAAGATTCGTGCAATAAGTAATCCCTCGTAGCTTTGAACTATCCCCATGAGTGTCATAACGATACCCCATGCTACCATGATGGTTGGTAGCCAAATCGATGGCCGAAGTTTCTTGAGCAGGAGGTTCGATGGCACTTCGAAGAAGGCGTACGTAAAGAAGAACACTGTTAGACACCTACGTTTGTCGTTAGCCTATCGAAAGAAGACTGCGATGGGATCACGAAGAGCATACCAGTTGTATTGCGCACCAGTGATGTTGAGATCTTCAGTCAACCCTTCAATCTTCGCATTACCGATGTTTCCTCGATCCAAAAAGGATAGTAGGTACAATAGGGCTAACATTGGTATGAGGCGCAAGTCCATCTTTCGCAGTATCTTCTTCTCGTCAAGGTGGGCGAAAGATGCCATCGTCACACCAGGACTTGTAGCCAATGCATCGATGCGCTCTTTCTCTTCAGCCTTCGATTTCCCATGGCCGAAAGACGTGATGGAGGCTTTGCGATCCCTGTGAATGGACGTGCTATCTGGAGAATCGCTGGCTTGGGAAAGCCGATGTATGGTAGGCTTCTCGTCCATGATGGTCGTGGTGGTATGTAGGTACCAGTGTTAGCGACAAACGAAGTAGGTTTTGTGAGAAGAAGGGAACCGCAAGCGACAATGCGCAACGATAAAGGTATCCAAGAAGTAAAGACCTTCTAGCTCTAAACACAAAAACCTGGGGATCGTCCTAAACCATGGCACAAAAGCCACGAGCCGCTGATCAACGCCCTCGCGCGAGCGCGGACACTGCATGTTGATTATCCATCGTCTCCACCCCCATGGGGCGCACCATCACCGTCTGCCGTGAATATCCAACAAGCATCGACTTCACGCTGCGGGTACACATCCCGCCCTTACCAGCACACGCTCGGTCATACAATAAATTCCGCCATTGACGCAGGCCCAGCCCCTCCACACCCTCTTAACTTTCCCTACCTACCGTCTAGCCACTTATCATGCACGAGCGAAGCCTTCGACGTGCGTCAAGACTTTTTCCGTCCAGTCTTGAGCGAGAACAAACGATTCGTAGTGGAGGCATGTGGACCTGGGGAGACCTGGGGTAGAAGCGGAGGTGATGAACGGTACTTTTTGCTGGTTGGAGGCGATGTAAGTGGGCGCTGCAGATGGCGGGTTACTGGTTTGGGTAAGAGGCCGGGGCGAGACGGAAAGTGTTCCGCTTCACGGGACCTCTATGTAGTGCACAAACAACTCGGCTGAAGAGGCTGACCTATAATTTTGTCTTGTACATGTCACAACTTTCCGAAAGAGAGACTAGTTGTGATAAAACACAATAAGCAGGATGGGCGCAAATGAATGAGGCACCGATGCTCAAGAGAGCGATCAAGTTGAAGAAAGGATTGAGCTAGCTCATTCCATGGAGCACAGCAGAAAACCCCTTATTGTACCGAGCAGTGGATCATGTAGTCACGAAACACCGATGTGTGAGGAGCTTCTACGGACTTTACGATGGAATAAGTCTAAGTATTTGTCATTGATATATGAATGCTAACATCGCCCACTGCCAGCGCCCTAGTTCGAATGATCGTTGGGAACTACAAAAGGAAATACAGAAGAGCAACGTAGTGGAAACGGTAGCGACAGTGAGAAGAACTAAGTGCTCGAGAGATCGACTAATAAGACAAGGTTGGAAGAGAAAGAAGAAGTACCAGATAATAGAAGTTACAAAAAAGGAGACGATGAAAGATCGGGTCATGTACACAACGCTTTAACGCCATCATTTACAAGAAAAAAACCCAACCTGTTTGAGACAGAAGGAAAAGAAAATGGGGGATCCGGTACGAGAAAGAGGTGAAGGAAACGAGCTGAGGCAGCGGACAGCTATCGCCACAAAGCCTATCTGTACGTACCGCACAGAGGACAAAAGGTGTGCCAGCCCGGGTTTTGTGCGCCGCAATTGGAATTGGGACATGTCCACATATCGTCAGAGTGGTCTGGGACGCCAATGAAACCTCCATATGCTTGAGCATAGCCAGAATCCGCCGTCAAGGATGCGGAATCACAGGGAATGTAGACATCCGTAAAGATAGGATGATACTGAAGCCCAAGTTGCGACTCATGGGACTGGTAGTCGAAATTTGCAGATTCGTGTTTCATACTCGGTGATTTGGGTTCGATACAATGCTCGTTGCTTTCGCAGCGGTGACCGGGAGTCATATCGTGCTCGAAACTGGTAGGCTCTCTGCTGTTGATGGGGGAGTTTGATGGATTCATTTTTGCTTGAAGCAGCTGTGTCGGTGTCGTTCGAGTTTGTAATGATAGTCTGGAACAATGGCTTTGCTACTGAAGCAAGGTGCGTTGAAGCAGTGATTGTATATTGTGTATGACTGATGATTAGGAGAGTTGTTGATAAGTAGTAGCTCTGAGTGTTTTTGAACGTTGTGACTGTAAATTGTGACGAATCTTGAGACTGATTGTTCTTGTTAATGACTGATGACACAACAGTAAACTATGGCGCTGTAAGTAGTATATATGCATCTCTAGAGAACGTGAAGCTTCAAACGACTTGACAACAATCATTTGCCTCTTGCAGCACCCGTGATGCTAACCTAGGTCCACCTTAAGAGGGGCGCGCGCTAGACTAGACGTGCCCTTCGTGCTTCATCCAGTCCCTTCTCTTAGTGCCTAACGATTGGGAGACAGATGTCCAATACCCACATCGTGAAGAAGAGTGCTTCACTGTGTACGTCGTAATGCTGGCATCTAAGCCTGCAAGAGGACGTTGACTGCTACGGAGTCATTGCGATAGTCCAACAAGCATCGTGAAGCCCAGGTGACGATTCTTCATTAGGTGAAAGGTAGGGGATAAAAGAACGGTGAGTCCGATGGATAGTGGCACAGCACGGCGAGATGTAGTGCTGCACACTGGCTACCCCAGTACGTTGAGTCCTCCCCGCAGATCTGATGCAAAGAAGGTTTGCCGGGCGTCCTTGCGATGAGAGATCTATAGGAGAACTGCGTCAATGGAGATAGGCGAGCACAGAATGCATGGCCTGCCCATGGAAAAACCAGGCGCATGGACCCTAGTTCGTTGTCGAGATCTATGGCGGGCGTACAGAGAATGTGCCCTTCGCGATACTACTCGCGTCAATAGCATTGCAGTCCATCTTCTCGCCGACTGACTCGACCTCCGTTGCAACCAGTCATTCAAAAGCCGTGATGCCATAGTAACACCATAGCCACCGTCCTCTTATGATGGCCCATGAAGCGCGCGTAGAGGGCGACACTCTGGCGTCACGTGTCGTAAGGCTGCGCGGTCGGCTCCGCCGGCAAGTTGGATTTGCAGTGCAGCAGGCAATGCTGGCCTCAGTAAGGGCCCAAAAGGGCCTGCGAGTAGGCAGTCGGCGCACCATCTGCCTTCTCGTATACTGTCGATTTAGGACAACGCAAGCGAAGGAAGTTGATGCGTGCATCTCGCAATGTTGTGCATTCTGTGCAGGTGACCAAGAAGGACTCCACTGACACGGAGGGCAATTACCGACGCCATGTATATGATTGTTAGCGGAACTGCGAAGAGTCAAACATGATTTTAGCGCATAGAGACGTAATGTAGTGTTGAAGACCGATAACGCTGCGACGTTAGGGCGTGGTGTTGAAGTGCCCCCATCACAAAGGGTAACCAGCACCCAAGCTCGAGGTTGCCGTATATCCGATCAACCCGCCCCTCAGGGAATTTCCCAGACGGCAAGGACGGCAACAATCCAAGACTCTGTGGTTTGCTTGATGATTTGGCGCTCTGATAAGGATCTCTTCCATGCGGTAGTGCGTGAGCTTAATTATGAGGTTAATGCGACGTCGTGTTGAGGAATCGCAGAGTTGTGTTGGGTTGGCAGGCACGATCCACACAGCAGAGTGGGTATCGAGATTTGGCTTGGCATACGAACCCACCGAGTGGAGAAGGCGACGACATGGACTGCAATACACGCAATTCGCGAGTAAAGACACAGTTGCACATATGTTGTCCGGATGTTCGTGGTTTGTAAGCACCTATATCTTGTTGAAGGACAACGACACGTAAATCACGAGCCAAAGCAGCATTACACCAATTACACGTCAAAAGCCCTGGAAACAGACAGAATGGCAAAAATGTTGGAAAGACCAATATTTGGAGACTTTGGTGAGATCAAATTATGTTGTTGCATTAGGTGAGGTCACCGACAGCACCTTTGGTATTTCATCCATGGCAATAGTATCCAATGAATAAACGAACGGAGACGCTGGTAACGCTTCTAAATCAACCATGCGACGAAGGTTCGGTAGAACCAACTGCCGCCCTTGCCCTCGGTAGCCTTCTTCTCCGCGGCATGAGCAAGGAAAGCCTCCTCTTCACGATCGATTTCGGCCTTGCCAGTGTAAAAGTCGGCTTCGTGAGGCTTGACCATCTTGGATTTCATGATGAATTTGTAACCGAAAATGCAAATCAAATAGACCGGAATGCCCTAAGGTGATAGATTAGCAACGAAGCTGGATAGAACCGGCTGTGAAACTTACAAGGTATCCAGTAATGAAGTTCTTATAATCGAAACTGCCATAGCTGCCCTTGGTGAAGACGCTGAAGTTCTTTGTCAAAGCAATGAGAATGCAGAAGAACAACGCAATGTAGGAGCCAGTAAGACCGAATGGAGCATGGTAGGCCATCTGGTCGTTGGTAATGCCCTGAGCGCGGCGCGCACGAACAAACCAAATGTGTGACACCAGAAGCGAAATCCAGGACATAAGTCCGAAAATGGTCGTGAGATTGACGAAGTAGCCGAAAACAACCTTAGCATCGTCTGCGGCATTCATAAAGGCAGTGCAGCAGAACAGCGCAGAGACGAGCAAAGCAGGTACGGGTACACCACGCTTGTCGGTCCAGAGGAAGATCTTGGGGGCATGGCCTTCGACAGCGAGACCGTAGATTGTGCGGGAGGCGATGTAGAGATCTGAGTTCGAGGCGCTAAAAGTGAAGAGCAAGATGCAAGCATTGACAATGCCGGGAAGATGTGGGATTTTCGCAATCCTGATGGCAACAACGAAGGGCGAAGCGGAGGCACCAGTAGTAGCCTTGTTTGCGAAGGCTAGCTCATCAGAGTTGTAAGGTACGATCATTCCTAGGAAGAAGACCGACAGACAGTAGAAGAACAAGATCCGGTAGAAGGTAAGCTTGATCGCGCGAGGGATAGTCTTGCGTGGGTTCTGGGCCTCACCAACAGTGACACCGATGAGTTCAGTACCAAGGTAGGCAAAGACGGCATTGACCAAAGAGCTCCAGAAACCGTAGAACTTGCCGGCAGATCCGGTGGTGATGTACGGCTTGAAAGCACCGGGGTCGTCGTAGTACTTGAAACCAGTCGCTCCACCAGGTCCAGCACCGACCGCGAGGAGAAATGAGAGCAGGATGACACCGACCTTTTTGCAAGTTAGTTTAAGACTTGAGTATCAAAAATAAAGCACTTACAATCGTAACGACCTTGATTGAACTGAGCCAGAATTCGAGTTCACCAAAGAACTTGATACCGAAGTAATTGATGGCAATGATGGCGACTAAGAAAACTGCGATCCAGACACCCGGATTGACTTCATCTCTGGATTTCCATTCCTGGAGAATCAAAGCGGTAGCGGTAAGCTGATTCGGCGTTGTGATGACATATTTGCACCAATAAGTCCATCCAAGAGCAAAACCGAGAGCAGGGTCGCAGAAACGAGTAGCATAGCCAGCGAAACCAGAAGAGTGAGGGATCCAAGCAGCCATTTCGCCAAGAGCAGTCATGACGACATAGACGATGAGACCGACCGAAGTGTAGGCGATGAGAATTGAACCAGGACTGTTGTCGTTAGTTTGAATCGGAACATACCCAGGTTTGCGCGACTTACCCAGATTGTGCCAAAGCCTTGCCAGTACCAATGATGAGACCAGTTCCAATGGCTCCTCCGATGGCAATCATAGTAATATGACGCGACTTGAGACCACGGTGCAGATGCGAGTGGTCGGCGTGGACAGTAACGCCATTACTGTCAACGGCAGGGACCTCTCCGGTCGCTGCCTGGTACTCGGATTTGACACCGTACTCAGGATCGGAGTTGTGAGGGCTTGCGCCGTCAGAGGAACTCGACTTGCGGTTCCAGATGGCCATTTTGAACGAGATGTGGTGTGTACAGTCTGGTTGACTATCTCTCTATGAGGCGCTGTGGTAATAGCCGCGCACAGGTAAGAGTGGGCGGTGATTGCGGGGGCGCGAGCGCGAACCCAAGAAGGTGAAGCAATTCAGACCCTGGGGTTGGGGAAAAAGGAACTATATCGACGACAAGTCCTTCAAAAACAGGCGAGTGAGGCAGCGAGAAAGCCTTGAGCGCGCCTGAGCAGCAGGGTTGACCGGTTGTTATACGACCGAGGCTGCGGGGAGGGCGAGATAGTGGTCCCAGGGAACGGTGCTGATAACGAGCTACCCGGGAGGCTTGTCACGGCGGGCGAAGTAACCCAAGACGGCCAAGCAGAGAGGTTTGCAGTGAAGGGATGGTGTGGAACGCGTAAAACCAGAATCAACCAATATTGGGAAGAGATCCATTCTAGAGCGTCTTGACCGCAGCGCCAATCGCCCGGTTCAGCGAGCCATGGTGGTGCGTCTGTCTTCTCCGCGTGTATCTCCTTCTTGATGCAGTTGGACTGGTGGGACTGACCCTGCTCTGCATATCTTGGCGGTGACCTTGGCATGACAAGCCAAGTTTGTTGCCTATCCTTAATTCGCTGGTAGTCTGATAAGGACATATTTGACGTCTGTGGGAACCGACAAAAAGCGCGCCATCATCAGCAACGCCCTACGAGTAGCCTCGGGTGTGTTGTTTTGCACTCGTAATAGAGACGGAAGCTCCAGCCTGATGGAGCACAGCGTTGCATGAGGCGATGCTGCGGGTGTAAAGTCACGGCGGAGCTGAATTAATGGTTGCGTGACTGCCAGGTCAGCCGCGGCGGTTTTGCCCCCCGCATCGTCTCGTTAGGCGGCTCGTGCACGGCCCGGCAGCTCTTTGGGGTGGCAGGAGTTGACGCGCTTGACGGTGCCATGTCCTAGACCCCGACACAGCTAGATTCCACGCAGCGCCCACAAGGACCCAGTCTTGATTGCCGCTCTCACGACAGCATTGTTCAATTCACATTACATATCGCGTGCTCGGCAGCTCCACACCAAGACTAAAATATTAGAAACTCGTCCGCACCCGATACACGTCGGACCGATCCACATTCGCAAGAGATAACCCTATCAAAACCGGAGACCTCATCTTCTTCATTGTGAGATGGAATCACTAACAAAATGTCTCTCTAGCGCTTTGTCGGTAAGATTTTCACTTAGTGGATGCAGTCATGGTCTGGTCTGGAAACGTTGGCGCTAAGCACATGCTTCTGGAAGACACCAAGATTACGACCTCTGTCTGCATTGGCGATCTCCAAGGTCACTCGGTGCTCGTTATCTACTTGGCCAACACCCGAAGGATTTACTGGACCGCTCTGGCCGACAATTGCGCCGCCCTCCAGAGTCGATGGTGAAGCTGGGCTGTACCCAAGCACTTGGTATCGTTACCAACATCGAGTTCGTTGTCAAGTGCGCGAGGCAAATGGAAAGATGCTAGGATACCTTGTACAAACCGACGTGTGACCCCAAACAGTATGGCAAACGCCTCGCATTCGCCAATCGACCCAGCATGAAAGAGCAAGTGGGAGGACTACCAACTCGATCGGGTATTACAAATGTCAGCCTTCAACTGCAGTCACCGGGCGCAAGCTTCTAGCGCCTGAGGGTAGATTCAGTCCCGGATCTTCTTCGTGCGACTATTATTGATGACTGAGCAAATTTCCCCTTTCGAGGTCCACACCCAGAACTCAATCCTCATGCCCCAGCCTTCGCCTATTCATCTTCCATCGTCTCCTCAAACACGCCATCAATGACGCGAACATCACTACAGCAAAGACACTCATCACTGTCGCCACGATGTATGTGCCCAAGGATGTCACAGGAGAAGAAGACGCCATACAAGACTGTATCTCTGTCGAGCTAGAGTAAAATGTACTGGACTTCATTGTCAAGGTACGCTGTTCTGAAATGGACTGGGTTGGAAGCGGTGGTATCGGCGCCGTCACCGTGATGATGCAACGAAGCGATCGAGGACTGGCCGCCTCGGCCATACTTCCGTGTCAGTGAGAAAGAAGAACAAGAAATAATTTGTGAGACGGGACAGAAGGAAGTGGCAGGAAAAAGAGGGCATGATGCGTGAAGTCTAAGTATTGGCGGAAGACGTCAACGAACGTCTTACATGCAATTCGTTGAGGATCCCTGACTGCTATACCTGGAAATACTGTTTAAACGCCTGCTTCGTCACGCAGTCTCACGAAGGTTACCAGCTCAGCATGCCCCAAGAGCAGTATCGCCATGAATATCGAACACAAGGCTAGACAGAGCTAAACCGTCGATTGCTTTTCAAAGCCCTCGCAGTCCGGATATGGCTGAACCTACCAGGTTGCGAGATCGAAATCGTTTCTTCATCCTCTTGCACATCCGGAAGGCTTGAAGGACTTGTTGGCATCGGCGTGTTGGTTGACCAGGGATCGTGATCCGTTTGACTCGAACTGAGCTCAGACACTGGACTGGTCAAATCAAGTTCTGACGGAGGCCGTATTGAGTCTAGTTCAGACATCCGATTGCTTGTGTGACTATATATGTTGGGCGGATCATCTCCTTGTAATTCGTAGGTAGGTTCGTGGTTCTGGTGAAGATGGTAGTTCGTTTTCTCATTGGGGCTGTCTGGTTGCGTTGACGGCACCACAGGCGTTTCTTTTGTTCGAGCTGCTTTACGTCTCTTGCGGATGACGAACCATGCTATCAGTGCAATGACTACAAGACCAGCAGCCGTAATCCCGGCAGCGAGTCCCCCTGTCGCAGCCGCACCGAGCCCTTCGCGCCTTTGGCGGCTACTTGTGTGGGAACTGGCTGTCTAGTCGAGGGTCGTGTAATCGTAAGCATCGAGGAAGTTGTGGGAACAAACGCGGATGTGGATGCTTCCATTGGGCTCGTAGACAGTGGAGACATGGACGTGGACGCTGGTTGCGCATCAAAATAAGTCAGGGGTATGTTGTTCGTTGCGATCAGTGTATCAATATCGAGACCATGGTTACTGCACTCAAGCGAGATGGAGGCAGCGAAGGCTATACAAAGTCAGTCAGGGTTCAAATTTACTACCGAGAATTCATGGTGAAACCTATCTTCGCGGGCTCCGCGCCATTCTCTGAGATACACGCAAGTGATGTAACATCGCCATTGACTAGTCGTTCATTCCACAGCACTTCTCTGCACATGCAGTAGAAGCCGCTGGCGATACAGCTCAGCTCATCGTAGAAACCCGGGCTTGCGACTGTGTATGAGAGGCAGTTGCTCTAAATCTTATTTAGTCGGTATTCGATCTTTCAGAATAGCACCACATACCGTGCATCGTTCCCAATCCCAAGTTCCCGACATGACAAAGTTACATTGGTTCCTCAACTAGATTGCAGCCTCTCCATCTTGTATGGTACCTATGCTTGATAGTGGGGTACCTCGAAGTGACCTCATTGGGATGAATGTACTGCACTCTTCCTAGCATGGATTCTGTTTGGCTTTGAATAGTCACAACGTGTCACGTGGCACGGCGATTTCCTATTGTATTACGGCGCGGACCGCACTATCGACCCTGTAGCAATCAAGCGATTCATTTAAGCCTGCGACCTCTTTTGTGACCTGCAGAAAAGCAGGTCAAGATAGGTATTGATGTGTATCATCTGAAGTAAAACAAGGCTAATATGCTGCGCCGCAATATGTATCCTAGTTGTTGGCGGATAGAGAGGAAGGTTGGGCGAGAAAATGTTGCGCAGCAGTATGTCGAGAGCCAAATCTATGCTATGGTAAAGTAATCACCATATTCAACTATCTAAGCTCGACCGTAAGATTCGACACGCGGACGTCATCAATACATGCACAACTAGCCACCCACAAGACTAAAACATCCACAAAAACGAATCAGGTATCCTTCGCGCAAACAAGAACAAGAACAAGAACAATAGCCTAAGAATATGCAAAAAAGAGCGCCGAGTCGCCCGAAGCTTATCGCGTCAGACCCGGGCGTTAGCCATAGCCGGCCTCCCAAGGTTCTGACTCCGTAACTCCACTTGCTCACTGTACATGCAGCGTGGTGTATCGCCGTAGAAATGATAGTGCTGCACAGCAAATCATCCGAATGTCCGTATGTAATCCTTTCCTTACTCTTTCTGCCCTTCATTAAGCACAAGCTCAACGACAACCTGGCTCCTCTCGTGTTGCGGATGCTGCAAACTCAACTTGACCGTCCTATTGTGACTCGAACCTCCGCTGAGTCCGTCGTCAAGACACTTGACGTCGCGTCCAGCAATGACTTGGCGTAGACGACCATTTTGTGCGTTCCTGATCTCGACAAAGTCGGGATCGAACAAGAGGACGTAGGGTCCGTACATCGCGGCGGATTTCGCTTTACCAACAAACTCCATGATGACGGATCGTGAAATGTCACCGTTCTTATTGATGTACACGGCGCACTCTTCGTAGCAAAGAAGGAATTCTTGATCAGAGAGACGGAACATACCCAGAGGATTCTGGTTCTGCAATCGTGAGGCGATGGTGGCAACATGGGATTGCTTCAGATCCGGTACGGACCACGGTTGCTTCTTGTCGAGGGTGAGCACCTCAAAGCCTTTGGCTGTGGAGATAGCGAGCGATGAGTGGAAGAGGTTGATTGTGTAGCACTCGGCTGGAATGTAAAATTCATCGTATTCGCGGAAGAACTCCGTGCGTCCTGACTTCCATATTCTGGACTTCTTCTCGGTTGACTTTTGGTAGACAGGTTCAAGAACCTTGAAGGTCGACGAAATACCGTCGCGCTTTTTGTAGAATACTAAGGTCCTGTCTTTCATTACGCCGGTGGCAAAGAAGCCGATGTCGCGCGCACCCGACAGCTTTTGGGGTGCTCGCCGTGTAGAGTCGTTCGAGGGAGCCACACCACTGACTGGGCATACGGCATCGAGATGGTATGCTATCAGTGCTTTATCGGAGATGAGCAGCATCAAGCTGAACTGTTCCAAGACAGCTATCTGCGTCACGCGTGGTACTTGGATTGCCTGTGATGATTAGCATAATATCATCAAGTTGTCAAGACAACGCCTACCTTAGACCAGCCTCTGGGGTTATCAAACTCCGATACATAAACTCCAATGTCTGTACCGACAGCTATCATGTGCTTGCCATAGGGTTGGCTGAATGCTGTTGCACAATTTACTCGGGCGCGGCAGATGGGTACGGGCCGCCCAACGTTGACGAAAAGCTTCTCCACGTCGTCGACTGCGCGATCGAGCGGCGTTCCCTTGATAGTTATAGCTCGTTGCGATGGCATTGCGCTGTCGTATGCGAAGGCCGCATCAGCCATGACACGCAACTTGAAAGGTTCGGCGTTCTGAGCGAAAAGAGCAGCTGCATGCCGTGTCTTCGCAATGATGAGCTTGTCGCACCACTCAGCACGGTTTGATGCTGATGGTGCATACAGCGTGTAAGTCTCCTTGCCCAAGTGTTTTACCCGGAATGGATACAAGATCTTCTCGTCTCTTGTAGAATCGTTTGAGGCGACGTTGACCATGGTCTTACCGGACCCGCTGGTGTTATTCGACCCAAGTGAGTTGGAGGTGTTAGTGTGTTGCAGACCACCGGGTACCGGGCTGTTGTTGATTCTTGTGGCGACCCCAGAACCGACTCGTCCTGAGACTGTAGTGACGGTAGATATACCCTTCATGGTAGAGCGCACAACGGGGTCATCGTCTTCGCTCTCAAGTACTAGTAAATCCATGGGAATTGGTAATCTTGACACATCATACTTCTCAGACTTGGTGACGCCGTCTGCTTCTCGGAAAGCAACTGTCTTTGCAAGTACCAAATAGTGATCAAATAGCAATGCATGGGTCTCAAGCCAGTTGAACCGACTGCCTCCCATTCTCTGCAGATCACCTCGGAAAATGAGTTCTCGTCCCAGGTGATCCAGGTTGAGCTCTACTCGCTGCATACCTGGGCGCAGGATCAATTTGGCCTGCAGGTCGGTGAGGCTGACTTTCCGGCCCATTTCTGCTACACGGCTGTCGCACTCCAAGGTTACGGCTTTGATCTCGTCTTTGGCTATCTGGAGGTTTCGTTTTTCCTCATTATCCACAGTCGAATATTTGATTACCGTGTCGATGAGAAGACCATAGCGCTGCAGCCTGTCGATGGGGCCCTTCAGATAAGTGTCCCATCCCAATTTCTCAGAAAGTTTGTGCTTCTGGGCATCATCCAAGAAGGTGCGGAACAGTATGTTTCGGTCCGCTTCCTGTCGAACAAGGAAGGATGCATATGGGAAAGCTGCTGCATATTCGATGTAGGCCTGTTTTGCTTTTCGGATCCACTCGCGAAAGATGTCGCTGAACCCTACTATCCATGGTCCCTGCTCTTGTTGGCGGTATTTTATTTGCGGGAGGAGGTGGTCTTCATTCGCTTTTCGTACAGCGTCTACCTTGCTGAAAACATCGTGGATGAACCTGTTGACCCTCTTGGGGGAGATGACCGGTGGCTGAGCAGACTGTAGTCGATCGCGGTACAAGTGTCGTAAGACATCAAGTCGATTCATGTACTTGTCCTCACCTTGGACGATTTCGTGTAGAATATTCTGACGCTCGATTTCTTTCTTGTTTGCCCCTTCGATGTCTTCTTTCTTCAACTTGTAGAACGTGGCCCAGTCTTCTGAACGAGGTGCAGCGGAGGGGGCATGTAGATCGATCTTTTTAAGTGTCCGTTGACAATGGTGTGAGTAGCATCGGCCTGGACTCGCATGCGTGTGCAGCATAGGTGCATAGCAGCCCGCGCCAGTGAGCTGGAATATCACACCAGTCATGCTTGCGGTCGAGAACCTAAGCCATTCTTCCTCGTGCACAAGTGTGCCTGCTTTATACATCTCAGACACTACCCGGCTACTGAGCGTCTCGGCATCCGCAATGTTCATGGTGGGAACTTTATGAGTGAAGAGCGCGATGAGACCTTCTTGTATTGGGCCCTCCTTAAGGTCGTTCTCGCCTTCGGTCATACTCTTGAGCCATGAGATGATCGAGCTAAGTGCCCAAGGCTCAGTGCATTTCTTGAAGTCGATACTAGAGAGCTTGGCGGGATTGAATCGCTTGCCGGCTGGGATGGTAGGTAGATCGATGGCCACGGCTTCAGCGCTGCCAGGGGTAAGGGTGTTGCCGTCGCTGTCCATGGCACCGCCATAGAAGGTGTTCCGGTTGCCAGCAGCTCGAGGTCTGTGACCCTGTTCGGCGTCTGTCTTTGATCGCGGCAAGGGAATGGCATCCCGAGCGTTGCTGTGCTGTAGAAGAGAAGTCGAGCGGGGAACAGGAGCTCCAGTAGGGGATATCATGTGCATAGCGTTTGGATCCACCGGGTAAGAACGCTGTGTATTTGGAGCGTTACGCCAGTATTCGTACGACCCGGATCCAGTCGAGCTGTTGCTTTGGTGATTCAATCTTGAACCCCTGCCGGTGTTCACGGGTGGTGGTGGCAGAGGCCGGTTCGATATGCCTGGATGATAGAACATGTCTGGTGGCTCGCCTGGCATCACCGCTGATGGACCCATGAGTGTAGAGCCAGACAGGGCAGATGCGCTATCCATGAGTGTGACCTCATCGCCTTCGTCGTAGCTCCGCCGGCGTGCGCTAGGCTCTTCCAGACCACCGGTACCGAATGTGTCAACGCGCGCATTGCTCGAGAAGGATGGGAAGGGATGGATCGGGTCGTAGTCGTCGTTGGGAGGGTCGGACCGTCGTTGCGAGCCTGAGGTTGATGCTGTATGGCTTCCTCCCGCTGCCAGCTGGCTTGGATCCCCGCCATAGTTGAAAGACGGCGTGAATCCGCCACCATATGTACCAACATCCATACCCACGTAGTCGCTGTCGCTTGCGCTTTCTTGTCGCATTGGTTCGGCGGGCATCTGAGGAGAATGCAACGATGTGTAGTTGCTGAACAGGCCGGTGCCACCGCTAGCCCTGCGAGCTTCGTCTACTCTCTCTTGTTCCTCAGCCATCTGAAGTGCAGCCAGACCAGCAGCTGCTTCCACATCGCTCTCATCACTAGCGTAAGTTTCACGTCCAGGCTGCACGCCGTTTGTGCCGTTCCTGCCCGAGGACTCGCTATAGTACTGGCCGTTTGTTTGCTGAACCTGGGCGCCGCCAGCGGTCATATTCATAACATCGTTGAACAATTCGTCTTGATAGCCCCCGTTCTGCGGTGAGAAGTATTCGTCGCTGTCGGACTCGTGAGGTGGTGGGGGCAGCGGCCGCGAGGAGACTGTGTTTGTTCGCTGAGGTGAGCCATGCAGAGGGACCTCGGGCGTAGGTGGGAGGGCATTGCCGGACATGGAGGTATATCTGTCACCGCGCTGTGAGCCATAGCCAGTATCGTACGTCGGTGGAGAGGGAAGAGGGGCATGCGAGGCGGTCGAGGAGTAATACCCCGAAGATGCGTTCGAGGGTCGTCGGTTTGGGTAGGCGCCCCAGTCGTCACCGACCGATTGTGCACTGCCTGGAGGAGCTGGCAGTGGTGGTGGCGCTGGCGTTGTGTAAGCTGACACGCGACTCTGGACAGAGGGTGCTCGTCCAAATTGAGAATTCTGGTATATCGAAGGCGAATGATATGAGGTAGTAGGAGAAGTAGGCGAAAAGCCATACTGCACGGAATTGGCAGGTGCGATGTTGCTGTCGGCGTAGGCAGCTGGGTTGTAGGGCTGGTGCGAGGCCGAGACAGAGACGGGAGGCGCGAAGGTGCGGTTGCTCACGCCGCCGTAGTGCTGGGGATTGGGCAGAGCTATAGGCTGCGTATTGTAGTTCTGGGGGTTGTATACCTGCTGCTGCTGCTGCTGCCCCCGCTGGTAGCCATAACTACCCCCATACCCGCCCGTGGTCGGCGACATTGGGCCCTGGGACAGCTGCGGGGAGCTGTTGGCACCTATGAACAGCTCGTCGTTCTGGCGGGCGGCGATGCTGTTGCGCCTGTCGAGCTGCTGGACATGCCCGTAGCCAGCGGGCGCTCCATTGGCGGCGTCACCATTATCTTGGCTTGGCGTGCGGCGGTTGTAGGGGTCCTGATATTGGCCTTGGGCGCCCACATTGGAGTGAGGGATGTTTGGGTTGTAGTAGTTCTGGCCGTTTCCGTAGTAAGACATGACGGCGGGAAAGCACGAAGAGGCCTAGGAAGGCGCGGTGGGTGTCGGTGCGGTGGGTGTCGGTGCGGTAGGAAGCGTCATTCACGAGGCTATCTGACCGAGTTGCGCGGGCACCATGACCGGGGCCGCTGAGCTGAGCGTAGGAGTCCAGCAACCTAGCCAGCGCGAGGGTGAAGGAAGACAGAAGATGGCTCTGCGACTCGTGTTATCGAGTGCGCTCGCATGCGCTGGCTGAGAATGTCTCTGGCGATGTCTGGGAATGAGCGACGGCGGGTAGCCCTTGCCTGTGCGTAGGTGGCAGCTGTCGAGCGAATCGTCAAAGCGTGTTTTGCCTGGCTGTAGCGTTGTGGACGGGCCGCCGAGTGACGCTGCGAGGGGCCCGTAATATCAGAATACAGGAACACAGTGCTCCGCAATGGCGATGGTGAGATTAGACGTGGTGGGAGGACGGCTAGGGCTTGTTTGCGGCGTTGCGGTCACCAACAGTCCAAGTATCAACGGAGCCAAGAGCTACCGAGCGGAATTGTGCCTGACCTCGTATTATCATCTCGCATCATGGCAGCCTTAATCGCCCCCAAATCTTTATTTTCCGCACTTTTGGCGACCCTCTTCTGCTAAGCATCCTTCATCTTTTACAACTGATGACATTGCGACGTGCGCACGCGCTGCCACTTTTCTGCTCTAGGCGGCTGGTGCATCATTTCTCATGAACCCCCTGGACTGGTCACAGGAATGCGCCGCACTACGAGAAGTCACGCGCCAGCAAATGGATTTGTGCATTCAAGGCCGTGTTCATGAGCACCGAGTGCGATGCGAAGCTCGTGTCAGGTACTGCGTACTCAACACTTACCCCGCAGTGCTGCTGGCGATGCTGTCACCATCTCCGCCTCCACGCTGCTATTTCCGAGGTCTGACAATAGCACCTTTATATGGTATGGCGCTCTTGCTATTAAAATCAAAACACTCTTGCACGAGTGGCTGAAAAGCTTACTCCCTCCGATTCATCAAGTCATCGACATTTCGACATGGGCATCCAGTCAGATCCACCAAAATCACTGTACGCAGCCCCTGGCAATGCTGCTGACGAGAACAAAAGAGTCCGCGATCAAGTCCCTCCAGAAATGGACCAAAATGGCTACCGGATCAACGAGCAACCCATGGGCACGAAGAGGAAGGTCAAAGTCATCCTCATGGGCGCAGGTGCATCGTCCCTAAACTTCTTCAAGAAGGCAGAGGAAGAGATGGAGGGCCTGGAAATGGTGTGCTACGAAAAGAACCGCGATATTGGTGGTACGTGGCTCGAGAACCGGTATCCAGGATGTGCTTGCGATATTCCATCCGTCAACTACCAATTCTCATGGAAGATCAAGCTCTGGTCGCATTATTACTCGTATTCTCCTGAAATATGGGAATATCTGAAGTCGATCGAGCGCGACAACGACTTTGTTGCCAAATACATCAAGCTGCGCCACCGCTTAGAGCATGTCGAGTGGGATGGTGCAGCTGGTCTGTGGCGGTGTCGAGTTCGGGATTTAGAAAAAGATGTCGTGTTTGAAGACAGTGCCGAGTTCTTCATCAACGCTGGAGGCGTACTGAACAACTGGAAGTGGCCAGAGATAGCAGGTTTGAAAGACTTCAAAGGCAAGCTCATGCACTCTGCCAATTACGAAGAAGGATACGACCTCTCCAACAAGCGAGTAGCGGTTATTGGCGCTGGGAGCTCAGGGGTGCAGATTGTCGCAGCCATACAGCAAAAGGTTCAGCATCTTTACCATTGGGTACGATCTCCGATATGGATTACCGCAGGCTTCGCACAAACCTGGGCAGGAAAGAACGGAGCAAATTTCCGATGTGTGTCCTTCTGTCCAAACAGTCATTGAAGAGTACTGATGTCTCCCAGACAGCAGGGAACAGCTCAAATACCTCGAAGAGAACCCCAAGAAATATCTCGAATACCGCAAGCAGATTGAAAACGAGCTCAATCAGCGCTTCAAATTCATCATCAAAGGCAGCGAAGAAGCCCGTCTAGCCCGCGAATACGCAGACACGGAGATGCGAAACAAACTCAACAACGACTCCCGCCTCGTCGAGAAAATGATACCTAAGAACTTCAATCCAGGGTGTCGTCGTCCCACACCAGCACCAGGATATCTTGAAGCGCTAGTTGCACCCAACGCAACCATCTTCACCGACCCAATCGGTTCCATAACAGCTGACGGATTTACGGACCACGAAGGTACCCACCACTCCGTCGATGTAATAATCTGCGCGACCGGCTTCGACACCTCCTGGCTCCCGCGCTTTCCTTTTATAGCCCATGGTCATGATCTCCGCGATCTCTGGAGTCCCGAGAAAGGCGTGACATCTTACCTGAGCGTTGGGATTCCCACATTTCCCAACACGTTTTCTTTCTGCGGCCCGTATGGCCCTCTAGGTCACGGTTCCTTTATGCCGTTGATCGAACAATGGACCCGCTACATTTTCTCCGCCATTACAAAATTTCAGGTCGAAAACATCAAGTCCCTCACACCCAAACTCGCGCCTTCAGTCCAATTCCGTCAACACGCTGATCTTTTCCTACAACGCACAGCGTGGACTTCACCCTGCCGGTCGTGGTTCAAGCAAGGGAAGACGGATGGACAAGCAGCGATTTGGCCAGGCTCGCGACTTCACTTCTTGAAGATGATGGAAAGTCCGAGGTACGAGGATTTCGAAATTGAGTATTGGAATGCGAATATGTGGGCTTTTATGGGGAATGGATTTGAAGTGAGGGAGTTTGATGGGAGAGATATTACGGATTATCTGGGAAGTCTGGATGAAGAAGGGAGAGATGTGCAGCCAGACTATGATGAGGGATTGAAGAATATACTAGGCGGGTTTACGTTAGGTGAAGAGTATGTCGTGAAGGGTGGGTAGTCTGGTTGGGTATCTACTCAGGCAGGTATGCATCGTGAGTTCTTTTTCAGACTGTTGCACTGTCTTGACGTCCTTCTCTTCTTTCTCACCTCGAGTTCATTCATGATCGATCATTCTTGGCCTGATGATACTCGTAGTCCCTGATGTGTATCATGCTAGGGTCAAGAAGATTCCTGGTGCTCGCTCTACTCAGATCCTTTTTTTCTTAATGCCGTCCTCTTGTCGACTCCAGTTATAACACAAGGTTTGAGAGGCGCTGACAGACTGCGGCAATTTTCGCACTGTCAATATGTTGAGTCGATACTTGTTGGAATGGGCGCCCCAAGACGATTGGCGTGTTTAGTGACTATACCCCAAACACACTCCGCCTCCGTGCCCTTCGTAACCCCACAATGCATAATCTTGCGTGAAGGCATTCGTCTGAGCACACCACTAGTCTTGGGAGGGGCAAAACACAGACAATGGCCTTATCCAGCTCCGCTTTCGCTTTCAACAAGCGGCTGCCCGGCACTTCGCGCGCACGACTCGATGTATTCGGCATCGACTGTGCCCCAACCATGCTCTATCAGCACCCCAGACGCATTGGCGATATCATGGTATCTGCCAGACGAGCAATAAGCGGCACCGACTAGTCGGTTACCTGCGGCGAAATATTCCTTTACCAGCACGTTTGAATGCATCACTCCCGTCGCTATGACCTTGAATGGTTAGCAGAACGGCTAAAACCGACATCCTTCATGATCCAGGCTTGGTGCCCAGACCTGTTCACGTGAGAAGCCTCCGATGCCTAGCCTCAACTCCCTCCGACAAACCTCCCGCCAGAGCTCCCCTGACCAATTGGAACACACATGCGGAGTGGCGCCGGTATACGACACGTCATGCTTAGACCATAGTATCGCGTGCTGCTGAAGAGTATGCGGAGAAGCACGCTAGAAGGACGCTAGAAGCTCTCTGTTGAGGTGCCAACCCCAGCTTCAACCCCAGTGATGCAAGCACCCTTGTAGCTGACGGTGCCCGCGGAGGGGAAGATAGTGAACCTGGTTCGTATCCCGGCCGACTTGCTAACAGAAGATGGGGATGTGGAGGGTGGTGGTTGCACACAAGATTATTGCGGGATCTCTCGATTGTGAAAGTTACGATGCAGGCATGACGTACGTCGATGGCTGTCGCGTGTAGCGGATCCGAATTGTAAGTGCGAGATCAACGTCCTCTGACGAAGAGATCTGAGACGCCTCCATCTCCAGTGATTGAGTGTTTTGCAAGCCACTGTCGATGCCTCATCGATGAAGATCTTGCCAGCTGGAGAGGCGCCGGAGAATTTGGCATAGTACAGCCGATCTAAGCCAAGATCACGCATGTTGAGCGCCTGCAAAATGCTTCAGTCGAATATCGCGATATCGCAGCGCAGCCATAGGTTGTAGTTTGGGTATAGTATGCAGCTTCGCGCCAAACAGCTCACAGACCTCAAACTTCAGGCCATGCGAGACCACCCTGGCCAGCGGGTAGGAGCCTCAACAAGGCCTCATGTCATTATGCCTAACCGTGCCAAGTAGAGCCCAGAGGCTACTGGCTGCAAGACCAAGAGGTGATGCGCACCAACGCTAGACAGGATCGTAGACTTCCCAAAGGAGGCTTGGTGGCGGCCCAGAGCCCTTCCTGGATCGCTTGTCGTTCACTTGCTGGCCCTACAAGCCTCGCTTGCCATTGCTTGTAAACGCCTTCTAGAGGTTCTGCGCAGAAGGACCCTGACGCCATCGAACCAGGCAGATCGCTGAAAGATCAACAGCGGGGTGCAGATGATGCGCCCTCTAAGAGCGTTGGAGCGAATCGCTAAATCACTGTGTGGATTGTACTCCACAGAGCGCATTCCAGTTTTTTTCAGCGCTACGTCTCTCCATGGGGTTGGCAACGCGGAGATGCTATTGAGCCCCATCTGCGAGGGATTTGTCTCATGAGGCTCAACAACTAAGTGGGCCGCTCGGAGGAGCACGTCCATTCTGTGCTTTAGTGCTGGCTGTTACCAGAGGCGATTGGTCGAAACGGCTCCCCGTCCGATGTTTGCCGGCAGCACTTTCGGTGAGATAGCGCAGGCTACTGAAGCGCCGAAGAACAGCCAGCCATTCAGGATCACTGTCTGTTGAAAATTTGCGGATACTGGGGTGTAGCGTACGGGGCGATGCGTTAGCAGGCCATTCTACCCCAACACCCCGGCTTATACGCCGCTCAACCAACGCCAGCATGGGACTACCGATGAGCTACCAACTACTGTCAAGTCTGGATGGAACCAGCCCATGTCGCGACCTTTACCATGAGGATGGTATCTGGGAGACGTGGAGGGCCGATATATATTGTGCCCTGTGTCCCTCCATTGAAACAGCATCAGCCTCTCGCTCTTCGCCTGCATCACTCACTAGGATTTGCCTCTACAGACACATCATCTGTTGACCCTTAGGCTGTCTACTTCAATCCAATCTTTACCTACCCGCCTCATCATGGGTTTCTTTGGAAACAACGGCTCGCAAGAGCCCACATTGGACCAAGTCCACGAGCAACAGGCTCGTCGCCCTTCAGTCGCTGAAGTTGTCGATGAGCAGGTTCGCCGCAAGTCTGTCGACAACCGCGTCGTTACCGGAGCTTCGGCTCTTACCGTGCGCCAGTCCATCGTTCCCGTCACCTTGGTCACTATCCTCTTCTTCATGTGGGGATTTGCCTACGGTCTTCTCGATGTCCTCAACTCTCGCTTCCAAGTCGCTCTTGACATCACTCGTGGAGAGTCGTCTGGTCTCCAGGCTGCCTACTTCGGTGCCTACTTCATTGGTCCCTTGACTTACTCTGGATGGTTCCTCCGCCGCTTCGGTTACCGATACACCTTCATTCTCGGTCTCTCCATCTACTGTGTCGGTGCACTTATGTTCTGGCCTGCGGCTGTCAAGCGAAGCTTCGGTGGCTTCTGCGGTGCCATGTTCCTTGCTGGCTCTGGTCTGTCTACCCTCGAGACATCTGCCAACCCATACATCGCCGTCTGCGGTCCTCCCAAGTACTCCGAGTTCCGTCTTGAGCTGTCCCAGTCCGTTCAGGCTGTCGGCTCCGTCGTTGCTCCCGTCCTCGCTGCCCAGGTCATCTTCAAGAACGTTGGTACTGATGGAAAGTCTCTTGAGGCCGTCCAATGGGTTTACCTTGGTATTGCCGCCTTCGTCGGTATCCTGGCTGTTATCTTCTACTTCGTAAGAATGTCCCTGTCCAAACTTCATGTGATACATCACTGACTTCTCTAGGCTCCTATCCCTGAGATTACCGACTCCGACATGGCCGACCAGGCTGAGATGACTACCTCTGCTACAGGTTACGTCGACAAGCCCCTCCGCAAGCAGTACACTCTCTTCTGGGGTACCGCTGCTCAGTTCTCCTACGTCGCTGGTCAAGTTGGTGTCGCTGCGTACTTCATCAACTACTTTGCGGAGGCACGCCCCGATCTTTCGGTCACTGAGGGTCACCACGAGGGAGCCAACTTCTACGCCATCGCCCAGGCTCTCTTCGCCGTCGGACGTTTCGCCGCAGCCGGACTCATGTACTTTGGCGGCAAGCCCCGTTACGTCCTTCTCGCTTTCCAAACACTCATCATGGTGTTCATCTCGGCAGCCATTGTGAGTTTATCCCTGTACTGTTGTAACAGGCATAAGTTTTGTATATGGGCTGTTAAGGGGGTGCTTTGAGTTGGGTGTAGATCACGTGCACGCTAGCGGAGCTGCTGAGATAAGCAGCTCTGATCGGCGGGGATCTAGCCGAGGCACCTCCGGAGTATTCCACATACAAAACCTATGCTTGATACCATAGTACAACAAACTCCATATGAGCCATATACTGACTTCTACAGGGAACCGACACTGGAAGCGCCACTCGCCCTAACTGGGGGGGTCTTAGCATGTTGATGATTGTGCTCTTCTTCGAGTCTTGCATCTTCCCTATTATCTTCGCCCTTACTCTCCGCGGTCTCGGTCGCCATACCAAGCGTGGTGCTTCTTTCCTCGTCTCCTCCGTTTGCGGTGGTGCTGTTGGTCCTGTCATCCTTGGCAACGTTGCTGACCGCATCGGTACCCGGAAGGCTATGTGCATCCCGCTCATCTTTTTCGCGATTGCCTGGTCCTACCCCATCTACCTTAACTTGGTCAAGGGCCGTGAACTCGATGCTTACAGTGAGAGCCATGTCGGTACCACTGAGGGTGCTATTGACAACGACTCTGTCCTTGCCGACAAGGACGTTGAGGCGCGCATGTTCGAGACCAAGGTCTAAGCGTCCAAGGAATGATACTATCTGGTGTTTGGTGGGATTACTTTGGATTAGATGATACCTATGAGGATTGAATGACGGTAGCGCGGCGTTTGTGATGGAATGATTCGACTCTACTTGGTCGGGTGGAGTTTTGTATATACCACGACCTTTGAGTGCTCATAGACTGTACATATGTTTATATGAATCACTTGACCTTATGAGTCTTCAGCTACATTTTCACCCCTTCAGGTTTCTCTACCAGCAGTATTGTTGGTTGTGACAAGCAATTATACTATCGAGCCTTCCAGGAACGGGAAGCAGGAAGATCACAAGTAATGCATCTTACGTAATTAGTACATAAAAACTCTATCTTAACTAGCTACATTCGACAAATATCTGTATGATTCCTGCACCAGTAGGGCTGATTCGGCTCGTTACAGCGAAAGTTGAAACTTTGAAAACGGAAGTAATGAAGTATCCGTGACGTATACATAGTATCAGTGCCTTAATCAACGACTAGCGAAGATGTACACGCAAAGTTCCGAACCCTACTAGCGTTGCATTTGTGAGTTGATTCATACGTCAGGTCCCTCCTCATCTCGCCCCACGATCACCTCGAAGTTGGCATTTTCCGCCAACTTCCAGAATCCATCCCCACTTTTTCTAGCTTGAAGATGTTTCAAACTGCTTTTCGAGATAGTAGGGCCCATCAAGATCTCAACGCATCTTAACACTGGCCATTGGTTTTTCGTCTTTTGCTCGTCGAAGAGGGCTTGCAGCCACTTGCTTTCCAAGAACGCCAAGTCAACATCGAAAATCTTGAGATGTCGCAAACAAGTCGGAAGAGCTTGCATCGGCGAAAGTTCGAAATCGCCTTCGAAGATGGCATCAAAGCGCATGTTGTCGAGCTTGATTGATATGATCGCTGCTTGAGGAACAACCAGTTTCTTGAGTTGCATGAACTGGTCGAACCGTGGAAGCGGCTTGCGCACCGCGCCAGGCAGGGTCCAGAACCCGCCCGGCAACTGTAAGGTTTCGAGGTTTGATCGCAGATGTACCATACCGTCGACCAAATTTTGATAGTCGGTCACTTCGGTCCTCGCATCATATATCGCTCGGTCCCAGTATTGTTCATCAATGTATACATCGTCCGCGAAGGCAGAAGATGCGTCTGGATATTTCTGGATGTTTGACTGGTATGCGGGAAAGGCGCGAACGCTTCTATATGGATTCTTGCAATCCGAAGACTCCGCATAGTATTCTAGCGTTTGTAGATTTGGAAAGCCGCGGATGATGTTGGTCATGCACCTCCGGGAGGGTACGCTCCAAACACCGACCGACTTGACTTCGAAATCTAGACGCAGGCGCTGAATGTTCGGCTGCTCGCATGAGCCGTCGAGATAAGATTCGGAGTAATAGCGGACTGATGAAAGTAGCTGACCTTGAAGCTTGATGCTCAAGTCAAGGGTATGCAAGTTTGGGACGTTGTCCAAGCCTCTCAGCACTGGAGGCAAGGGGCTTTCGAACTTTACATAGGATAGCATATGTGAGACTGGTAGTCTTTGCCTTGGTAGACCCACGGCCTTCTCGGGCTGGTCAGTATTCGCTTTGCCAAATGCCAGTCTTGATTTGCGATCCGATATGCATAGCGTTACGACGTTTGGTAACAGTGCTAGAAGCACAGACGCAAAAGTCCACGCGAGTGAAATTTCCAGTTGTTGAGACCATCCTTCTTTGAACTCAACAGGGAAATCGAGTGAGTTGATAAACTCAAGTGCCTTCTCGTGAACGAGGTCGCGGATGGTCGAAAAATCGTGCTCGCTTTTGGGTATACATAGTCTCAGCTGTTTCACATGTCGTTTCCATTCAGGTCGTGCATGGAATATTGGAATCAAGCCGAAGATATCAGATTTTGGGAGATCATCCAAGGTTTCAGGAATGCTAAGCTCAAGTACAAGTGTAGAGAATAGCACTTCTGGAACCAGAACGGCGAATCTCCTGCACGTTAACGCGACGCCGAGCAGCGAGCGACAACTAGCGCGAAAATCGGAGACGAGGTACTCATCTGGGGGGCTTGGAGGAGGATCGTCTGGGATGTAACCCAAGACACGTGGAGAGCGATGCACATCGACATACGAGAAGACTTGAAGTAGTATCTCGTTTGGCAAGGTAGATAGAGAGTTGATGAGGTCACCTTGACATATTAGATCATGACATAGGTGGCGTAAAGCTTTGCCAAACTCACTTCTAAAAGTCTGCTGTGGTTGTTGTCGTTCCATTGTTTGACGTTGTTGTATCTATGTGTTGATTTGACGTGATATATTTGATGGCTGAGGGTGATGCTTACCGTGTCGCGGCACCCTCGAATGATGTGGAAGCCAGTCCGAGTTAAGGAACGCGTGCTACAGTCAAAGCTCCCGAAGTCCAGCCACCTACATCCACCCGGCCACTGCAACGGCATTTCACCAATTGGAATAGACATCGAGAAGACATCAGTGGAAGATGCATGTTATCTGGGTGCTCTGGTATGCTTCTGGCACATGAACTGTGGGGTGCCGGTGCTTTTGCTCGGCCCATCCATCCGGAAGCGATTTATCGCGATTGCAAAGCGTCGCGGGGCAGACAGGGGTATAAATTCGCTTGTCGCCTGAAGCACGTATACCTAGGTATGTAAATCATAATGATGGCTAATTCACTACGAAGCATCTATCAGCAATACAAGCATGATACTGATGTCGTGGCATCATGGCGTAAGTTGTTTTTCCAACTACCACCGAGGCCAACACTAATCTCGCACTTGTGCAGTCGCATCCACAGCGAAGTCATTTGGCTATAGCGCAACCCTCGGGCCACCTCCTCCCACGGAAGAGAAGTCCCAAAGACTGAAAGGCAAAGCTAGGAAAACTGCCAAGCAAGTGACAGCTCCGCAAAATGGGTCAGACAAACAGACTTCGAAGCCCAAATACACCCTTGCTGTCAAAGACTTCATACCTCTATCTGAGCACATCGCTGGCATTACAAACAAGACCGTCGAAATCCCTGAGTACTTTAACGTCGCACTCGACCGAGTAATCTCGGTTCGGAGCTCGTTCTCGACAAAGTTGGAGGCAGCTGGCGAAGCCGTCAACCAGGCATCAGATTCTCGTCACAATTTTTTGTGACTGTACTGTAGAAGGTTCGCGAATCGCTGAAGCCCTTGACGAAGTCCAACGTTTTGAATCTTAGCAGCATCAAGAGTGCTATACCAAGGGCTGACGGAGACCGAGCTAGGCAGAATGAGCTTCGAAACCTATTCAAAGTCTTGGATGTATACGAGCCCTCTGCGGAGCTCCTGGCTGCACCAGATGTGGTGCCTCCACCTGAACCTGTGGAACTGGACTACACTGTTGAAGAGCCGACCGACTCAATCATTGAGGCCTTCATGGCCATGACCATGTTGATGAACGACCTCTTCCGCCTACGTGCTGAGATAGCTGACCTTTGGGCTCGGCATCACACCGAAGAACTTGATCTGGCAACTGTTTCGGTAGCGACAAACGCAGCGATTGAGCTTGCTCACAGCATGAAAGACGAAGTTTATCCATTGATGAAGTTCTTGGTCGAGACTGTACCTTTCCACGAGCTGTACTGAACCGGTATCTGCAAACAAGCTGGTCTTGATGCGCTCACGCCACAATCTCCGCCCCACACAGATGATTATAACTTTCAAGTTTACGATATCGCAGATGCGCTTTTCATCAACTCCCGCAATGCCCTTTTGGTCTTTCTCGCCAACTTCCAGCCGCCAATCATGACTTACAATGGCAAATGGGGTCTATTCGACGAGAATGCGCGCCAGCCACCTCAGACGAATAGAGAGAAATATGCCCGCGACAAGTCAACTTTGCAAGAAATGCTCCAGGATCTTCCTCTACTCTTTAATCGTCCGGGAGTTATTGAGGATCAGTTCGTCCACGCTTTCGCTGCCGCTCGGACATCCTACAACAAAGCGAACTCGAACCAGCAACCGCCAATCTGGACTAGCTTCGCTTTTCAGATTTATCTCGACATTCTATACTCTACTGAGGTGGGCGCTGGATGGACGCAGATGTGCAACGAGGTCAACACGCTCCAGAGATATGTCGATAGTTATCCCAATGCTTCTTCTGACATGAAGAAACTAGTGAGATCTGTTGGTAAGATCATGGAAGCTGATCCTATTGCACTCTTGAGGCAAGCGCTTGATCGACCCTACAGAGAATATACCGTTTGGCGTCGCAACCCTACACATTGCGGCTTATGGATCCACCACGCGCGTACCATCTTTCACAGGGAGGGCGCGAAGTACGCCGCAACACCTGGTGCGGTAATGTGTGCAACACAGCTTTACCATGCCTTGCGTGAATCGCAGCTCCTTTCGGAAGAGTGGAAAGATCTCCAGACGCTATGGGACATGCAAGGAAACTCGACCTACTTCATCGGCGAGCCTCCAAAAGACTTCGAGGGGCATTGGAAGAACTACCTCTTGTCTATAGGTGCGTCAGCAACAAATTGGGCAAGTGGGAAGAGAAACACCAAGATCAAAGAGACAAAAGCAAACGTGCGTCAAATGAAGTTCAAGGGTCCAGTATCGAGCTGGATGGCTTCGCGCATCACAACAGAGGGCGACCAACGAGCTATGACGGCCGAGACTATCGAGAATGCGATCAAAGAAGGCGAACGTCATTACTCTTCACCCGCCTCTGTTGCACCGACTATCCGGAGGCAAACCCACGTAATCCAGAAGCTGGCAACTGCTCTTCAGGCCGAGGCTCCAGAGATTACCTTCGATTACTTCGCTATGCACGACCTTTGCTGGGAGTTGATGGAAAGGATGAAAGAAAAGTTAGACCCATCATTGCTGAACGATCAGGGAAGCAGTGGGAGGCACAGAAGAGCAAATTGCCGTTTGTTGTTGGCTTCGTGTTCTCAACAGCAGCGGGTAAAAAGGATATTGATACGAAGGGCGTGCCGTCGGAAGAGTTGTTAAATATCGCCGTGGAAGTGACGAAAACGTTCTTGGAAGAGGGCAAAGGTACTGTAATTACGGAGGGGCAACTGGATATCTAAAACTGGTGCCTGATAGCTTTTGAGCTTCCAGATGGTGTGAGAATTTTTTTTAAGGATATGTACCCCGCAAGCGTTCAGTTGAGGCAGTGACGCGATTTCACAACCAAACAGAGTGGCCTTGGCGTACAAACAGCCTGACCGCTAGGCAATGGCTTGTCGCTCACCTTCTTCTTCAATAATCACCTCTGCAACCAACCAATTTGCTGTCAACTCCAATTCAGCTCAAGATGTCGGACCAGACCCGAGCAGGCTTTACCACAAGCAATACGAAGAAGCCCGGAAGCTATTCGACAGCGACATCGTGAACTGCATCGCAGCAGCGAAAAAGAATCTACTGTACGTTACCTTCCCCGCCTACTTCCCTCCTCTCTACATTCTCATGCAACATGTCCATTCGTATCCTGTTTGGGCGTATGAGAATCTTGGATTCCATCTGACAGACGAGAAGGGACCCTACGCTGCCCCCGTTCTACATCATCAAGAACTGCATTCTTGTTGCTGATGCTGTGGATGATTGGAACATCGCGGACGACTGGCTTCGCTGGGCAGAACAGACATTTAAGAAAAGCCATGATTTGGCGACGCAACAGCAGGACAGCAACTGGTTGGAGGCTCTCGCTGGTTTGCGAGAAGAGCTAGATGAAGTGAAAGAGTTCAAGATAGAGGACTTCACAGGCATGACAAAGGAGGAAAGGGACATGCTTTACGCGGAACTGGATGAAATGGATGCGGCGGAAGAATTGGAAGCGGTTGCTGAAGCAGAGAAGATGATGGAGGTCGCAGCGGAGTGCCTGGAAGACTCGGAAGCGGTTGCTAGAGCGGAGAGTAGGACGGACGTCGCAGTGGAGCATCTAGAAGACTTACAGGCGGTTGTTAAAACAGAGAATAGGATAGAGGTCGCGGCGGAGCACCTTTGTCTTCCAATTCGCCCCGCAGGCGAGCCCACGCATAACACCCCCAGCGACTTTGCCGTTAGTTCAAAGTCTTGTCGCTAGAAGAACACACAATCTAAAGGAGGTGTATATCACGCCCAGAAATTCTCCATGTTCAGGTCTAACGCCAACCTTCGTCCTAGCATGTTGATCTATGACTAGGCACGCAAAGAGGGTGACGAAGAACCCTAAAGCTGCTAGCTTGACAAGTATATATACGTTAACATCTTGTTCTAACTAGTGTCTCTTGTCTACGTATTCCTCGCACATATTCTATATGACGTGCTAATATAATTCGTACTCAAAACAACTCACAAAAGTAATGCTAGTAGGGTTCAGATGTATATCCACTATGTCAAGAGGAGAAACTAACCATCTTACCAGAGCAGAGTACCCCTTCCTACTACAATAAATTGTATTCAATGTAATTTTTTTTAGAGAATCTGGAAGTCTACAATGCTGTCGATCTTTGTAATTTCTGCTGTGAGGAGCTAACGTAAGCTACACGGCATGATCTCGGAGTCGGAAGATGCGCGTCGTGGAAGTAAACGTTACGTGGGGCAATGCCGTCATAGGTTCAAATTAGCACCTGCTGTATTGAGCAAAGCCCCGCCCTATCTCATAGGGCGTACGGGCGGCTATCATAGGTATACAACATCGTAGCAAACAGCGTAAAAACTCCGATACTGTATTCTTGACTCCTATCGTCTCGCCAAAACTTTCGACATTAGCATCATGACTTTCGATATCTCCAAATCCCGGGCGCGCTTCCCCGCACTTCAACAAGATCAGGTGTTTCTCGATAATGCTGGAGGCAGTCAAGCCTTGGGCGATGTGATCGACTCGTTAGTGAAATGCGGGATGCGCAAGTGTAACTGAACTAATTGATGTCCAGCATCACTCAATACCTCTCCAAGACCAATGTTCAGCTTGGCGCTTCTTACCATACTGGCTCTCAATCGAACACGAAGTATGAACAGGGCTACCAAGCGGCTGCCAAGTACATGAATGCTGGCCGCGATGAGATCGGTAACAGAACTCTTAATATCAGTAACATTCTCTTACTGATAGTAACCAGTTCTTGGTGCTTCAACGACCCAGCTTTTCATGAACCTCGGCTCCTCGCTACAGTTTCCCTCAGGCTCTGAGATCATTCTCACAAAGATGGAGCATGAGACTAACGTCAAGCCCTGGCTCTTCATGGCCGAGCGCCTCGGTTTGACTGTAAAGTGGTGGGCGTCGCCCAAAGAAGATGGACTCAAACTCACAGCAGAGAACCTCAAGCCATTGTTGAGCGATAAAGTGAAGTTTGTAGCATGTACACATGTCAGCAACATTCTGGGAACGATCCATGATGTGAAGTCTATTGCAAAAGCAGTGCACGAGGTCGGTGCACTGTTCTGCGTTGACGGTGTGAGCTACGCACCGCATCGTGCAATTGACGTGAAGGATTTTGGAGTTGACTTCTACGCGTTCAGCTGGTACAAGGTCTGTCTTGGAAGTTCTTTCCTCTTGTTGCATTACAATATTGACGAGATGACATAGGTTTACGGCCCTCACATCGCCGCGCTCTACGCCAGCAACTCGGCCCAACAACACATGAAGTCCATGAGCCATTACTTCAACCCCACAAAATCTTTAGAAGACAAGATCGGCTTCGCAGGATCAAACTACGAATGTGTTCAGTCAATCCCTACCATCACCGCATACCTGACCGACGCTTTCCCCACCATCACCGAACATGAAGGAAAACTACAAAGCATCCTGCTCGACTACCTGAACTCACGCCCAGATGTCACGATCCTTGGGTCTACGTCGAGCGATAACAAGGAAAGGGTGCCTACAGTCTCATTTACGGTCAAAGGCATGAGCAGCAAGGCGATCGTGGCTGAGGCGGAGAAGATCAGTAATTATGGATTCAGGTGGGGACATTTCTATTCAAAGAGACTCTGCGATGAGCTATTGAAGCTGGAGCCGGAAGGTGTGACAAGGGTCAGCATGGTACACTACAACACCGAAGACGAGATCAAGGGATTGGTCGAGGTATTGAAGAAGGTCCTTCCGCAGGTTTAGGATAGTGTTGTAGAGTGTATTGTGCTACTAACCACTACGAAATGTTGTAGCCAAAGGAAACAATCCAGAAAGAATCACCTTCTATTTGGTAACGATTCATTTTGGTTCCAGCTTGTGGTGATTGTCACTTTGTTCAGTGCGTTGGAGTCAGATGATCCGAACAAGGACGTTCTTTTCCTTAGGCCACCACGCAATCTCATTGTACGGTGAGGCTAAATAGTAGAGATGAATAGCATATGCGAGTGTCTGAACATCGATCTCGCAGTGCAAATACCCCTCTGACGTTCACGCCTACTGCAAAGGAACAGCGTCACCTTCCAGCACGTCCACTCTCCAGGTTCTACGTGATAGGTATCTACCCGCGTAGTCCGGCTTACCGAAGGCCTCCCGAGCACGTGCAACACGGTCGCCAGGCACCGAAAGTTGGAACGTAATGCTACTACTGGAGGTGCATGCGAGTTGAAGTCCAATAAATTGGCGAACAGAAAATTCGTAGCCCTCGCGAGGCTCGCGAGGGGAGTTATCATCCATGATCACGCGGATGGCTAGATTGCTACCTCGATGCAATGCTAAGCTTGTCCGCATAAGAAACTCGGTGAAGGAGCCCTCATCGTGAAACCACAGACCAGATCTGTGCCAGCGATAACAGCCATCCAGTAAATGCCGTCTGAGTTCACTGCTCATCTCGACAAGGGTGGGTGGATGAAGATCGCGTGGAAGGCCACAGCGTGCCACGTATTGCTCCCCAATGTACTCTGTGTAGCACTTGAGCCCCTTGATCATCTCATGAATCCTGATCATAAAGTTGTACCATTCACAGGCGAGATCGGGGAGCTTGAAGGTGATCGATGGGCACATTTGCATGTGGCCACGCTCTGTGATAGAGTGGGCTTCCTGACGAATCAACTTGTTGACCCGCAGTATGCCCACTGAAGGCGCATTATAGTAAATACACATGGCACCTGGCCCAGAGAATGATCGATATACCGGCATGGCTGCCAACTGGTCATAGATGCAAAGTTGTAGATCGACAGGCAAGCGCATGAACGGAAAGGTGCTACAGCTGGTGCTTGTAGTGGTCGGTTCCCTGTATTCGCAGCGTTGAACCCTTGACCTGTCGTCATTCTTATCGAGTCACAGTTGGCTCCTGGGTATTTCGCTTGGTTTGTAGAAGTACCGTCTTGCGCATCTTCGCATTTTTCGCTAGCCTAGTTATAGTGAGCATAGTGAGATCGGTTTAAGAATGTGCGAGATATACCATGCTGGTTGTTTCTTGGTGACCGAGTGAACCCGGATCTGTGTCTGTACCTGGACTTGCGAGATCGTCTTGGCAATCCACCTCTATCGGCGGCATGACCATGGCATTGGTGTCTATCACGACATGCGTGGTTTGCGCAATTTTGAGGCTTCTGCTATAACTTAGTGTTGACTTGCGGAGAGAGTCAGTGTGCGGGCGAAAACTAGCTTTGCCGAGAAATCAGTCACTTTCACCTTCACCTCCAATCTTGGAACTCAACAGAAAGAGGAATCTTGGCACTTTATACGTCAGAGATCTCTTATAGTGCGCTTGAGAGGAAGTCGTCTTGCGGTTGCAAGAGCAAAGTATGGCCTCTATCGACAACAGCCAATACCGCCCCAGGCACGATATTGGCTGGCGCCTTTGGCTGTTGCATTTTCGAGATGCTTCTCAAGCACATCCATTGGAATGGATGTGGAGTAGGCCGACTTGATGATGTAGCTATCAAGGCGTACTGGGAAGTGGCCCGATGTCGTTGGGTGTGCGCTCAACGAAGTTGCTATCGTGACAACTACTTATACAGTAACGTCTTGTTCCAACTGACATCTCCTCCACGTGTTTCATATGACGTATCAATGTGGTTCGTCCCCAAAACAAAAACCAATGACCGTTGCCATACAAATCAGGCCTCCTCCATAAAGTAGGAAGGCAGTTCTGCGTTCTCATGCAACGTGAAGTGCACGCTCGTTATCTGGAGCGCCAACTGTTGCTGACCTGATATATTCCCGAGAGAAGCACCGAGAATTCATGGGTGCTATAATGCGCGCCGTTTCAAGACACAGCATTGTTATAATTATAAGGGACACAGCTTGTATATTTGAATTGGAAGACGAGAAGCAAGAGCTTATATCCGATGGCCGGAAAGTGAATCTAGGTTGAGCGGTAGAAGGGCAGGAGCCTACTGCACAGGAGTCCGTGTGTCCGTCGCTCGTCTGCTGCTCTGACGATGTTTACTCGGATCGGTATCTGCATTAGGCTTCTTGCGCGTGTTCTCGATGTTTCTACAGATCCTTAGCTTGGTTTCTCGAGATGCTGGTGGTCTTGCCTGTGTCAACAGCACAACCATCGCGTAACTTCCTCTTACACATTAGTCTGGAACGAATGCAACATGCTGCCTAAGCAGGTGCCCACAGAATTTGTACCTTCGGAGCAAGACAGATTGTTGGTAGGCTACAGCCATTTCCGAATGTCTTCCGGGTCAGCAGACGACTGCATCGCGTCCGCCGTCACGGAGAATCTAGCGTGTAGGATTAAGAAGATTAGACAAAACGTAATTGGCGCTCGGACCTTGCTTTGCCACCAGCACGCGACGCGTCTCCTATCTTCCCCTCCCCTCTATATTACTCCATCTTCATCTCATCTTACACGACACCATGGCAAATATTCGAGTTCGGGAAAAGTCACGGCTTCGAGGATAGCCACCGGCAATGACGACGTCGATCTCCTGGGCACTACCCTGTCGGAAAAACTCTAGCCGAACTGCACCAATAAGGAAGACTTGCTGTAGAGCCGGTCCGACAATCCCATACCTGTAGCGGCGACTACCCCGGGTTTCCAATGTAAACACGGGTTTTCGAGCGGTAGCGCGCCCATCATAAGTTTCATGTGGGGTAGTCGATGAGCATATTACGAAAGACAAGGTTCTCCAGAAATGACATGTGCCACTAGTAACCATGCAGTATCGTAGCATTGGTTGTATAAATACCTCGCATCATCATCTCGCGATGGACCGGTATCCCCACCAAGGACATCAGCCACCATGTTCTTCCCTACGGCTATTGCACTCGTTGGCCTTATGACGTGCTCGTCCATTGGAAGCCCGCTCAGTAACAAGAACGAGCTTACAAGTCGGGCTGAAACATTCAACAATCCAGTCTTGTGGGAAGACTATCCCGATCTTGACGTCTTCCGGATAGGCGATGTGTTCTATTACTCGTCGTCGACTTTCGCCTTCTCGCCAGGCGCGCCGGTATTAAAATCCTATGACCTCGTCAATTGGACCCCAGTAACTCACAGCGTACCGAGACTGAACTTTGGCTCGCAATACGACCTCGATAACCCATCGAACCGTGCTTACGTCAAAGGTATCTGGGCCAGCACACTCAGGTATCGAAAATCGACCGACAAGTTCATCTGGATCGGCTGCATCCAATCCACTGGCAAGTCATACATGTGGACTGCCGGTGGAACCAAGGCAGCCGCCAATAATGGCGAAGTTTCGAACTGGAGTTGGACTGCTGCAGGCTCATTTCCGAAGTGCTACTATGACAATGGACTTTTCATTGATGACGATGACACCATGTACATAGTGTACGACCATATCAACGTTGCCCAGTTGAACGCAGACGGCACAGCAGAAGTCAGAAGTCAGCAAGTCTATGAGGATCCAAATGGACTTTATCTTGAGGGTGCGCGAATGTACAAGATCAAGGGGAAATACTACATCTTCGCCACAAAGCCAGCCGATGACGAGTGGGTGTTGAAGTCGGACAGTCCATGGGGCCCATATGAGGCGCGCATTTTGGTCGACAGCATCAAGGGGCCTTTGGCCAATGCGGGCAACAGTCACCAAGGTGGCGTAGTTGACGACAAAAATGGGAACTGGTACTACGTCGCATTTATGGATTCCTACCCTGGTGGACGTATACCTGTGGTTGCACCTTTGACCTGGACGGCAGATGGATGGCCGGAAGTTGTAAGAGTCAACGGCGAGTGGGGCAAGACATATCCTAAACCAGTCACAACGGACAAAACTGTCCCTCCACCTACAGGTCTCGATAAATTCACCGGAACAGCTCTAAGCAATGAATGGGAGTGGAACCACAACCCGGATAACAGCAAGTGGAGCCTGGCAGGTGGTGCTGGCGGACTCAAGCTCCAGACCGCTACCGTCACTACTGATCTCTACTCCGCGCGCAACACCTTAACACATCGCATCCTCGGCCCAAAGTCATCGGGAACCTTCAAGATTGACATCAGTAAGATGGCTGTTGGTGATCGTGCTGGTGCCGTGCTTTTCCGCGATACTGGAGCGTACATCGGTTTCCACAAAGATGGCTCAACAACCAAGCTTGTCATGGTCAACAATCTGAAAATGAACGCGGACTGGACCACGAACTCTACCGGTACTGTCGCCGCTACAGGACCTGCTCTCGCGTCCGGTGTCACAGAGTTCTGGCTCCGCGTTGAGTCGGACATTACGCCTGCCTTTGGTACAAACACCATGCGACAAACGACTTTCTGGTATTCTACGGATGGAAGCAAATTTTTGCAGCTGGGACCGGCATTCAACATGGCTAACACCTGGCAATTCTTCACAGGTTACAGATTTGGTGTTTTTAACTTCGCGACAGCGAAGTTGGGTGGGGAGGTCACAGTCAAGAGTTTCGAGTTGAAGCTGGTATAGACGAAGTGTGTATTACGAATACGATCTCACGATATCTATGCTTCAGTCGGTTTATCTCGACCGATCCTATGAACACATTTATGCATGCTTTCTTGTAGGAGCTCTGAAATATCAATCATACTGTGAAGAGTTTTATCGGAGATAAGTCACAGTCACGATGCCTGCGGAGTTATAGTGACACCATCGGCGTCCATGTTTCTACGGTAAAGGGCACGCGCGAGCTCCGTTTGTATGTGCGCAGCCGAACAGCCTCGAGGATTTCCCCCTATCATGATACATTAATACTAACACATTCATTCATCCACACAAATACATGTGTATCATGCGTGACTTCACACAATCACATGAGCATGCAATCACGCAAACGTAGGCTGTCTAGCGTCCATATAAGGCCTTACCTCAGTCCTTCTTAGTTGTCGGAGCCGAGTCAGCTTGCTATATATAGACGATATCAGCGTTTCGTAAGACCGCAGACATTCTTTTACTTATTATAGAACCTTGAGATCAAGATGGGTCACGGCTACCACCACCACAATCACGAGAAGAAGCCCCTGCAATGGTTCGCATCGCCGCTGGCCGAGGATCACCATAAGAAAGAGCATCGGAGCCCACCGATCACTCGCGAAAATACACAGGCAGTCCTCGATAGCGGAACTCAGAGTGACGAGGTCGATGACGGTCCTCCACTGCAGGCCAGGGCAGATGACACCAAGTTGCACGAGGCAAGTTATGACTGTACGAAATGCATGTAAGACATACACTGACTTCGCATCTCTACATCTGTAGATGCCAGAATTCCAGCGTCATGCTGAAGCGACAACCCAAGAGCTCTTCCTTGATCTCTGTAAGTCTTCTGACAGCCTTGCTCATGGAAGATCGCATCGTTGATAACATGCTCTTACAGTTTTCGTCGCCAACTTGACCACGTTTACGTCAATCAAGGAGATCAACGACAGCGCCTCTCTTACCGCGTATATCGGCTTCTTCGCACTCCTCTGGATGACATGGTACTCGAACTCCCTGTTCGATGTTCGATTCACCGCAGACTGCATCTTCGAGCGATGCGCTAAGGCTTTGCACTATGGTGTCATGGTCGGCTTCGCTGTCGTTGGTCCCGCTTGGGAGCCTGGAAAAGCTACAAGCTCCCTCCAGAAGTACCAAGTCTTGTCATTCATCCTTATGGTCTCTCGCCTGGTACTTGCTGCTCAGTACGCAGTCACGTTGTTCTTCTTGCGTAAACATCGAAGAACGATCCTTCCGATGTCTCTAGTCATCGGCTCAACGCTCGGTGCCGCGCTCATATACGGGTCCATTACGGCTGCGCTACCGAAAGAGACATGCAACGTTGAGTTGGGTGTTTGCAAGAAATTCACGACGCACGTTCATATCGCATGGTACACCATTAGCACCCTAGAGATCATATTCACGGTGGGGATATCGTGCATTTGGCGTGTCATCTCCTTCAAAGGCACACATCTTGTGCAGCGCATGTCGCTACTCACTCTGATCATCCTTGGGGAAGGCATTATCGTCATCTGCAAGGCTATCTCCAAGATCGTCAAGAACGGCTCGCAGTTTGATGACGCACTCACTGGTCAGATTGCCACCGCAGTGCTAATCATCTGTATGTACAAGACCTTCCACTCAGCTAAGCGCCCGACCACTAACATCCACTAGATCTACTGTACATGCTTTACTTCGATCGAATGCATGAAGAACACTTCGGTACCATCAAGCAGCAAGTTTGGGCCTCGTTGCATTTCTTCTTACACATCACGCTGGTCTTGGTCCTACAAGGTGTCTCATACCTTATCATGTGGGTTGTCGCCTTGATCCGAATGGACAACATTGATGGGAAGTTCCGCGAAATTGAAGCGCTTAGCGTCAACGGCGCTTATGCCAACGGTACCCTCTTCGCGAATGCTCTCCGTCAAAAAATCGATACATACCTTTGGAATACCATTCCTAAGGGCGTTGACGCAAGCAAAGCACTCGAGACATGGAACAGCAGTTTGATTGTACTAGCGCAGAGCTTCGACAACCTGCAGAAGGACAAGGCAAACTTGACAGCTGTGGACATGATCACCACTAGTCTGAACAATGCAGAGAGCATGGCGATTCAGACCATGTTTGACAGCCTTTCCATCTCGGTATCCAAGACAGCGAAGACAACGACTGAAAAAGTTTTGAACAAGGACTTCGACAAGGCCGGTCTCCTCAAGAAGTACGAGACGCGCTTCGAACTTGTCTTCGACTACGTCTTCCTCTCAGTAAATTACCCTTGTCGCCCTCCTACACTCTCATACCTTACTAACGCATACTGCAGGCCGGTCTCGCCATCACGTTCATGGCTATCATTGCCTTCATCTCGTTGCCGGACAAGAAACGCCACCTTCGCCAATATATGCGCCTCTTATTCAGTGTCATCCTCGGCTTTGCCATTTGTCTTATTTGCCTCGTCAATACCAACAAGCCGAGTCAGAAGCACTACATGGAGAGTAACTGGATGTTACCGACCATTTGTATAATCTTTGCTGTCTGCGTGCTGGTGAGCCATGCGAGGCCTTGGTGGCATTCACATCAGAGGTGGCATGGTGCTTGAGGAAGTGAGTAGGATAGAGGAATGCAGCGATCTGTGCAGAATGGGTCGTAAGTACGGCTATAAGAGCTGCACTACGACCAGTCCCTTCAGCTTTCTACAAGCCACTGTACAAGACTCGAGTCCAAGTCTACACTTGACCGTCGCATGCAGAGTTAGGTAATGCGAGAACAGAATTTATTCGTAGATGAAGGACCTCTTCTGCTTGGTTCCTCTTTTTCAACGTGAAAGCTTCTTACCTATAAGTACCGCCCGCTTTCTCCGGCCTGGCGCCTAGAAGACTCGTCCCTTGGTTTGTTGCATCCTCGCAACGTTGAAGTTCTTGATCAAGAAGACCCAAACAAGACACAATCCCATGATTGCCGTACCCGCAATCAGCATCCTCTTCTGCGCGATACCATACGCCTCTTCGATTGCTAACCTTGTCACACTTCCTCTCTCATAGCTCAACTGTTCATCCAAACTTCCATAGATAAGGTCGAAGCTCTCCATGGCCTCAGTTGGCAGCAAATCCATCAGGGCCTGTGGGAAGGAGTTCGTCCAGATAGCACCGGAGATGGTGGATCCAACTGCACCGCCTAGCCATCCAAAGATGTTTAGAAGAGCGAGTACCGATGCAATGTGTTGATGGTCTGCGGCAGCCATGACGGCAATCTGCTCGCAGAGAATGATGATAGAACCACCGATTGCGATAAAGACTTGGCACATGACCAGATATCCGACGCTGGTGTTTGGGTGGCGGAAGTAGATCATGAGACCTTGACCAAGAATATAGATTGGTACGGCGATGAAGAGAAGCCAGCGGAAGTAGCCAGTCTTGCTGATGATGAGACCCACCGACAGGAGCAAGACACCAGAAAGCACATCGAAGGTCGAAGCAACATAGCCTGCTTCAGCGATAGTAAGGTTGGTGACTACCTGCAGGAACGAAGTGAAGTAGGAGTTCCAGGCGTAATACGAGATCTGGTATGTGAAGGAAAGGAGACATGCGCCGAGGACCGAGCGGCTAGTCAAGAGATCGAAAGGCAGGAAGGGCTTTCCAGCCGTGAAGCGCTCGTGGAGGCCGAACAATATGAGTAGGATGAAACCAACGACCAACATCGCGATGATGTAGCCCGTTGACCAACCGTTAGGTGCTGAGTCGGCGAGAGTGAACGGGAGCAGGAAAATGACAAGACCGGCGGCTAGTAGGAAAGCACCAGGAACTGTATAACTATCAGTATAAATTGATACACATACGCAGTAGCATATGAGACGAACCGTCGAACTCTCGAATATGGAAGATGATGCTCTGCATCAGGTTTCTTCCACTCAACTCGCGCTCCAGTACACCAGTCTGCTTCGCCTTCCGTAAGTTGAGCTTCAGCACAACGAACAGTGGGGCAGCCACAAAAGGCAGGATGATAGCGAAAGTGCCGAAACCCCAGCGCCAATTGATGTTGTTATAGAATCCCTCGGCCGCCTTTGGTCCAGCGAATGCTGTGATAATGTATGGCGAAGAGGTAAAAGCGAAAGCCAAACCTCGGTGCTTCAGACTACTGGAATCTGCTGTGATGACATCGACACAGTAGATCATACCACCAAATCCAATCGTGTAAAAAACCTGCGCGGCGCAGTATGTAGCCAGGTTTGTAGACGCCGCCATGATGATCAAACCAAGGGTAGCAAAACACACCATAGTAGCGAAACCTTCAGCACGACCCCAGAGATCAAGCAACTTGGCGGTCGGAATGTAGACGGCTGCGGCCATAGAGTTGGATACGATGGAAATGACGGTAAGTAGCGAGTGTTCTTCGAATCCAGAGGTTACGTAGGGCGTTAGGTTGCCGGTAATGGATGATTGAAAAGCATTTGTGAGGTACAAGAACCACATGCTGCGAGCTGTGTTAGTTCCTGGGTCAATACATAGCTGAGCTGTTGAGCGACGTACCATATGAATGCGCATGCCAGAGATGTCTTAGTCCACGCCAAAGTGACAGCCTCTACCTCTCGCACACCCTCTTGCGCAGAATGTGATGGCATATTAGCCTCCTCAACCTTGCGAATCGCATCTTCCTCGTCAACAGACATATTGCCAATGCTCTTTTCCCTGGTAGGCTCGGTGTTGGGCTGAACAGCAGCGATAGAATCCATGATCGCCAGCGAATGTCTTAACGACCTGAAAACATAGACAGAGCAATGAAATGAACAGCAATCCCACCAGGCAGGGCCACAAAGTTCAAATACATTCCCACAGCTCTGGGTGCTGCGCGGCAGCGCAAGCTAAGCGTGATGCTTGTGTGGGCCAACATATCCAAGCCAAAGCTTCTCGCACTGGACGCCTTGGAGCTAGAGCTTGTCCCGGAGCTTGACCACGACCTCGCGACCACAGAGTCAGACGGCATACACGAGGTGTTGGGTAAGTCCTTAACCGTACTAGGCACGAACAGGAGATGATCTAACTTCGCGTAGTATGGTGTTGATGGGCCAATCTTATCAGATGGATCCTTAGACTGGGTCTAGAGACGGCCTGAAAACCATCTTCGGCACCTTTCCGGTACTACGAGCTCCACGCCCGTGATTTGTTTGTGATTGGCGACATTAGGACAAAGAGGCGCGACGAGTATGCTTTTGTGGCGTGCGAAAATTTGCGCATGGTTCGATGATGGGTGGAGCGCATATCAGATGGTTTTTTTCATCTTATCTTATCTTGATCTAGATCAGTAGCTAGACGTGAATATGACACGCCTCGTTTTCTAACGCTGAATGGCGCTTGCATAGCGTTCACAACAATGGGGAAAACGATGGGGAAACACCTGGACTTCTGTCAAAGCGGTTTCCTGAATTCGCAATGCTTACTCTACTTGAAGTCCTTCTCAGTCAATGAATCTTCCATGTTTTGTATCCTTTCCCAGGTCTCGTTCCACTTCTCCCACTCGCCCTTAGGCAGCTTACCCTTGATTGGGAGTCTTCCGCCTTCCATTGTTCCGAAACCGGTGACCCTCTTGACTGCCTCTTTGATACCCACGATACCGTACTTACCAATGTACTCCTCGGCCGTACTGACAGTGTACTGCAACTGCTTCATCTTCTTGAGATTCTCATCTGTTATCGGCCTTGTCTCGGCTAGCTTCATCAGAGAGCATACAGTCTTTGGGTATATAGCCGCGAGACCATCGATGACACCTGCCGCGTCGAAAATGACGATGGGACCGAGTTGTTGGCCGAGACCAGAGTAGACGCGGAATTTGTTGTGGTCGATTTTGGGGTCAAGTGACACTTGGTTGTGCCATGAGACGACTGCATGCGACATCTTGCAACCGACGATGTTGGGGTGTTGGGCGAGGATGCGGTAGGTTTCGGGTGTGACCATTACACCGTTGGTTACGCCAGGGTAGTTGTAGCTATCACTACGTTAGTAAAGTGCGAATGCATTTCCGCCCATGGATACGTGCATTAGTACCGGTAGAGGGCTTTTGTCTGCAACAACCGTATACCATTCCCTAATGCCCTCTTGACTCGCCGCTGCGCCAAAGTACCCTGGCGCGAGCACGAGCCCCCATTGCGCGCCTGCCTTCTTGAAGTCCTCTAACCATTCCAATGTCTCGTCAACACTGTTAATCAATGTGCCAGCCATGATCGGGTAGTCCTTGAAGCCTGCCTCGTCTAACCCTTTGCGCACACCAGAAACGAGGTCGATGCGTTCTTGTCGCGACATGTGAATCGCCTCGCCCGTGGAACCGAGCAAGACAAGACCGCGCACTCCATTTTTGGCTAGGAATACAGAGTGCTCAACTTGCGTTTGCACATCGACTGCAGGTTGCAGCGACTTTGATTCGGATTGGGGTTTGAAGAAGGTTGGGACGGGTACGAAGACGCCGGTGGGTGGTGATGAGGTCATGTTGGTGGCTTGTGCGTAGAATTGCTTTCTGGCCGCTTTGTGACGAGTTTCTTGGTTAGTCGGGGTCAAAAGTCAAACCACAAGATCTTATGCGCTGCGATTGCCTTGAGTTTTATTGCGCGCCTTGGTCATCCGCTATTCGGGTTCCTTTACTCCAGCTGCCGAAGCTACATGCCCCGCGGTGGAGCTCTTCTGGCCCTTTTGACCCCGCGCTGCCGTTCGGCTTACCACGAAAGGGACATGGCGGCGGCAATACGCTGATTGGACGAGATGACTTTGATGTGGATTGGGATGGCTATGTCATCTTTGAGGTGTAGGGGCTTGTTCGACACCCCAAGAGTATTACGCCTTGATCACTTGGAACATCAAAAGAGCTAGTAAGGCAAAGCAAGGAAGAACGGCAGCCATGGGCAAGATTGCAAAGATTGAATACTTTCGTGTCCCACCACGCTGGCTATTCGTCAAGATCACGGATGCAGATGGGAATTTTGGTTGGGGTGAAGCATCACTGGAAGGCCACACGCAAGCAGTCGAAGGGTGCTTGGACGCTTGGGCTGAGCGATATGTTGGCTTGGAAGCAGAGTGAGATTCTCTTGATATCCAGAGCAACGTCGTACGTGATATCCCGAAGGCTAACTACATCAAAGTGAAATTGAACACATATGGCAGATGTGCTGGCGAACCAGTTTCTACCGTGGCGGACCAGTTTTCATGAGCGCACTAGCAGGCATTGACATCGCATTATGGGATCTGAAAGCGAGAAAGCTCAACGTGCCAATTTATCAGATATTGGGCGGCAAGGTGCGCGACAGACTCAAGGTATATGCCTGGATTGGCGGAGATAGACCAAACGATGTCAAGGAGCAAGCGTAAGTAATCAAGTAACGACCGACCTGCTGCAAAGGTCCAGGAAAGCAATACTAATACATCGATATAGTCTAGCACGCAAAGCTCAAGGATTCCGCGCCGTGAAGATGAACGCAACGGAAGATATAGGCTGGCTCGACTCGCCTTCAACCCTGCAATCGGCCGTCGACCGTCTCAAAACCGTCAAAGAGCTCGGGATGGACGCTGGCATGGACTTCCACGGCCGCATCCACAAACCCATGGCCAAGCAACTCACCCGCGCCCTGGAACCACACCACCCACTTTTCATCGAAGAACCTCTACTTTCTGAACACATCGGCGGCATTAAGTCTTTGCACGAGCTAACCTCCATCCCCATCGCATTGGGAGAACGTCTCCACTCACGCTGGGATGTACGGCCCTTCTTGGAAGCCGGTTGCGTTGATATTCTGCAACCTGACATCTCACACATTGGCGGTATTTCAGAAATGCGACGTATAGCCTCCGCAGCCGAGACTTATGACGTCGCCATCGCACCACATTGCCCGCTGGGTCCTATTGCGCTTGCCGCATGTGTTCAAGTAGATTGCACACTGCCTAATTTCGCGATTCAAGAAATGAGTTTGGGGATCCATTACAATGCTGGGAGTCAGGACCTCACATCTTACACAAAGAATCCGGAGGTCTGGGATGTGAAGGATGGGTATATTGAGTTGATGAAGGGACCAGGTCTGGGAATTGAGGTTGATGAGGAGATGATTAGACGGGAGAGTAAGGATGCAAAGGCTTGGATCAGTCCAGGGTTCATTGGGCCGGGAGGCGAGATCAGGGAGTGGTAGGGCGTGGGTTTTCTCACGATATTCATTAGAGGTAAGCAGAGGTGACATAGCATGGCCTAAAGGGATTCGACTCATCTCCACATGATTTCCGAAATGGTCAAATACGCTGTATATCTCCTAGGTCTCTCATGTGTTATCTACTACATGATGTGTTCCAAGGTGAAGGTCACAATAGTCAGCTTTCCATTTTCATCTCTTCACCTTTTGCTATTGTCATCTTCAGCACTCAATACGTCTTACTATCCCAACTTACAATAGCTATGTAGCTATTGTCCCATCTACTGCTGCTCAGCAGCTCCCAGGTGGTAAGTATATAAACAGCGGCCCTCCTGTCCCTCCCCTCTTTCTCCAGCTCACACCCATCCTTGTCACATATAAATACCATCACATAATCTCGCCTAAATGGCATTCCTCTTTTTCGCTGCCGTCTTCACTCTTTTGGGGTGGCTCGCTTGCGAGCATGACTTCTTCTCGCTTGCCTCTTCGGTCCCTGCGGCTGGTCCGCATACCATATCATCTTCGCCTCCCTCTTCACCTTCGGCCTCTGCTCCGGCTGATCCGGTAGCATCGCCATCTCTGCCACGTCGAGAGCGTCGGGCTCTCGCTCGATCTCGGTCTCGGTCTCCTCCTCCGGTTCCTGCGTGGGCACACCCTGGCTCCCTCCTCTCGCCTCCTCGGCACCGCCCTGTCGAGGACAAGAACGACACTTTTCTGAATGTCAAATCCACCGAGGCCGATGGCCTGATGGAGAGAGTTTGGCATCCGATAAACGGGTGGAAGTGGGCTGCGGTCCGTGGTGAGAGGTTGGCCGCGAGGATGATTCCTCTTCCGAATTCTCCTCCCCCTTCGCCCATCATCGCTCCGTGTTCTCCTCCTGTCGCGGTTCCTCCTGCTTTTGTTGCAGCTTCTGCACCTGTGACCGTTCCCGTTCCGCCTGATCCTGCACCAACACCTATTGTCGTCTCTCCGCCTCCTCGCTCGGTCGCCTCCATCCTGGCTGGCATCCCCTCCCTACCACAGGGACTCACACACGTCTTTCCGCTGCCGGCTCCAGCACCACTGCCACAGCCACAGCCTCTGTTTGGTGGGTTGTCGCTGGCAACACCTGCTAAGTATGCTTCGGGTTCCCTGACTATGGTGCTGCCCGACCTCACACCCTCGGTTCCGATGCCGTTGGCTCCTCCTCTCCCGACTTCTCTTTCGGCTGGGGCTGACCATAAGCCCCAGGCTGATGACATATGTGGAATCGTTGCTCTGACTCCCCCTGCCTCCTCTCCTTTCGCCTTTGGTGGTAGATCTATTGGTGTTTCCGCTATGCCTACTCCCGCTCCTCCCTCTAATAGCACTTTCGATGCCGTCTTCGACTTCACGACACCCTCCCCTTTCTCCTCTCCAACACCTTTCTGTTCTACCTCCGGTCGCCCCCGTGATCGACGAATCCTCAAGAGGGTCTACGAACCTCGCTTCGAAGACGACAGAGACGACGACGATTCTCTCATGGAGAAATACTGGGACGCTGGATTCACCACCCTCGACTCCCTCATGCAAGCCGATATTCCAATGGTGACCGGGTGCGGGCTCGAAAACATTGCTGGATACATCTCCGGTTCCACTATCGCCTCTTTCGAGCACAATCTTCGGGACAAGGAGAATGGACTTCGCCGCCTGGCTAACCTCCTGCGTTGGCAATGCGGATCCACTCGACCGCAACCCCCTGGTGGGACTGTGGCCCTTGGTCAACTCATCACCGTGCTGGCACGTGTGGATGAGTTGGTGAGGGGATTTGTAGCTGACAATGGAGGTCAGCAGCAACTGTTCGTGAAGGGTGACTTCTTCAAGTGGGCGCGGGCGTGGCGTTACTTGGAGAAGCATTGGTGGCAGGTCAGGAAGACGAAGCTGCAGCAGGAACTGGATCCTGCTATATACGGACAGGTGGTGGTGTTGGTGAAGCTGCACCAAGTCCACTGGGTGAGATTTCTTCGTGAAGCTCCTGATAAGGGCAAAGGTCGTGATTGGTGAGGTGTTGAGCAGTTCTTCTTGTTTGAGAGCGCCTTACTGGTTTGCTTTTCTTTTGTATGCTTGTTGTTGGCTGGTCCACAATAGGTGCTGCTCTTCACAGTCAGTAGATAGTTGAGAACGGTACCCTTTTCTATCTTCTCATGTCATATTCAAATCATATCTGCCAGTGTGGAAAACAATCATTACGGCCTACCCTGACTATGTTCAAGTACTTCAAGCTGGGATATCGATCAGTCTCCACACTCTCGAAGCACTCACAGCACCTTGACACTTTCTGGAAACTCGTTGCAAACATCTGCGGATACCTCCTGACTTTCCGGTGCTACTCCTCATCTACGTCCTCCAGATCCGAATGTCCGCTGAAATGCTTAAACTTGATTGGCATTGGCGATTCGCCCAAGATTCCGGAGTGATGTGTCGGCGGTGGAGGCAGGTAGAAGGGTCGAAGGCCACGAGGTAGTAAGGGTGTAGGCGGAATGATGATGTCATGTCGAGCCGGCGAGCCAGCTGGGGTAGTAGATGCGACAATGGGAGAAGCCGTGACGTTGTGCACAGCCACACTATCGCTCAGCGTCTCGTCGTTGTACACTGTAAAGCTCCAGAGTATCCCCACCCATGGCCAGACAAAGCCCTCCTCATTCCAGAACCACGTTTGATCGCTAGCATACTCCATCAGAGCGTAGGTGGAAAACAAGAGTGCAGATGCACATAGACCGCCGACCTTGTAACTGTTAGTTCTCATCAACCACATATGTCGCGGGCGAGGTAACATACCATTCCAACGGTCAACTCGTGGGGTCTCGGAAAGTACCCAGGCTGCTCATACTCGGCAGCTGCGAAGAGAACAGTGGTAGCAAGTGCGACGTACGCGTATTTGTACGTAAACAAACTTGCGATGATTCTTCGATATTCTTGGCGTACACAATCGGGGACGAACGAATCCACAAATCGTCTTTGGGCGCGACATAGAAAATTGGGTGCAGAGACGGCAGTGGGTGCGACGGTCGGAGTGGAGTTCGGGTCCGCCATAGTTGGCGATGCGGTCATAGAAGCTGTTGAGTGTGTTGGCGTCATGACCGCTGTCTTTGCAACGAGCTGAGCAATATTCGAGTGGGTGACTGTGCGTTGAGTGTGAGTGGTGAAAGTGTCGACCGCGCCTTCTAATGCAGAACTGTAAGAGCGAAAGCAAGGAAGGTACGTGCTGTACTGTCGAGATGGGAGAAGATGTAGCAAACGACAGCCATCGAGATGATATAGACAGCAAACGCACGTGCACTAGATTTGCCAAATACGAGGAATTGACCTGTCGAACTTCTACTGGCGTACGATGGGAAGGTGCAAGAGCTCATACTCACATCCAACATCCGTCATTGAATGAAACATGTCTTGGATCTATACAGGGTATATCGCCAATCTATTGCCTACTCTTCAAATATCAATTACTCCTTCGGTTTGAAAACACGATGCCTTGCCAATAGTTGTGAGATCATGAAATGTGACACATCCTCGTCAGCCCAATACGTCATGTGACTCGCTATACTGGCCAGCAGCGAGATGTCGAAAGCCTGTAACCATGTTAGACGGTCTAGAAAAAGTGATAGAAGAGCAGTCATCACTTACGCCTTCTTGAATACTGTAGTCCACACGACCGTTGCTATTCAGCGCGCGCACTTTCTGTTCCTCCTTCTTGAGTTTCCGGCTTCGTTCTTCTAGCTCCTGCCATTCAAGGTCCTTTTCAACGTCTCGCTCGCCGTCTTCACTCTGCTGGCTCTTTCTTCGCTTTTGGAAGCCAGCGAAAAGGGTCTCTATGTCGCCTTCGATGAGCGTGGGAGGATGCTCGCCGTCTTCACCTTCGGCAATGGTTTCTTGTCCGAGACGGCGACGACGTTCTTCGCTAATGAAGGCGCTGGTGGGCTCATTGAGGCCTGGAACGAGATTTGCGGTGTTGCTCGAGGGAGGTGCGGTGGCGCTAAGTGGGCGGGAACTGCGTTGTCCTTGTGTACTGTTGCCTGCGCCGGTCATTTCTGTTCCTGATATGCCGAGACTGCGGTTGAGCAGTCCACTAGCAATGCCTGGAGTCAATTGGTGTCAGTATTTAAGTTCCTAGTCAGCATAGGTGATGTTGACTCACCTGATCCAAGAGAAGTCCAAAAGTCAGTCACGCCCTGACCAACTCGTTGACCAATGCCGGTGAAGCCTTGAGACGCTGGCGCACCAAAGATGCCTTTCTTGGTATATGGCAAAGGCTGGGCTTTGAGCGCTGACATGGCTGGTGAGATCAGAGGCTCAATTCGGTAACTTATCGGATCAGTCGGATGGAAGATGTTGAAGACTTGCTTGCAAAGAGGTGAGGATGTCGTAATGTCAAACGCATGTTCATCTCCACCTTGCGAGAATGGATCATCGATAGATGTAGCCGGTGTCTTCGGCGGCACAAACGCGGTAGCAGAAGTCTGCGGTCTTCCGACAATCGTTCGTCCCTTCAACATCTGGAACAGTCCAATGGGTGAGCCCAGAGCATAAAAGTCTTCCACCTCAAAGTCCAGCTTCAAGCCCTCTTCAGTAGACCTTCGTTGCTTGATCGACTGCGAGCTTGGCTTGGCTCTTGGGTCTTTCTGTATGCAAAGGATATCGAACATGATAGCTGACCCGAGAGAATGCCCAACTAAACTCACTTTTCCCTTAAAAGACGGATTTCGCTCCTTGAATAGCCGGTAAGTGCGGTTTAGCTCGTTCACAACGATTCGAGAGATGTGACCTTTGTATGCAGGACTTTGATATAGTAGAATGTCAAGCGCCAGATCAGTAAGGAAATTGCGGACAGCGGGTACGCCTGCAGTAGTCAGTAAGGGTCAAAGTCTTAAATCTGATTGCGCGACGTACCTTCAACGGTTATATCTTCGAGATTGGGGTACTCTTCATCTTCGTGATCGAGGTCGCCCAAGTCGTGTTCTTTACGGTTGTGCTTCAGGCTTTGCTTGGGGAAGTCCAACAAGTGTCTCCAGATGATGGGAATGACTTGTATGCGATTGTTCTTGCTCTCCGATTCCGTCTCCGCATTCAAGGCTTGGAGGTCAGGCGAAGCTGCGTATACAGATTTGAGGGACTTGCGCATAGTGTTCACGTCGTGAATGAAGTTGATGGACTCCATTCGCATTCCAAGCCGTTGTCCAATACCATGCGTTACTAGGAGCAGATGCTCAATCTCACGATCTTGATCACTGCCATGCTGTGTTTTGTAATCTTCACGCATCTCTTTCTCCTCACGTTTTCGCATCTCTTCTTCCTGTTGCTGCTCATATTCTGGCTTTGAGGATGTCATGAGCGATGAGACTTGCCTTTCCAGGTTGCGTCTGCGTGTTTGGGAAGGCGACATGCTTCGCTCGTTCTCTGAGTTCTCTCCATCTGTATTGACGTCAGAATTGCCGTGATCTGAACCGTATGCCAGAGCAGGCGTTGAAGGCCGGTCCGTCTGCTTTGCGCTCTGAGGACCCTTGGCAGGAGTTGGCTGCTTCTTCTTCTCTTTGGGATTGGTGTATCCACGGATGTACTTGTATCCAGCATAGTGCGCTCCTCCGGCGAAGCGCTGGTACAACGTACTGCCCATGCGAGACCACATGTCATCGGTCAACATCCACGCTGTCGTCTCGTCCTGGTATGTGACAGTGGAGTTCAGGTGGGCGCCGAAGAGTCTATGCGTCCGCGGCAAGTCGGCAGGCGCATTGGAGGCTGCAGATGCATCGCCTGGTTTCGAATCGTTTGATTGTTTCGAGGCTTCTTTCCGCAGACTGTCGTACGATGACTTGGGTGTAACTGGATTTGAGGTTGAGTCGCGATTCAGCCTAGCCAGCTCCTTGCGGTGGTCGTCGCCAGCACTCGGACCCATGGAAAGTGGCCGAGCACGAGGCTGCGATACTGCCCGCTTCTCATCTGGCTTTCCAAACTTCCACGGCTTCACCTTGAGATATCCTTCCTCTAGTTGCATGGCTAAACCTTCGTCGACGGCCTCCCCGTCTGGTGTGAACCATGTCCCCCGCTTGACGTCGTAAACAGGACCCAGCCAGTATGATGGTGCCAACTCGCGTGTCTCGATCTCGACATCGAACAGGTAGTCCTCGTTGACGGGCACCTTTGTGGTTTTGGGAGGTGTGTTATTGGATTGGGTAGGCGTAGTAGGACTAGCAATGCCCCTTCTCAGTTCGTCGGCATCGGCTTCGTCGGCAGTCTTTTGGAAGGCCGCCTCAATGGCGCGAGAGTCTCCGGCACCGAAGGGTATCCACTTCTTAGGTTTGGGCAAGGCGGTATCGGGGGCCATGGCATGCTTCGAAAGTGGTTTGCGCTTGGGTGTCTGCCAAGGTCAGTGTCGCAATCAAAAGGCAGCTCTGGCATTGCAAAGAACAGGAAGCTTGACGTGAGCGCAGTGTATATTGACTACTTACATCTATAGCATGGAACCACCTCACAGCCAGCGGAGGACAGTCTGGGGGGTAGCGCTTGAGACTCAGCCTGTGTCTCCGATCAATCACATGGTCTCCTCCTTGCTGAGCAGCCAGTATCGCCGCAGCTCTGTCCTTGTCCCTCTCCTGCTCCATCTTCTTGGCCTTATCCGCACTTCCCTCGGGCGCCGGAGGCTTGGGCGTACCTGCCCGCGATGGCCATGGTGATAGATTGGAAAGAAAGCCCTGCTTGTTGTCCGGTACAGTCATCCTGTCAACTGGAGGGACGTCGCCGCCAACACGAAGCTTGGCCAGCCAGGACTTTGCGCGATATCGTGAAGCTTGAAACGGTGGAGACAGTGGCCTCAGGCGGGGCGATCGGGCAGGCCCGCGAAGATGGACGCGTCGAGCAAACGTCTTGGCGTCGGTGGTATGGCTAGAGGAGCATGGCAGCAAGATGCATGTTATACAGTCATCAGGCGGTGGCAGGTGTCAGAAACATTTGATTGCATGTGCTCGTGTCGTGTCTTGCATGTGCCTGCTCCGGCGCTGCTGCGGCTGCGACACAGACTAGTTACATCACCACAGACGCGTGGGGCAGCCCACAGCTCTTCCACTCGTATCGCGTATCCATCGTCTCCCATCAACCAACACTGCAAACACACCGCCGAAATCCAAACGCCATGAGAGTTCACACCATACACGATCTGAATGCGCGCAATCCAACGCCGCCATCTAATCCGCTCCTGACTCCAACCGTGACCGACGCAGAGCGGCGGTTTTCGCGCTTCTCCGTCACCGATGCCGTGCATCTGAAGCTAAAGCTGCAAGCCCTCGACAACGCCGTATCGAGCATTCGCCCGGAAAATCATGACCAAGCTGATATCGCAACCATCACCAGTGCATGTCAAACACGACCTTTTGAAGAAACTGTGTACGTTGCTGGCTCAGAGATTTTCTACCTCGTAGTAAAAGGTCTTGCACGACCACATATCATCGCCGATGTTTATGCTGAAGCATACAAACATGTCTTACAGGGCAGGCCTTACGTGAACAACTACAATCTGTCTGGGTGTAGAGGAATAGACTGTATCTTTTCCGACGTGAGAACTGTCCTGGGAGATATCGACCGTGTGTGTGACACCAATCTCGAAGGCGCCTTCGCTAAACTCGAGGAACGAGGCAGGTCTATCATCAGTGCCTATGCCACCATCTTACTAACACTGACTAGTTCAGCCGTTTCCTTTGCTCCGGCTCCCAGCCGAGCTGCGCCTACATGTGTACTCATTTCTTCTTCCTCCTGAGCGTCGTATCGTCCTCAGACCTCGATCTCAGGTTGTCAGACGACCGCGTCTCAATATCATGCGTGCCAACAGGCAGTTACATGACGAAGTTATCAACTACTTCTACAAGAACTGGAGACTGTTCGTACGAGTAGATTCGTCACCACTAGGCCGGTTGCGTCAGGGCGAGGTCTGTTATCAAGGGGTAAGGCCCACGATCAACTCAGCCACCCTTGAGCTTCTCAAAGAGCTTGAGATCCGCGTCCACGAACATCTGGTCTACTTGACAGGACCACCCTCAAGCCGCATTAGCTCCATATTTGATACGTTCAAGCTTGAGTGTGTACGCATCACGTTCGAGCTGTCTAATACCGCCAGCGGGCACAATAGAGACACAAAGATGGAGCTGTTTTGCAGACAGCTAATTGATCAGATCCCGGCATCAGTGAGTGTGTCGTGGCCTCATAGCGATGCCGCAGCCTTCTTCCATAGCAATGCAGCAGAACAGCGCCTATATCAAGCCTTGCGGGAGAGAGCATCTCCTGGAGCAAGTCATGATGCAACGGTACCGGGACGTTTAGTAATGCAATGACCTCAGCATGCTCATAGATCAACAATTTTCAACCTATGAGTGCACATGCACGAAAGACCGGAGCTCGTCTTTATGCTACGCTGAGTGCTGGTAAGGTATACTTGAGTGTGCCCATGGCCAATGTTAAATCCGACAACGGGTCATCAAAAGTTCTCTCATGAAGAATGACGAGGAATATGCGCCATCAGCTTACAGTGTTGTCTGCGCCCTTTTTGCGCCGATCATTGAATTTATGCTTTGGTGATGTACGAATGGCAACCTTTAACGCCAACTTGTGTAAGATGGCAATGAACCATGTTTCCGCTATTACATAGTTTGACATAACTATATCATCCATGTCAAGAACCAGAAACATTTCTTACACGGCAAAGGACCGAATTCCTTCAGGTAATGTGGGCCGCTCGATTTGGGGTACATCGAAATGCCGATTGCGGGGTTACTGCAGGAACGCGGAATTGAAAGCTTCAGCATCGACCTTCGGTCTTCGGTACCTGACAACGGCACGACACCGAGGTTCTGTGCGTAATGTAGTACATGTATATAACTAAGGTGCGGCTATGATGTCTTTGGCGTCCAAAATCCTCCGCTAGTCTTTAGTGATATATTCAGCTCTTACCATCATGCATCCCTTCAATACTCTTACTGTATTTGCTACTATCATCACTAGCACAATGGCGCAGAGTACACCAGCACCGCCCCAAATGACTTTGATCTATCACATGGAAGCAGACCTGGGGGAACGATTTTCGCTAGGCTCTATCCCAACGGGGCAAGAACGCATTGTCATTCCTATTGTTGGGGGCACGTTCAAAGGACCTAGGATTTCTGGTGAGTAATTCCATTATAGGCATCCTGTATCCGACGATGCCAAATATGTTGTATTGCCTTTCTTGTTACAAACCGTTCTTTTTATATCCTATGACGTCACTCATACCGCGAAATACTCACGTTTCATAGGCAAAGTCCTTAACCTTGGTGCGGATTGGCGCCTGACGGACGCGCAAGGAAAGTTTCGACCAGATGCTCGATACAATATTCAAACCGATGACGGTACATATATTTATGTGCAGACTGAAGGCTTGCCCCCTGCAGTGGATGGCGCACCGTCAATGTTGCGAGGAAGATTTGAGACGAGCACAAACGGAACTGCTGCGTGGTTGAATGATGTGGCTGCTGTTGGCGTCATAAGAAGGAACGGCACGTCCAGTGTGTTGATCGACATGTGGCAGGTATGTGGACCGAATGAGTATTGTGAGGCTGGAGCAAGGCTAACAGAGACGCAGGCGTCCCCACCTTTGGAGTAACGACATTTCCAGTGCGCAAATGAAAAATAGCTAGATCAAAGCCAAAATGATTGAAAATGTTATTGGACTCGAGATATGCAGTATAATGTGCATATGCTTGGTAATAACGTCTTGTATGTCTCTTGCTGTCGCGACGCTTTTGGCTTTATGTGTGGCTGGGGGCGGCCAAAAATTGACGCCGACCTCGCTCTACTCAGCGAGCGTGCGCCAAACCTCTGCGTCTCTTCCAGCTCACATCCCACCATCTGCCAACAAGTCAAATCTCTATCCAGATACATCGCATCATGATGATGGATGCGCAACAATGGCAAATCCTACCATCCGATCTGGTGGAGCTTCAAATTGGCCAGGTCGACCTTTTGCTGGCTATGTACCCTGAAGAAACTACTTTCCATGAAAATTCTCAAGGAATACTAGATATCTTGCGCGACACCGATGATGTCAGGTCTAGAATCGCTGTCAAACTGACTCCAAGTATCTCGCTCTTCCTTGATCTGCCGATCACAATTGCCGAAGAAGCCGCTTCAGATTCCAAGTCGTTGCGCTTAGACATCGGAGTACCGTTTGCGTACAGTGGGAACATTGCGCCTTCTGAATCACCATCGGTTAGAGTTCGTGTGCAACAACCGAATTGGATGAGCAAAGCTGCGACCTCACAGTTGACAGCGGATATTCCGGAAGATGAAGACCTGTTGGGTACCATTGAGTTCATTCGAGAAGCGGCAGCCGAATACCTCGCAAATATCGAGACGAAGGATATTACCCTAGACACCGCCACCGTGGACTCCGGACCGCTGGTAAGAGTGTGGTTCTATTTTCCGTCGATCAGTACGCGTTCCAAGCGCGACGACTTCATCAAGTACGCGCCGTCCTACCAGCTAACCGGCTTCCTCTACGCTGGCAAACCCGGTCTACTCTGCGTCGAAGGTGGGTCGCAAAGCATCGATGACTATATGAAGTTCATCAAGACGGAAAGCTGGGGCGACATACCCGCGCATCACAAGAAGGTTAGCGAGCGACATCGAGAAGAGTGCGAAAAGAGGGTGTTTCTAGACATGACCGAGATTACAGATACGGTTGGTGAAAGACGCGGTCAAAGGGCGAACAGAGGGGATATGAAGGCGATTGAAGAGTGGCTTGTGGAAAGAGGCCTTGGTGACGCTTTTACCAAGGTTTTAATGTAGACTCAACATTCGCGAAATTAGCAGCTGATAGTATCTTCTCTAACTTTCCAAACCATCATTTGCGACCACACTCTTTACCCTTTCTATATCAAGACTTTCTGCAACATCTTTGAGGTAGAAGATTAATGTTGGCACTCCACTCAGTCCTATGGCATTTTCATCTCGATAAAACATCTTCACCTTATCGACAGTCTTGCAACCCAATCCTACCTTGTGTTGAGCAAGCAGCCACAGCACACCGGTTCCATTTGGAGTCCCACACAAGGCTTTGGCCTCTTCAGAGGCTATTGGGAAGCTTGTTCCTGGCCATCTCGGAAACCAGTTATCATACGAAACCCCGGGCTTCGCTTTCTCTTGTCGCCGTCTGCGAAGAGAAGCAAGAATAGTATTGCACACTGCCCGAGTATCGAGGTTGAGGATCGCGTATCTCACTACAATCTTCAGCTCTGGTATTTGAGCTTGCTCGGTAGGTGGCGCCAGTGACTTCCATTGCAGAAATGCGACATCGGACCAATACCGTAGCTTCGGCAGACCGGCTACCAGCGTCTCTGGATCTATATTCCTACATGGGTTCATCATCGCCATTGGTGTCGTATTGCATTCCGCTAGCAGAATGCCGGCTTTTGCGTTGAACACGCTCTGGATCTGCCCCATTGTAGCTGGATAGGTCTTGTCATCCACTGTAACGGTGTCCTCATGCAGCGTAAGCTTACCTACTGTGAGGATATTGGGAGGAAAGGATTTTGGATTTGTGCTCAAGGCCTGGATTAGATCGCCACTGGGGTAGGATCCGGTGGAAGCAAGAGTAAACGTACCCCAGCCCCATTCTTCCAGATCTCTACAGTCTTGAAATTGGCTTTGGGACGGGCCGCTGGCGACATCCGCGACAGTGAGACTGAGTAGACGTTCCCCTTTGGCGACGGCATCATGGTATGTTAAAGTCGACTTGATCTTGCGCGTATCAATGCTGTTACTCATTTTTGACACTTGAATGTGGTAGGCCACCAGCTGACAGTTCGAATTGGTTTGGCGAGTCGAGAGTTGTGTATACAAAAGAGAACTCTACGTAAGCTTACGAGCGATTGTTTCACAACACTACCTACTTTCAAGCAAAGGTAGACTGACCGTCACTATATCGATGAGTGAAGCATCGGGAAAACTGTGCAAGTGTATGCTTTAGCTGTAAGCTCGGTTGGTTTAATGTACACAGGTACACAAAGCCATTGTGAACATTACCCAACGCCAACACCTTGACATCCTGGCACTGTCGTAATGCACTGTTCAGAATATAGCCCTGCATTCGTGGTCAGTCATACCCACAGCTGGATGTTACTTGTCTAGTCCGGATATTTCTTCCCAATCATATCGTCTTGTTCAAATTATTATGTACCTAAGAATACCTAGGTATCTGCCATCTCAGGTAGAACTTTTGCATAATGTGCGGATGAGGGAGAATGAAACTTGGTACAAAAAGGTGTGAAACATCTATATACACCAATACTTGCGTCTTCTTTTGTCAATCTAACACAAAAACAAACAGCCCTCTCGTCGCATCTTCCAAGATCAAGCGTTCGTAGCACTGCCCACATATGTTTGCGACATATGAGTTAGTCTATACTTGGTTAGGCTTATTCTGACGCGACGTGACGCGAACGCGTAGCGCCACCTACGTAATTTATCTAGCCACCTTACGTTCTACAATGCTCTTTCACAATGTTGACCACCACACAAACTACCAATGCCAGCCTTGTGCGACTGCAAGTTGCTGTTCCCAGGTCAGAGATACCACACCACACTATATCTAGCGGACGCGAACAAGTGCCAGCGAGGCCTGCAAGATCGACGATGAGCCGTCAGATGATTCTCAGCCGCGGAAGCGTTACCGTCCAGCGCATCTTAGAAAGTACAGTGTCTCAACGCGATGCTCATGTACAGCTCACATTCTGCAAGACATCACGATAGACTTGGAGCGCGTTTTTCCATATATGGTATGGTGAAGATTATTGATTACTACAGTAAGCCGCAGGCCTGCATTATCTATTCACAGCTTGACTCAAAGACTGGACCCAGCTTTGAGAGCTCCAGGGAAGTTCTCCTGAAGAGCATCCCATAGCGGCTCGCCACCCTCTGTCAGATCCTTCCACGCGGGACATGCAAGATCCAGAAGCGGCGCGGCAAGGGTATCGGTTACCAATTTGATCGGGACCTCAAGCGTGGCCAGTAAGCCAGAGAGCGAGTTGGGCAAGAATGTCTTGAGCACCTCAAACACGAAACAGAGGAGGTTGTTGTTTTCGAGCAAGGAAGTCACGTTTATTACGCCACCCGTAACGTTACCGAGATCGACACCAGTGAACGAGTTTACAGTGCCTGTGTTGCCGCCGATGCTGCAAAGAGATATCAGTACTGACGTCAACACCCAGGGGAAAGAGTGATTGAGATTTTTCACGTACCTGCCAAGGACTGGGTGCTTCATGACCCAGCTTACAATGTCGAGATTGAGAGGAACAAGGCCATACTCTATCGGCTTACGGTACCAGTTTTCAGGGATGGTTTCGTGGCCTTTGCGGTACTCAAACGTTCCATTATCTCCCTCGTAGACGCCAAAGAATTTACGGAAGACCTCTTGAGTGAGAATACCATCGGGGTGCTCGGCCGTGTGGTTTGATAGCAGTCGGCCAAGGAAAAAATAACCGGCGTTGCGGCTAACCATTCCGGTAACAGGTCCATAGTAGAAGTTTGGATTGTGTGCGACGCTGTACTCCCAGCGGCGGGCAGCCTGGTCGGCCAGCAAATCCATAGAGATGACACCATTTTCGTCGGCGCGATCATGGATATCGCGGAATAGAGTCATATTCATTGTCCATGCATCACCCGTAACGTAAAGGTCATCGCGCGTGAGGGATGAGTCGGACTCGATCCAGTTGTGCGAACCTTGAAGTCCCCGGGGATCACCTACCAAGCAGTAAGCATGAGGGAGTTGGAAGCAATGTAGGATGGTTTGACGTACCAAGAAGGCCAAGAAGATTCCCTAGGATGTTGTCTGGGCCGATAGCTGGGCCTCCAATGGAGAAGCCCGGATCTAATGAAAGTGGATTTCCTGTCCAGACTGTACCCATAATACCGAGTACGAGTGCGAGCTCTGTCCCCATGCCCATCACTTGATTGATGGCAGCAACAACCTCTACAAAGCTGGTAACACCATCGCGGGAAATGTATCCATGGTTGGCCAAAGCATTGAGTCCAGGGCAAGGTCCACGCTGGTCTTTACCCTTGGGAGCCTGGAAAGCGTGTTTACCGGTGATATCGATGGGTTTGTTGACGTCTACAAGGAACCTCTTGGATTGCTTCAACTCATTGACCGATCGAATAGCTGCATCTAGCTTTTCTGGTGTAAGGCCTTCAAGGTGACTCGGGTCAAGAGCAGGAAAGGCATTGACAAGGATGTTGCCCGAAAAGAGGGTAAGAAGAGAAAATGAGAACTTCATAGTGAGTGGAATGGTGAAAAAAGAGGGACTGCGAGGCAAACAACGAACAACCAAAGAGAGGCGAGGAAATGGTAATTACATGTTGAGCCTTACGAGCACCATGTGAACTACATGGGTGTCTGCCCGGGCGGTGAGGCGCGGACGAACTGCTGAAAGTGGACGAACCACACAGAGTATAGGCAGGTCCCCGATTGGGTCGGGGAATATCTGACAGGTGAAGGACTAGCCTCTTTCTCTGGTCAAGGAGTGAGGCAACGTCTATCCTCATTTAACGACCCAGAGAGTACGTAGTGGAAAGCCACCAACAGCCGCGGCACGGAAGATGCCAATGGCTCCTGCTCCGCTTATGCCAGGTACGAGACTCATAGGAGGCTAGACAAAAAGATCCGCAGCGGACACTTCGGAATGTTGAAAAGGAGCATGGCTGACGATTCCAGATACGTGATCTGAAACAAAGCTCACCGGAGGAAGGGTTCGAAGGAAGGAAGAATAGGCAGATCGACAACACTGGTGGGGTCGGTACTGCCACGCTGCATAGGTCCGACTAAACGGTCCGTTCAGCAAGGTCCAACCGTGTCCGGATACAGAAAGCCGAAACTGTCACTCTCCTCGCACGGTCCGTTCCCGCTCACTCAACGCTTTCAATTCAAGGCTGGTACCATCGCATACCGCGCTTTTGCATAATCTCTTGAATTACGACTCTCATTTTCTTGGGGTTATCAGGAAATTACGTGCCACATACAGACCCTGGACGCCTTAACAGAGATCCCGAGTAATTCTTTAACCACGAAAACTTGAAGACCCACCCGACGTCTTCGAGAAGTACCGAAGTAACCAGATCGTAAAAGATAAGTGGCGAAAATTCTGGCTGTCAATGTGGGACGCACCCAGGCCAACTGTGCCGTTGGAAAGGCTGATCCTTGCCGTGGTTACACTGCGGGCCCCTTACTAGGATTATGTTCCTTCGCCCGCGTACAAGCTTCTCACTGCTTTACAAATGCCTGGCTACGATAGCAGGTACTCCCCCACTCATTGCGTACGCATACAGTCATGATTCCGCCCGACTTCGGCGCCAGATTAGAATGCGATTCCATACACAGGCTGTCCTGACTCATGTACGTGTTGTTCGAAAGAGAGCATCATGTACGATGTACTTGTCGTATACCAAGTGGTTCATTGTTTGTGGCTGACGCGTGTGTGCGGGAACGGTGCGAGTAGTGAAAACAAGTAACAATTGGGTATATTATTTACAAAAGAATTTAACCACCGTTCGTAGCATGTGCTTGAGCCAGACGCCTGTACTCCTTCTATACTATGATCGAGAACATAGCAAGATATCAAACATGTTCCCTTCCTGTCGTGGGCGGCTTCCCCCATTCCTGTGCTTTCCCATCAGTGGCGTTCTGAGTCACCACCGAGGCATTCCTGTGACTTACTTCCACTTCATGAGTCTGTATGATCCAGCCACCAGAGTCTCTTTCGGGATGTTGTTGCGCCTTCGTCAAATGGGCCCGGTCACTGTTGTCGTCCATATCGTCTAACGGGATAAATTGGCCTTCGTCTCCTGCTTTGGGTTTGATGGAGAGACGTACTGATTTCTCCTGACCACCAGTCGTGCTGTTGTTGGTGCTGAACTTTGATCCTTTGCTATTCGAAGTGCCTTTAGTCGAAGTGTTCCTGCTTGACGCGAATGTCGATGTTATCTTCGGCCAGAACTTGGCGATCAACATTCGGTGAGCCGGCATGCATCCGCAGATGATCGAAACATCGATCTCGATAAGACTCCATAAACCGGCGTCCACGTAATCCCAGGTGATGTTTTGCGTGTTCGAGAAGTGAATGAGCGATTCCAGACGGATGACTGAGATGATAATGACGAAGATACCAACACCAAACATGGCCATGACCATGAGCTTCTTCTTCAGACTCATGTTTAGTCCTACCAGATGTTTCATGGGGAGCGCCATTACTACAGCATCCAAGAAGATGTTGATAGCAGCCGCAATCCAGCCTTGAAGATGAATGTCGTTACATGTGCCCTCGTGTAGTCCATCCCACTGGGTCCAGGCCAAACTGATGGGTCGACATTGGTAGAGGGTTGCGAAGAAGAAAGCCACCGTGTATAGCGCACATACAGCCATCACGCTGTATGTAAGGATTCGAAAGCTCTTTGCCGGGAAGACGCGCAGGTAGAAGAATAGGATGGAGATCTTGGAGATACCTAGACCGGTGACGTAGAATATCTCTCCAAGGAAGTAGTAGTACAGAACGTTGGTGATCTGGTAGTCTTTCAACGTCCATATATCTCGTCCAAGGCCGTTCGCGACCACTGAGATGTTGTAAGTAATTGTCAAACAATCACAGAAGGCGGAGGATCTTACGGAAGTGACCAAATACGGCGGGAGGTATGGCAAGACAGAGCACGACTCCCATTGTGAGGTCATCCCATGATACCTGGCGGCCGTTTTTGCCTATACTGGCAAACATCCTTAGGACGAAGGCCAATATAGCCAAGATACATCCGGCATAGCCAGCAGCAAGGAACGTATTGCCTTTGTAACGAACAGGCACTCCGCAGCCCTGGTTGCTCACATTCTTCGTTTCTGTTATCGATGTCAGTTGCTTGATATACAAATCTTATGTGGCCAGGATGACTTACGCATGAGCTCGTATACAGTGCATGTCTTCGCTGAGCAGACGGCCACTGCAGCATTGAGTGCGTCATTGGTACACAAGCACTCTGAAGTGAGGTTTGTCGCACAAGTAGACTTGGGAAGCTCTTCCGTAAAACATTTCAGCTATACAAACAAGTCAGATCCGCGATTGATGTCCGGCTATTGTAACAGCAACGTACAGCGCACTTTGGCATATGTGATGCCAAAGCCTCAAGCGCATTCTGAGCTTGAACGGCAGCCACAAAGGCCGCAAGAAATGTTAGCAGAATGTTTAACCGCATTTGGAAATGTCCTATACGGGCTTCGCAAAATCGAAGACAATGATGGTAAACAAAGAAAGAATGATGGTATGATGTTCAGCTTGCGCTAGGTCTCAATGACATGGAGGTAGTGGGTTATGTACGCCTTAAGCATCTGGACTGCACAGAACACTGGTGGAGTTGCGATAACACAAAATGTGCCAACATGAGCGAACTTGACCCGGGCCAAGGGGCAATCATACCGAAATATGGATCCGTGGAGGAGAACTTGGAAGACCAGGTTTGAAAGGCACCGAATGTTGGTGTGCAAGGGTCGCTCGAGTGTCGTATCGAATCGGGGAACAACCGCCTACGAGCCTGGTTCACGAAGCCAGGGTCTGTACATGCCGCGCTTTGCTACATTCGATGAACCTATTGAGGAGTTGTTTCTCGGCACCTGTGACCTCACTGTGACCTTGCAGAACGCCCCTGGAGATCTTCTACAGTACCTTGAGAAATCAGGTCATGCTTATGCAGTGCTCGCGGATGCTTCCGGTGTTCTGCGGAACCGGAGACGCTGAGAGACGTTGGTGATAGAGACCCTAGGACCCTCTGGGGATCCACTTGGTTTGCCAAGTCGATGTTGCACGTGCATAGTGGAGGGATGCAAGGGTTACGATCGGTAGATACGTACCTTTCTCAACGTCTTCTGCTGGTCATGATATAGCCCTTGATCGACTTAGTCGTCGAAATTTTGGGTGGATACCTCCCTTCACGTCGGAGCTTTTTGATGACGTTGCTGATTCGTACATTGGGCAGTTGAGGCCAGGAACGAGGCTGGAAGCAGGCCGTCGGGGAGGGTGAAGAATAGTCAGCGTTTTAGCCGGGTTGCCGCGATCGTCGTTGAAGTTGACTTTTTTGATGACCAAGGGAGGCCCAAATCTGGACACTGCACTGTGCAAGCCGCAACTGTCAATAAGTATTCGCCTGGGATGTAATGCAACCTTAACTACAGGACGACTGTAAGCTAGAAAGCAGCCATGTTTCAACTTACAAGTAGCATTTGCTCGCAAAGTCCACGCATCTCGCGGGAGTTGCCTGCCCACGAACGTTAAGTTTGCGCCAACTGCCGTCGGGCCGAATCGCAAGGCGTCCAAGGCTCAAGATACAGTCTAGCTTCAAACAACGCCTCAATCTCCCCGCTCAATTTCTCTCGACTGCAGCTAGGAGAATTTTTGTACTATCCTGACTCGACCGCCCAGCATTTACCAGTGCGGACAGGGATGCGGCCCGACGTGGAGGGCATTCTTACCATGCTCGCGGGATCCACTAGGGCACGGTGCGCACTACCATCTGGATCTGGTAAGAACGGACAAAGTCGTTGGGGTAGGATTAGCCGTAGGTCGCATTCGTAAAATGTCCAGGACCAAAGGGGTAGACGGTCGATGATCCTAATCATTAGTACGTGTACAGCAACCACCGGTGGCGTTTCGCGATGGTTGCTCGAGGCTGACATATGCACATGGGAGTATAAGTCTTCACAGGGAAGCCCTCGTTCCTTACACTCCACACTCGTTCACGCCCAGGCGTTCTGTCTCTCGCTTTTGTGTATTACCTACTCTTCTCCCGGCCTTATTATTACCATCTCTAATACCGTCACCATGATTGTCTTGAAGGCTCTTGCCGTCCTCTCTTTACTCACCAACTTCACTGCCGCAAATATCATCGATGGCGCAGAACACACTCCTTACCGCGGACTGAATGTCAAGCGTGCTGTGAGTGCTACCAACACCACCACTCTTGAAGATTACGAATATGTCATTGTCGGCTCTGGTGCTGGCGGTGCACCTCTCGCGGCCAGACTGGCTCTCAATGGTCACAAGGTTCTCCTTCTTGAAGCTGGTGACGACCAGACCAACACTACTCAATACAACGTGCCTGTGTTGCACTCTGTTGCCGCCGAATACGAGCCGATGCGATGGGACTACTTTGTCAAGCACTTCGACGACGAAGCGGAGATGAAGAAGGACACCAAGCTTACATATGAGCTTGCTGATGGCACTCGCTACACAGGCCCTAACCCTCCTGCCGGTGCCAAACCCCTGGGTATTCTGTACCCGCGTGTTGGCTCTCTTGGAGGCTGCACTGTTCACAACGCCCTCATCACTGTATACCCATACGACAGTGACTGGAGTGGCATCCAGGCTATCACCGGCGATGATTCCTGGGCACCAAGCAAGATGCGCAAGTACTACCAACGTCTGGAGAAGGCGCGCTACCTGCCCAACAGCGTTGTTGGACACGGATTCTCAGGTTGGCTCGAGACCTCTCTGACTGACCTGACCTTGATTGTTCAGGACCTCAAGGTCATTTCCCTCGTTCTGGCTGCTGCCACGGGTATGGGAAAGAGCCTCCTCTCAGGACTCCTTACCACCGTTACTGGTCTCGGCCAGGTTCTCCTTCGCGACATCAACAACCCTGGCGCCAACCGTGATTCCGCCGAGGGCATGTGGCAGGTTCCTCTCGCCATGAAGATTCCAGAGTACAAGCGTGCTGGCCCCGTCGACTTCCTTCACCAGGTCATGGATGCCAAGAACAGTGATGGAAGCCGAAAGTACCATCTCGACATCCAACTCAACACCCTCGTCACCAACGTCGACTTTGACCAGTCTGGTGCGAAGCCCAAGGCTACTGGCGTCAGCTTCTTGACAGGAAAGTCTCTCTATGGCGCTGACCCAAGGCGTCAGTCTGGATCTGCTTCTGGCAAGGGAACAAAGGGTTCCGTCAAGGCCACTCGCGAGGTCATTCTGTCCGCTGGTGCTTTCAACACCCCGCAAATCATGAAGCTCTCCGGTGTTGGTCCTAAGGCCGAGCTCGAGAAGTTCGGCATCAATGTTGTCAAGGATCTCCCAGGTGTCGGCACGAACCTCCAGGATCGCTACGAAATCCCCGTCATCGGTCAGGCACCCAGCAAAATCTCTCTTCTGAACGGATGCACCTTCCTCGAAGGCGACTACGACCCTTGTCTCGAGAAGTGGGAGACTGGCAAGCTCGGAATCGGAAAGGGAGTTTACGCTACCAACGGTATTGCTCTTGCCATCACAAAGAAGGCCAGCAACTCTATCCACGGCAACGCTGATCTTTTCGTCGCTGGTTGGCCCGCGTACTTCAACGGTTACTACCCCAACTTCTTCGCCAACGCTACCGCCGGCCGTGACGCCTGGACTTGGCTCACGCTCAAGGCTGAATCGCGCAACAACGCTGGTACTGTCACCCTCCGCAGCGCTGATCCCCAAGATGTTCCCGAGATTCGCAAGCGCAACTTCGATGTTGGCGGTGACGAGGATCTTGACGCCCTTGTTGAAGGAATGAAGTACGGCCGCAAAATCTTCCAAGACCTCATTCCTCTCGATGGAAAGTTCACCGAGGTTTGGCCCGGAAAGCAAGTTCAGACGGACGCGCAGTGGAAGGAGTTCGCCAAGTACGAGTCCTGGGGTCACCATGCTTCTTGCACCTGCCCCATTGGCTCTGACGACGACCCGAATGCTGTCCTCGACACCAACTTCAAGGTCCGCGGTGTCGATGGCCTTCGTATCGTTGATGCTTCCTCTTTCCCCAAGATCCCTGGTACTTACCTCGCCCTTCCCCTCTACATGCTGGCGGAAAAGGCGTCAGACGCCATCCTTGCTGATGCCAAGGCCTCCAAGTAGATAGCGAGTGACAGGAGAGCATAGCGCGCTTCCTCCATCAATCTGGTGTACATAATACTTAATCAATCTTGACTTTGATCTGTTACTGTCTAGGCCCAATGAAAATACCAGCCGCGTTAGTTTCGAGTTCTTAACCACGATGATCCATGCTCTTATTAGTCGCTCAAGCAGCGCGAGACGCGGGAGACAGAAGCACTAATTCCAGAGGGTCGGGGACGGTAACTACTCCGCAAGACGCAATCATTGTATGCTTTGTGTCTGTATCGGCTCAGCACGTGGCATGGCCTGAAACACCTGCCATAAACTTAAAATGTCTGATGGCGTCCGAAAACTATGTATTACTCAGATTACTCATAAACCATCAACACATTCCTGTTAGCACGGCCATACCCGCAACGTGATCTACACCCGCGATGGCGGTCTCCTCATCCTCGAGTAGTTTGTCAATCTTGCTCTTGCTCTTGATCCTCCAGAATGCTTGTGCACCATCTACAAATCTCTTGCTGATATCATCGACATCTTCCGTGGGGCAAGCAGCGAAGCACAACCTGAAGCAGTTGAAGCTGTCGTTGTCTCTGATTTCCTGGTTAGCTGCGAACATGGTACCTGGTGCTACGAGGCACAGATATGGCTTCGACGTCCAGAACACCCAAAGGGCCTTGGAAAGACGACCGGCAGGTACTTGCTTGGCGAGTGGGTGAGACGAAAAGTCGAATCGCACCCAGACAAACATGCCGCCGAGAGGACGAACAAATGAGTACATGTTTGTCTTCTCGACCACAGCCCAGTCCTCTTCTTCGTCTACAACATCAACGAGGCTCCTCCGACGCCCAGCCTTGACGACTTCCTTGCCAGCATTGAGTGTATCGCACATAGCCGACATGCGACGCTCATAGTTTCCTCTAAGACCTTCCAGCCAGCGCACCCATCCGTCGACTTTCCAGCCACTGCCATCGGCGGCGCCACCTCTTCCAGGGTCATTTGATGACTGAGGGCCCATGAGCAATTCTGCAATCATAGACTGGACGAAACCAGAGGGTTGCTGAGTCGAAGTCTCGGTGATGCGAAGGAGACGCTCTACAAGCGCGGGTTGTGCGGTGATCCAACCAAGACGGCACCCTGGAGCTACAGTCTTGGAGAATGTGTCGAGACGTACGACACGGCCTTGGTAGTCTACGCTGAGATATGAAGGAATCAGACTGTCGAGAAATTCGAACCCGGAAGACTTGGTGGGCTTTGGAGGAACGCTGCTGGGCGATGATGATGGATACTGCAGGTACCAGTATGGGTCGTCTTCTACGATAATGACATCGTACTTGACGCAAAGGGCGTAGATTTCGGTTCTTCTTTGTACAGACAGAGTACCTGATGTAGGGTTCTGTCCAATAGTCACAGTGTACATGATGTGCGGTCGGCGGCCCTTTGAGAAGTCCCAGTTGTCCAGAACGTCCTCTAGACCTCCTTCGCCGTGTGCCATCATACCCTCATCGTCGATAGCTACGGGGGCAATGTTGAAGCCGCGCGGGCGAGCGGTCTGGATAGCGTTCATGTAGCAGTAGGTTTCGCACAACAGACCCGGCCTCTCATCAACAGGGTCATGATCAGCTGACCACTCGTTGCTGAGCGCGGTCAGTGTTTTGGAGAAACCATCGGTAGAGCCGCAGGTCAAGATGACCTCAGGACCGTTCTTGTATGGCACAAATGGATGTAGGTTCTCCCTCGTGAACTGTCGGATGAACTGGTACAAGGCAGGGTATCCCAATGCCTGGCCATATTGTAACGCGGACTTGAGATCAATCATGCGAAGGGGATCTTGCACGTTGGAGTACTTGGGTACAACAAGTCGCGACGCGGGTGGCTCCTTCTCTTTACGCCCTGAGATAGACGTCTTGTTCAATTGGGCGGACGGAGGATCTTCGGCGGGCGGGTCGACGGGCTTGTTTGGTGTTGGCTGCCATCGGTTCGGGTGTGCGACCTTGGCCTCGAGCGTGTCGTATGGGAAGTAGTGGTCGTTGGGCAGGCCTGCGATGCGTAAGCGATTAGTGTGGCAAAACAAACGTGTGTAAGCGCGCATACCTCCGGCCAACTGGGCAATGCCAGGAATCTGGAAGTACTTGTAAAATTGCTTGATTGAGGAAGCCTCGCGCGCTTTGGTGCTCCTGGACAGGAAGTGGGTGAGATCCACTGGCTCGGGGAAAGAGCTGGGATCAGAGCTGTACGGCGCCATGATGGGAAAGTCGCCGAATCCGGTGTTTTTCGGGAAGTTTGTCTAGGCGCGTCAACGGCAACAACAACTTTGTCGAATCTGTTAAAACAATCAAGTCCAAAGAGGTGAAAGGCAATTGACAAAGATGGAGACGCTCGGCCACCCTGAGCAAATGGTCCGAGGGCCCGATAAGGGCGCTGATTAGAAATGCCAGCTAACAGTGACCTCATCACCAAACGGGAAGCCGCATGGCACGCCTAGACCGCGTCGAGCCATGGTGAGCCACGTTGAGCCACGCGTGGCAGCAGCATCTGGGGAAGCTATCTGCAGCTACTCGAGACCATGCCAGTCACCATATCCCCAGCTCCGTAGACACGTACAAGACGATACTTTCTTTGCCTGTGCCGCCGACATCCAATACCTTGTACTCGAGAGCCGACTAGCGTGTTAGCGCCGTGAAGCCGGAACGTGGGAACTCCACAGGCCCGCATCATGCAGGTCCCGAAGCTCCCCAGAGCTCTTTCCTTGCAGCTATACTTTTGCCTCTGCTCTTTCAGACTTGCCTTCACCTAACCTCATGCATAGCCATCTTGCTTCTCTCTAGTCAACCAGACATTCATCGTCTTCCGTCATTCCGCCTATTCCTATCGATAAGCATCTGTCAAGCCTCGGCGCATCGTCATCCCATTCGCTACCAAACTGTCGTCCCCAACGCGTTCGCGCCACGAGCTGGCGTCCCTCTACGACATGGAGCCACGAGAAAGCTTTGACGACGAGGGCGCGCCTCCCCAGGCATATCGCGACGACGAGACTGCCAACACTTCTTTTGCCGAGCCTGCCGACGTACCCGCCAACTCCGAGACATCCGGCGACGAGTACTATAGCCCGCAAGAGCCTTACTACGCCAATAAATATATCCCACCGCGGTTGCAACGTATATGGAACAATGTTGTTGTATGGGTCAAGGGTCCTCAGCCACCACGACCGTGGAAGATACATCCCTTCTTTTCCAAGATACAGACTGCGCCGATCCAGTTGTTGAACAACTACTTCCCAGAGCGAAGACAGAAGATTGCCCTGCTGGCCTTTTTCTACTTCTGCTGGCTTCTCACCTTTGGATTGGTCCTGCATCGAAGCGCGTTCGCAGCAGACATACCGGGATACGGAAGCCCAGTGCGCATACGGTGTACAGATCGCTTTTGGAGCGATGGCAATGGTTGCGGGCTGAATGGAGATCTATGCCGGCCCTTTGAGAACAGCACCATGCCGTTCCGTTGCCCGGCAAACTGCAGGCGCGAGCAGTTGCTGAATCCACATGCTGTTGGTGACAAGAACGTAAACTACCATCAACTCGTTATTGGTGGACCCACCGACGAGCAAGAGACACTGGAAAACACATACTACCGTGCTGACTCTTTTATCTGCGGAGCGGCTATTCATGCTGGTTTTATAAACGACGCGTCCGGTGGTTGTGGAGTTGTTGCGCAGATTGGTGAGAAGATCGAGTACCCCAGCGTGAACAGGAGGCATATCAAGAGTATTGGCTTTGACTCTTATTTCCCACGGTCTTTCTCCTTCCTGTCTGGTACACAAGCCAAATGTCGCGACCTGCGGTGGCCACTGCTAGGCGTGTCGCTAACTTTTACCATCCTGTTGTCTTTGTTCACAACATCGCCATCCGTCTTTTTCTCCTCCATCTTCTTTGGTGTCTTCTTCCACGTTGCGCTTGCATCAGACCCACCAAACCTTACCGACTACTACTCCATCATCAGTATTGCCCTGGCGCGCTTTCTTCCGGCATCATTCTGCATGTATGCCGTCTACCAATTTGCGGTGCGTCGTCAACTGCAAGGCCTCCACGCACAGGTTGAGAAAACCATCCTTTGGCTTGGAGGGTGTTGGATCGGTGCTTTAAACAACTACACGTTCGACAAGATTCCTATCGAGCGCCTCACACCACACGACATCAAGAATCAGCCAGGTGCCATTCCAGCGCTGATCATTATCGTCCTTATCTTGTTCACCATCGCCTTGGGACAAGCCTGGTCGTTCCGTGTCGAGGGTCGCCTGCCGCGCTACCTCGCCATCTATGGTGCTCTGGTTGGAGGCATTCTTGCGCTTGTTGCCATCCCAAAGATGAATGTTCGCATCCACCACTATATCCTCGGCTTGCTACTTGTTCCTGGTACATCTATGCAAACACGTCCATCTCTACTCTTTCAAGGCATTTTGATCGGCCTCTTCATCAATGGCACTGCACGGTGGGGCTTCGCCAGCATCCTCGAGACGCCTAGTGCACTTCGCGGTGACGCACCTATGGGCACCTTACTTCCTATCATTACTGCGCCAATCATCCACAATAACCTGAACATTCACCATTTGAGACCGAACATCACCTTCGATTGGCACTTCCCTTTCCCCGAACCTTATGACGGGATAAGTGTCTTGGTCAACGATGTGGAAAGGTACCATGAATACGCTGACCGTATGGAGGAAAGCTGGACTTGGACTAGACACATGGAAAACGTCAACGAATATTTCCGCTTTGGATACTTGAAGGGTGGAGGAAGAGGCGACTACACGAAAGCTGGAGTTTGGAGAGCAGATGGTGGTTGGACGGAGATGGCTTCTGGTCCATCTTGATGCTCGAGAGAGTATGAATTTGGTTGGGCATCGCGTCGCATCGCATAATTTGGATAATCCATGTCCTGGTAAGACTAAGAAGACTATTTTAGATTTTGCGAGAGATGCTAGTCTAATCTTTTGCAACCAGATGGGTCACCCGTTGTCGTTAGCCCAATGTATGCCTTGTATACATATGCAGCAACATGTGCAGCTTTCTTCTTGTTCTTTAGCTTGACGCAGTGTATTTGTAGGCCCGCTGCACAAGGTTGAGTATCAGAACTGAAAGATCCCCCCCAAAGTGAGGTTGGCAAGCGGCAAGTACAATGGGTATGGTCAATTTAACCGGACCGTCCACCCCCCGATCCGAACGGTAGTGAAACAATCCAGGTATTCCAGAAGACCAGAGTTCGCTACGCATGTAGGCATCCACAAAATCCATGCAGTGTACGTAGTCCTCATCGTATTCCTGAACGGGTTATAGGCAGTGGCAGTGAGCATGTAACATTTGAGTTGTGCATTTAATGTTTTGCACTCTTTGTAAGATAAGCATGCTGTACAGAGATGGAAGAATATAATAATCATGCTTTCTATATGGTTCTGTGATGGTTCATTGCTTTGAGCATGAGGACGGGTCGCCTTGCAGTGATGTTACTATTCGTCCGCCGTTACGGACTACTCAAATGTTGCATGAAATTGACTAGTCAAGAAAGGGCTTAGTCCAGCCTTCGCGCCACCAACCGTACGATCGCTATTGCGTATACTCGGGGCTCGCTTTGTCGCATAAGCTTCGCATGGACATGTTTCTCATTCGTCCACGATGAGTGAGAAGTGCACACATAGCACGTGATCGGTGTTAATGATATCGCCGTACGCATACGAGTGGTCGAGTTCCATGGTTGGCGATTGTGCAATATGTACCGAGGAGGGGTTACGCGGGAATAAGTGGACCTAGCTTTGTCGTGGCTGCCCGTTGTGCTGTAGGCGTCAACACATGACTAGTGTTTGAGACGCATTTGTAATGGGCACACTGTTACGCCCCGAAAAGTACGCGAGCGGTACTGGCTGCGGGGATGCCTGTCCAAGTATGTATATAAGTAGAAGAAAGGTGAGCGTTGGGAAAGCATCACCAACAGTTGGACCGCGGCTTCTTCTGCTACATCATCGAGCAGGATCAACAACATCATCGCCTGTGCTGTCCCCACTATCAGTGCTATAACAAAATCAAAGCCTACAACACCCTCAAATCTCTCACACAACCCACACAAAAACACATTTGGAATCGATACCTGCCAGCCTTCACCATGGTTAAGTCAATTTTTGGAGGAGCTGCGCTCTCAGACTCTAGCCACTTCAAAACACCAGAAATGCGTGCCGAACTGGTCGATGTCCTGATCGCCAATGGTATTAAGAATATCGACTCTGCTCGTATCTACACCGGGTCAGAGGTTGCCATTGGCCAGCTAGAGAAGCGCAAAGACTTTATCATCGACACCAAGCTTGCGGGAGGCTTTGGACAACCTGGCAATGTCTCAAAGGAAGGTGTGATCAAGGACACTCAGGACTCTCTCGAGACCGCCAAGATCGATCAATTCGATGTCTTCTACATCCATGCACCAGATACGACTGTTCCCTTCGAGGAGACCCTGGCGGGTGTGAACGAGGCATACAAGAAGGGCATTTTCCGCCGTTTCGGTCTCAGCAACTTTTCGGCGGAGCAAGTACAGGAGGTATACGACATCGCGAAGGCGAAGGGCTACCCTCTGCCACAGGTATACCAGGGCAACTATAACCCTGTTGCCCGCCACTTAGAGACCCAGCTCTTCCCTACCCTCCGCAAGCTCGGCATCCATTTCTATGCCTACTCACCACTTGCTGGTGGTTTCCTCGTAAAGACTGCCTCCGACCTTGATGAAGGCGCGGGACGCTTCAACGACAAAGCCCTGGGTAATCTGTACGGAAAGCTTTACGATAACGAGACTATGCGCAAGGCGCTTGTCAAGTGGAACGAGATCGCTGAGAAGGAGGGTGTTACCAAGGCGGAGCTGGCATACCGCTGGGTCGCCTACCACAGCGTGCTTGAGGGCGATGAGGATGGTGTCATCTTCGGTGCTAGCAAGGTCAGCCAGGCTGAACAGACTGCCAAGAGCTTGAAGGCAGGTAAGCTTAGTGACGAGGCAGTCAAGGGCATTGAGCAGATTTGGGAGAGCGTCAAGGAAGTTGCTCCTGTTGATAACTACCACAGTGGAGTCAAGAAGCAGTAGATAGTGATTCGAGCGACTGGAAGGTTAGCATAACGCAACAATGTCAAAGATATCAAAACAGCTAAGATCTTCGTTCGTGCTGCCACTAAGGTGATTTCCAGGGTTAAGGCGCGATCCTTGAGGATAATCGTGCGTTATGAATTAAGTGTGGAGAGGTCATTGTCCAGGAGACAGACAATGATGAGCGTCATGTGCAATGTGGCTAGTGTTCGGTCCTACACAAGAGGGGGGTCAAGGCTTGGGACGCCTCATTGGACGCAAAATGTGGTAGTATATATATCAGTATTTTCTGCTGATAACCTTGGCATGCGGCACTTAACAACCTTGAACGATTGGAGTGCTTTATGATTTTCTCCAGTCTGACAAAGTCTTCCCTTTTTGGCTAGCGCTGGTGCTATCCTTCCCTTATATTCCTCGCTACCTCCTCTTGTGTATTCCACAATCCACACCCGCTCCATTACCTCTACTCAACAACTCCAACCCGACCGCCCCACGAAACCTAGTACCTGAAATCCTCGAGACATGTTCTCTCCGTCTCCCGTAGGGTGCGATAGAGACAGAGCAAAGTTGGAGGGCAACTTCACCAAAGCTGCTATTGCCATTGATCCAGCCAAACTCACTTTCCTGGACCTCCCCACGGAGCTGCGTGTCATGGTTTACGAGTACTTTACACCTGAAGATCAGTATATCTTTAACTCTGATCAGCCAGCATATGACGGCTTGTTACGCACCTGCAAGCAAATTCGGACGGAAGCACTAAAGGAGATACGAAAGGCAGCCGACAAGTACTATGGCGCTTATGAAGCGAAGTGGTTACTTCAAGAAGGTTTCAGCATCAAGGTGGAACCCATTATCGATCCTGGCAAAGTCGTCGTCGTCTTTTCGGAAGATCACTTCATGTCCGACGCTTGCAAGGCGGGGAGACGTCGTAGTTGCTACCGATTCCACATTCCGTTGGCTTCTTTGAATCTCAAAAGTCTTAGTTTCAAGGTCTCCCGCAATTCAGACACATCGCCGCCTCACCTGTTGGGTTGTGTTCCTGCTCACTGGGCCATTACCCAGATGCTCATGTCTATCATCACATCTAATCCCCAAGCACAGCGGATCTACTTCCACCGCGACAGACTTAACTTTGGTTATGGTTATTTCAATGATGATTTCGGGAAGTTGTGTACAACAGTGGAGGAAAGATGGCTGCGATACAGGGATCAAGAGGAGAAAGATGCACCGTATAAGTGGCTGTTGACGACGAATGTAGAATACAGCACGAAGACTGTACGTGGAATCTGGGTCGACCGTGTTACGAATTGCCTTGATTTGTAGCATATAGGGTGTAGTGTCGAGGAGTATGTCGAATTGACCAACGCCAACGGAGGAGTAATATATCTCAGCCCACCACCTTCTATCTTACACATCGCTAGCTCCAATGAAACCAGCCTCAAGCCTCATGTTTCAGGTTTGCTTTAGCGCAAGCAGAAAAGACTCAAATCGTCATTCACCACTCCCTCAATGCAGCTTTTTACCTTTTCAGAACCGTGATCCCCGAAGTCTTCGGCCTAGATCTCTTCTTCTTGACTTCCAACACCGGCGCAATCTTCGCCTTCTTCCTCGGCTGTACCTCATTAGGTTTCGCAGTTGTACCCCTCTTAATTCCCTTGCCCTTCGCTTCCCCCGCCTTTGCCCCGCCCCTCGGCCCTCTCTTAACACCCTTATCTGCCCTAGCAGCCTTAGCTTTCGGTTCTGGCCTAAGCAATCCGTGATCTTTGATGTAGAAGATCAGGTCTAGCGCCAAGTCACAGAACTCCTGTGTGCCCCTGATAAGCTGCAACGGTTTCTTCTTGCTCTCCAACCCTGCTCTGTACCGATCCACAACTGCAAAGAAGATGTCGTTGGTATCCGCGTCGACCGCGTCGCGCATACGCTCGTATTCTGCGTTGCCGCGGTTGTGCTCAGTGTGGAAGTGTCCGCGTCCCATGCCAAACTCGTCACCGATCTCGTATTGCACGTACGCTTCTATCACCATGATGGCAATGGTGTGGAAGTTGAGGAGGGCGATTGCAGGTTCAGGATCGGGGTTAGGAAGGGCGCGCTGGTTCGGTATGAAGATGTTCATCAGGAGATGGACTTCTTCGTCCGCGTGGTCTAGAGATAAGAAGATCTCTTCACGGACCAAGCCAGGTAGGGAAACTTTGGCGCTGGGGATGTCTTCGCCCTTCGCGAGGGGTTGGCGTTGGACTTCGTACTGAGGAAGGGTCCAGTCAATTTCTTCGGCGCTTTCCGAGGAAGGCGAGGCGTTCTTGGTGAGAATGGAGGCAGGTTGTGACTTATGTACTTGGTTCTGATTGGCCTTGGGTGTAGCATCTTTTGGCTTAGACGTGCTTGTGAAGAACTCAACATCAGAGTCATCATTCTGTCGTGGATGCTGTGTAATCCCGTTGAACGCTGTAAGTAGAGGTGACGTACCGATGACAGAATTACGGCTGCTAGTGACCGATGGGTGACGCTTCATTCGGCTTTGAAGAGGCTCATCGTCATCGGAAGCATCGCCGTCGTCGCTACAGTCGTTCTCATCCGGAATCTTCTTCGGCATCTCTTTAGGGCTCTCGGGGGCATACGGCCCTAGTACCCGGGTATTCAAGCTAGGAGGCGCTGAGATCTTTGTCGTACTCTTGTATAGTGATGCTGGGTTGATGCAATAAGACATGTTCAGTGGCATTTGACTATAGGAGACTGTAGGTGAAGCTGATTGTTGGAACCCTGGACTATTGAGTCCTTTTGAGACCTGCTGGTTGCTGAACTGAGGTGCGCGTTGGTAAGTCAGAGGGCCCGTAATAAACGATGGAGGTGCGTTCAATTGCCTCTGGGTATAGCCGAACCCATAAAGTGACTGTTGAGACTGTTGTGGCCACCCTCTGTTCTGTTTCCTAAAGTCCTCTAACTGCTTCTTCTGCCTTTCGATCTGTGCCTGAAGCTGTTGCTGGCGACTGAAGCTAGGATCGAAGTTGGGTTGGTTGCATTGATCGGAAGGCCGTTGGGAGACATGACGTGGTTGCGCTGTTTGGGACTCTGAGAAACCATCCAAAGTAATGTTGGGGTTCGATATACGTGAGTCCTGATAACGAGGTGAAGACGACGTAGTGGTGAGGTGAATCGGATCCTGAACGCCAAGGTCTGGTTGGCCAGCATTGAAGATATGCGGAATTTTCTTGACCTGGTCTTGTTTCTGTACGTTCATCTCATCAGATGTGAAGCCTGGTGGTACAAGTTGATGATCGATCGCTGGATGGCCTTTGTGTTGTTTATTGGCAGCGCTTGGGGACCACTCCTGTGAATTAGTACCATCAGAGATGTTTTCGTCGTCGTCAAACACGGTATTTTCACCACGAGTGGCTTCCGGTGATGCGCTCTCGCTCTGCTGATAGTTGCCGTCCACGTTATCAGCACCACGCTCGTTGATGGCCACAGGCTCTTGCAACTTCCCAAGCTCAGGTACAGCAGCTTGTGTATCAGCGATATCTAAGGACTTGTCGGAGGTGCTGCTGTTGGCCGGAACAGGCATAGTACCGTTGCCAGGATGAGCATCAACATCCATCTCATTTTGAGCAAAACTTTGGTTGGGATCATGTATCTGTTGACGTGCGTCATGTTCGAGCTCATCCTTGATGACCTTGACCTGACCTGACTCTTCCATAGGCTTACTAAGGGGTTCCGAAACCAAAGCTTGATCATCATCCTTCTCGATCTTGATCCGTGGGTCGGTCGTCTTCGTATTTGGGGATACAATGTGTAGATCATGTTCACTCTCTTGCTTGACAATAGGACTTCTGCTAGAAGGACTGGAAATGATACTCGAAGCTGTACCAGGCTTGAGGGAAACAGAAGTGCCATTAGTGGACCTTTGGTGATCTGGTGAAGAGGACGTGTTGGTGGTCTTGGTCTTGGTGCTGTACTTCAGCTTGACCACGAGTTGCTCTTCCTGGCCTATACTAGACTCTTCTCCAGAACCTGAATCATTTTCTGGTGTAGTAGTAGCACCAGAGAGTTTGTCTCTTAGCATTCCGTTTTCGTTGGTATCGCACTCTTGGTCCGCGCTATCCTCAAGACCTTGAGTGAGCTGATCATTCTGACGCGATGCAATCTCAGGTTTCTGCTTCTGATCGTGTACTTGAACAGGACCTAGAGGAGAGTGCTGAAGATCACCGATAGCATGTTGAGGATCTGACGGGGTTTTGTCGCTAGCGATGTCCATAGTGTCGGGTTTTGGCGCAGCGTCGTAGAAGTGCAGTTATCTGTCCATACGCAAAGCCGTAACAGAACGGCAATTCCAGTGTTGCAATAGACTCTCGCTTCCTGACTCTGAGATCCTTGACAGTTTGCAAGTCTTGAAATTTGGTGTTGTAAGTAAAGAGGATTGTAGGTCACCTTTGCGTGTGGGTAGTAGTGGCTTCATATAGGGTTCGCTGGCCAGTAATCGTTTACGCCCACCTTTACCTGAGAATTTGATCAAGCGCTCTCTCACCTCTACACTGTTACCTGCACGTTTGGTCTGCAGACCAAAAGCCAGAGGCTCCAGTACGAAATGGGATCTTAAGTAGAAGACTGATAATTGCGATTGCAACTGGGCTCATTCGTCACAACAACAGACCATTATTACTAGTGAGCAAGATACCGCGTTCTTGATCTGCTGTGACGAAACCAGTGTACGTTTGTTCACCATGGAGCACTGTAATCACATGAGACGAAATGACGACAATGAAACGGACGGTGAGACCTGGAAGAGTCAGCATACCTATACTCTCCAGTAGAGTCAAAGACTTACTGACACTACATAATCAGCGATATCTGAACGGGTATCTATTTCTCTCTACGTCTTGAATGGTATCTATTCCATCTCTTTGTCGTCTTCGTCTTTACATACCGACTCTTCCACTTCCTCACTGAATTCTCCCAATATCTCCCTTCAACCTCGTTACAAATTCCTCAAAAAGTGGCGCCAACGAACAATCCCGATACTTGTCCACAAAAAGCCCATCCTTACTCTTCAAGGCTGCAACTTCTTTAGTATCCATCTCCTTCCCTTGCAACACCGTACCCTTGGGATACACCGGCCTCGTCCCGCTTTCGACCAACTCGACAAATGCTGGGTCAATCGGTACGGAACCCAAGAAAGGGACTTGGAACTCTGTTGCCATGACGGCTCCGCCGCCCTTGCTGAAAACGTTTGTGCATTCCGAACAGTTTGGGCATACGAAGCCGGCCATGTTTTCTACTACGCCAAGGACTCTGATGCCGGTCTTCTTGCAGAAGTTGAGTTCCTTCTTCACGTCGCTAACGCTGATGGCTTGTGGGGTCGTGACCACGACAGCGCCGGCCAGGAAGGGGAGATACGGGTTGAGGGCGGGAGAGGGCGTGGTGTTCTTCAAAAGGGTTTCGAGCAGAGAGATGTGTTCATCGGAGGTACCGGGCGGCGTGTCGATGAGGAGGTAATCAAGCGGTGGCCAGAGGACGTCGGTGAGGAACTGGCGAACCATGGCTGTCTTCTTGGGGCCGCGCCAGATGACAGCATCGGAGCGCGAGGCCAAGATGAAGCCTAGTGACATACAGGATAAGGATCCAATCTTTTGGCCGTCTGCAGCCGCCTCTCCTCCTTCTGTTTGCTCCGTTGTGCTTCCATCCTTTCCGCCCACTCTCTTGTGCGTAGCCAATGTCTGCTCACCGTGCACATCAACCGGTATCCAGCCACCAGGCGCCTGCCTTACTTTTTCATTCTCGATGCCAAAGAAGCGTGGTATACTCGGGCCTGTCAAATCTATATCCAAGACACCGACCGAATGTCCTTGTAGTGATAGGGTGAGGGCGAGTTGGGTAGTGACGCTTGATTTTCCGACTCCGCCTTTGCCGGAGAGGACAAGAAGAATGTTCCGTATGTTGTCAAGAGGCATGGCGAGATTGGTATTAGTCTGGAGCGTACTCGGATGGGCAAGAGGAGGGGTGGTGTAGGTGGTACCGCAGATGGCGCATAGTGTGAGGTGATTGAGGGTTGTGGAGCGCGCTTTGAAATCCGACGACCAGAAAGTGGCGGTTTGCGGCGAGATCGGAGGTCCGACCTTGACCCGAGCATGTACTAACACTTCTCCTTGGGGCAGACTAGTTGTTTGTACTTGAAATCGTATTGATTGCTCTGTATGATCAATATGAGGCAAACCAACAAAAACACGTGCCTATTGGTATCAAATATAATCGTCTCCCAGAACCTTGTCCCCTCGGCGCATAGGTTGCCCAAATGCCGTTTCTAAACGACAGCCTTCTTCAGCGGGACTTCCTCACCAACCACCAATCTGTAACCCTCGGCACCCTTCTCCGTCTCCAAATCCTTGGGCTTTGCCGCCTTGGCACCTACCTCGGGGAAAGTAAACGCCTTACTCCTGCCTCCCTCCAAACCGCGCCATGCACCGACCGTGTTCCAGTTGGTCCAGGTCAATGCGCCTACCCATGGCTGCACATTCCATCCTAGCTCCAATGTGACATCCGTCCTATTGCCCAGCTTGCCAGTTATATCGGTGATCTTGTATTTGGGCTTGTTGTTGTCGAGGTGCAGTTCGCCGATGGGGTAGGGCGACGTCGTCTTTGATTTGGACGCGGCGCGCTTCTTGGCGGATTGCTTGGGCAGCTTCGACTTCTTGTCGGGGTGAACAAAGTAGCCCGTGTGCCAGGGCGCCGACTTGGAAGCGAGGATGGCATCCCAGATGATGGCTTCGGACGGCGGTTCTGAGGCGCGTGTTGAGGGGTAGACGGCTTTGAGGTAGACGAAGACTTGCTTGGTGTTCCAGTTGAAGAGCGAGCTGAGATCTGTGCATCATAGTGTCAGTTCTGCTGTTGCATTCGTATAGCCGTAGCATAGTCCTGATTTGTCTACGAGACGTACCAGCGCTGAGGTCGAACTTGATATGCGCGTATTCCTCCCTCTTGGGTGAGTAGTAGTGCGGCCGTCCCATTACCAATTGCACATTCTGCAGCGATATGTTGGCTGACGGGTTTTGTGGGGAGATGAAGCTACTCAGTGCAATGACGCTCGCGACTGTGAAAGCGACCGTGGTGAAGAAGCCAAAGACATTCTGCAGGCGCACAAGTGTCGAGTGCATCGTAGAGGTGGAGGATGAGCGCGGGGCTCTTTCTTTAAATGTTTGTCGGCTATGAGAGGAAGAGAAGCTCGTTGGAAGTGGGCGTGAGCGTTTAGCTTTCGCTAGGTCCTAACACGTATCTGGACTGTCGCGCGGAGGTCGGAGCTCAGCCCTATGAAACCAGGGTTCACCCATCCCACCCTAGACCAACATCTCCACGGTTAGCATCTGACCAGGGACGACTGAACTTCACCACAAATGTCGAGTATACATGATAGTTTATTTCCGGTTGCCACAGACAATGTGATACGGCTATCGACCTGTACTTAGCTATCCTACACCGTCTTCACCCACATCATCTTGCACTCTATCTGACCGTCTCATCTACGGGTATCATCTATGCATTTCCCATGTTATGTTCGAGCTGAACGCCATGACGCCACGCTAGCATGCTTTGTGAAACGCTCAAACAATCCCGAATCAAAGTTCAGATGTACTGTGGAAGAGGAGTCTACTGGGCAGCAGGTGGTGCGCCGCCCCTTGGTCCTCCACGTCCACGGAAACCGCCACGTCCACGGCCTCGCCCTCTACCGCCTCGTCCACCATCAAGATTTGCCGGCGGTGGTACGTTCGAGTAGTTTCGCGGCTGGAAATTTGGGTTGTTGGGCACAACTCCTTCAGCGGGATCAGTGTTGTCGATGACGGTGAAGCCTCCCCGGCCCTTGTAGCCTCCTCCTCGTCCACGCGGGACGAAATCAGCAGAGCCACCTCGCAGGTTACCGCGAGTGTTGATGCCATTGGGAGCCTGGTTCTGGTCTTGAGAGGCTTGGCCGTTCACTTGTCCAACACGGGGAGCCGTTCCGCCCCGCCCGCCACGACCACCACGAGGTGGTCCGCCATGGATTGGCAATGTCTGCTGCTGTCCTTGCTGCGGTCCAGAGCTTTGACGTGGTGCCATGCCTCCGCCACGTCCGTTCGCGCCTCCGAAAGCCCCTCGGTATGAGCCACGGAGGGGTGGTGGCGTACCCGCTGGAACTAGCCCAGGGCCTCCGGGAGCACCGAAGCGGGGCACATTGTACGAAAGAGGCGCTTGTTGTGGACGCCTGGCGGCAGCAGCGCTAGAATAATGCACGACCTGCTGATCCGTCATGTTCACAACTGCAGTAGCCGGTACAGTTGATCCTCTGAACGGAGAACAACGGTCGCCGAGAGAGGTACCACTCATAAAGGTAGCGTCGAATACAACATCGAGCAACAGAACACGCGCAGTGCGGGTTTTGCCAACCACAGTACCTGATGATCCGATTGGAACCCTTCCAGAGTCTTGAACATAGACGATGCGATCGCCGATGCTGAAGTGCTGGTGTCCGAGTCGTTGTTCTGCATCAGAAGGCTTCAGCAGTGCGACACGGGGCACCTTTGTAACCGTCTTGGGCTCAACTTCTTGGGTGAGGGGAAAGTTGGCATCAGCGGCTGCCTCGATGAGCTTGACTGTATCCGAGTCGAGCTGCTCAGCGTCCAAGGGTACCTTCTCAAAGTTCTTCGTCTGAACACTCTTGAGCCAGGCTCCAATCTCCTTGACCTTCTGCTTCGCAACTTCGGGAGGATAAAAGTCCGTGTCTTCCCAGCCGTCACCCGTCGGGTTCATGATAATGGCGGCGATAAACTCCGGGAATTTGGTCATATACTGTTGCAAGAGGTTTATGGCCTTCTCGCTATACTCCCATCCGTTGGCTGACTTGCGAGAGTAGCCCAATACCTTGAGCTTCTTCGCTTCAAACTTGAGGTTCAGACCGAGGTTGAGTTTAAGACCGCTTGAGTTGACGTTGAATGAGGACGTGAGCTTAGACAACGCAAGCGGCGGCATACTCAGCTGCCTTGCCACCTGGTAGGATGGAAGATACGGCATGGACCTTTCTGCCATGATGACGACTTCGCGTCCAAAAGCTGGCTCTTGCTTCTTTAGCTTGGCGACCATGATTGTGGCCTTATTGTCGGCGTGGCCCATGACTTGCAAGGGACGGCCATACGCGTAATCTCCAAGGTAGAATGCTCGGGCTCCCTCAGGGAACTCTTCTTCGATAGGAAGCGCCTCTTTCTCTATAAAGCGAGCATCTGCGCTGATAACCTCATCTACAACTGTTTGTGTTGCATACTCCACTTGTAGTCCAGCGACCTCGCCGTACTCCTTGATGGTAGCGCCTTCGTCGGTCTTCTTGAGCCCCTTGAGCATTTCTACGTGCACAAGTGACTCAATCTCTCCGACATTGATGCCAAGACGCTTGCTGTACTGGCTTTCGATGCGGTTCGCAGTCTTCTTCCAGTTGGAAATTTCTTGGGGTCCATGGGGAATAGCAACAGGCGCAGGAGAATCGCCGCTCTCTGGCAGAACGTAGTCGAACAGCTCATCCGATACCTTTATTACCTTTGCTTCATGTAAGAACGGGTAGCCAACATGAACGGCCTTGCCGAGTTTTGCTTGTGCGTGCCCGACAGACTGTCGTGGCTCCGTATCTAGTAGAGTAATGACCATGCTCTCGTTACGGCTGTCTTGTTGGAAAACATTGACACCTGCAAACTCAAGCTTGCCATGGAACGGCAGAGTCTTCAAACTGGGGAAGCCGGCCAGAGCTGAGGCACCCAGTTTGACGCCGTCCATGAGGCCAATGTAGTATTCTAGTCCTTCCATAGTCGGTAGGTCGAATATGTTCTCGATACACTTGCAGTGGGGAAGATCCGGGAATACACCTGGCAGAGATGACTGGTAGATAAAATCCAAATCTTTAGCGTAAGTGAACTTCAACGAAACGCCAAATGAATTGCGCTGCTTCTCGTCCGGTGTCAGGTCGTTTTCCTTGGTTGCCATGGCCTTAAGCAGACGATCTTCCTGGATGAATGGAATCTTGACGACAGCCTCCCAGTCCTGCTTCTTTCCATTCATATCGAGAGTGAAGTCTCGAGGATAGAAGTCGATGATCGGCGAATCCTCATTGGTCATGAGGGGATGGTAGGCTTTTGGTACGATGCTCTTACTGCGATCAGGCAGGACACCCATCAGTTGCTGGAAAGGCTTGAACGGCTGTCCAAGTCTGAAATTGATGTCCGCCTTCAGACCTCGCTTGACGTCGGAAATCATAGGCGAGTAGTGGTAGCCATAGTACCATGGCCATGACGCGACTCCACGGTAGTAGTAAAAGAGAACCCACTGCAATCCTTGGACGTAATTCTCCGTCAGTTTGCGAAGTTCTTCCTCGTTGCTGCGATCCCAGTCGAACTTGCTCTTGTAGTAGTCATTCTTCCACGCGTCAAACTTCTCATCGTATTTCTTCTGCATCTCCGATTGGGCATCCTCGGGTGAGATGTCAACGATCTTCGCCTGTTCGTACTTTTGTACAACGCGTACAATCGCTTTCGTGGATTCGTCATCCATCTCATCCTCTTCATCCGAGTCGCCTTCAACTAGCTTAGGTGGAGGTGTAACCTGAATGTGACGCTCGCCGTCGTCATTTTGGACAGTCTTCCAAGGGAGATGTAACTTGTCGGCAAGTTCTTGAACGAATTTTCGATCCTCCGCGTTGAGAGATACCGGAAGGTCCAACGGAGCTTGGTCTTTCTTCTCCATGTAATTACCCAGCCAGCTCTTGACCTTGGAGAACAGTTCCTTTTGCTGCGTGGTCATGACAACCGTGCCTCGTTTCGCCGTCTTGGCCATTACATCCTCCTTTCCAAGTTTCTTACCCTTGAACCAAGCAGCATCGGCATTCTCCGATTCGAAGTGACGGTATTCGATGTTTGAGAGTTCATCCAACAAGATAGCCAGGCGCTCCATGTTGATGACACCACCCTCGTTGATGTATCCTTTACCCTTGGGTAGGACAGTCTTGTAGACGTTGAACATGAGGGCCAAGGCGCCCTCGTTGATATGCAAATGTGGAAGATTAGGAAGGAAATCGTTACCAACAAAGAAAGCCATGAGAATGAAATCGTCAATGACACGCTCCATGTCGAATGGGAAGCTAAGAGCACCGGGCTCTTCCAGTTCCTGGAACTCGAGTTCCAGATATTCTCGAACAATGCTAAGATGCATAAGGTAAAAGTTTTGGTGTTCCAACTCCTTGGACTTGGTTTGGCTCTGGCGGCCAAACGTCACCTCTTCACGCAGCAAGCTGAAGTGGGGGTCGTGGCTGAGCAGACCCAACATGATGAGGTCGGCATCAAGACCGTACAGGCAGTGGCGGCGGTTCGGGTCGTACCCCGGCTGTGCCTTGGCCTGACGGATGTACTCCATGACCTTGTGCTCTCCCTCTCCGGGGACCTCGTGACCAGACAGCACGACTTCCACGCCCTGCCAGTCTATGTCCTCGGAGACCTTCTTGTTGATGAAGTACTTGAGCTGCTGCGTGAGCTTCGCCATGAAAGCAGTGCCTGGCGTAATGCAGTTGCTGTCGAACGCTTCCTCAGTCGGCATCTCTACGCCTTCGCGGATAGCCTTCTCTCGAGCCTTTTCAGTGTCGAGAGCGGTTCGGAAACGTCGCGCACGCTGCTGGTTCATCTTGGCGCGCGGGGCGACACCATCAATGGCCATGAAGAAGAGCTGTTTGGGCTTAATTTTGCCAAACAAATGCTCAATGTAGTTGAAGATGGAGATGAACATCTGATCTTCGGACTTGCGCGCCGTGACGCTGTCGGAATCGTTGTGGGTGCAGTTATGGATGATGCCGTTCATGTCAAGCTGTGACTGTTAACTAACTGCGCGCATCGAATGCGACTCAAGAGCACCTACGTAGAGACAATCGAATTCGGGAATACGGTTCTCAGCAATGAGCTGCGAAATACCCGGATACCTTTCGGACATCCATCGAAAGAACTTTGGGACGCCCATGGCTGCTGCTCCTGTCTAGGAATGGCTGAGGATAGGTTGTGAATTGTGTACAAGTGGCGGGGCTGAGAGTCGCAATATATGGTGGGTGACAAGGGGAGAAGATGGCAGTGAGAGAGGCGCGCAAAGGCGCTGGGGCGAGAGGGCGAGAGAGAGAGTATAGGGTGTTGGTTCTCGACGCTGGGGTCTTCAAAGAGTCGGAGTCTTGATCATAGACGCAATGGATATACGGGCGGCGACTGCCAAGCAAGTGGGGCGCTAATGGATCGACATCGGGGTTGGTCCAAACGCGAACTTTGGGAGCGCGTCGTGCGCCGTAGCTTCTGCGCATCACACTTCAAGATCGCATACATCCCACCACACCCTTGACTATCAGCATACATTGACCCTCACCATGGACGAGACTATGAGTGGTAAGTCTGTTCACCTGTTGCGGGTTTGTTTTGCGACATTGCCATGTAGACTGAAGGCGAGCGAACTTCGTATACCACACCGACACAGTTGGCACATGGCGTAACAGCTCACTACCATACATGCGCAGTCGCTCAAGCCCCGACACTTTTGAACCCGTCAGAGACTTGGTTCTAACACTATCGCGACAGACGCTCACGATTCCCACGAGATGGACGACCAAGAGCAGTTGGAGCAGAAGCTCATCAACGAAGAGTACAAGATATGGAAGAAGAACAGCGTCTTTTTATACGATATGCTGTACGGCCGCGCGCTCGAGTGGCCTACGCTCACTACACAATGGCTTCCCGACAAGAAGCCTGTAGAAGGCACCAACATGAGCCAGCACCGCGTCATTCTTGGAACCCACACGTCGAACCAAGCCCAAAACTACCTACAAATCGCCCACTGTGAGATACCCGACTTCCGGGTTCCGGACTTGTCAGAGCTTAACGAAGAGCGCGGAGAAATTGGCGGCCACGGCAATGCGAAGCGACCCTTTGACTTCAAGATTGTGCAGAAGATCAACCACCCTGGCGAGGTCAACAAGGCGCGCTACCAGCCTCAGAACCCCGACATCATAGCATCGCTGTGTGTAGACGGCAAGGTGCTCATCTTCGACCGAACCAAGCACCCGCTGCAACCAAAGGACGATTCGATCAAGTTCGAGGCCGAGCTTGTAGGCCATAGCAAGGAGGGATTTGGCTTGAGCTGGAGTCCTCTGAAAGAGGGACACTTGGTGACGGGTAACGAGGATACCACAGTGAAGACTTGGGACATCAAGAGTGGCTTCTCCAAGAGCAACAAGACCATCAGTCCAACGGCGACATACAACGTTCACAGTGCAACCGTCAACGATGTTCAGTACCACCCGATCCACAACTTCCTCATTGGTACCGCGTCCGACGATCTTACTTGGCAAATCATCGATACCCGTATGGAAACACACAAGAAGGCACTGTACAGGAAGGAGGCCCACGACGACGCAGTCAACTGCATCTCGTTCCATCCCGAGTTTGAAGGGACTTTCGCGACAGGTTCGGCAGACAAATCAGTCGGAATCTGGGATATGAGGAATTTTGACAAGAAGCTTCACAGCCTGCAAAATCACGCCTCAGATGTCATTGGTCTGCAATGGCACCCGCAAGATGCTGCCATTCTTGCCAGTTCCAGTTACGATCGCCGTATTTGCCTGTGGGATCTCAGCAAGATCGGTTCTGAACAGACGGCTGAGGAAGCAGAAGATGGCCCCCCTGAACTGTAAGTCATCGCGAACCTAATGTCAGCTCACGTACTAACATGCAACAGACTGTTCATGCACGGTGGCTTCACGAACCGAATCTGCGACTTTGACTGGAACAAGAACGATCCATGGCTCATGATGGGCGCTGCAGAGGACAACCAGCTGCAAATCTTCCGTCCCGCGCGCAAACTCGTTGAGCCAATCAAGAAGACTGTAAACCACGGAGATGTCTCAGACTGAGCTCCCTCCATCGTGTGTCTTCCTTTTGAGATGGCTAACATGAGGGCACTCGTAGGGTAAGGTAGCGGTTCCCGTGCCGATTGTACCGGTTTTCGATGCTTGGGAGCCATCTTCGTCGCCTCTGAGTTCTGTACCTGAAAGTTCTATACCCGAAGAGGAGGAATCAAGGCCAGAGCAAGAGATCGCTACTAATTCTGATGAGAGTGAGAGGACTTTGTATTTGCCCGCTACTCCGCCTTCTTCTCCATAGTAAGGAAGAAAACAAGAATGGTGTTGGGCGCAACGGCTTGGTGATATCCTTTGTCGGTTTTTTTGCGATTCTAGTCGCGTAAACACATGAATCAAAACATATCTGCCTTATTCCACCATTGTTGATGTGAGTGAAGAAAGCTTTGTAGTGCTGTTGAGCGGGTGAGGGACAAGGGGTCCATGCTCACCTCCGAGGTACGAGCTCCCAGCTCCCCGCAATCGTCATCCCATCTCTCATGCACCCGCCATGTGAAATCAACATCACCAGCTCAGACTCAGAATCTGGGCTTGCATCGATCACCATCTGACTCTCTCTGTTGACACGCCAGCTTCAGTCGAAGCAATCTGCCATGCTCCTCCTCGGCCTCACAGGCTCTATCGCGACGGGCAAATCGACCGTCTCATCCATCCTCTCCAAGCCGCCCTATTCTCTCCCAATCGTGGACGCTGACCTCATCGCGCGGCAAGTCGTTGAACCCGGCACTGCAGGCTACAATGCCATCGTCGAGCACTTTCTACCTACCACACCAGATCTGCTTCTTCCCGATGCGACGCCCAAAGGACGCCCGCTGAACCGACCAGCACTAGGACGGAGAGTCTTCGGCAGCGGAGAAGAGAAGGAGCGCGACCGAAAGAAGCTGAATAGCATCGTACACCCTGCAGTACGAAAGGAGATGTATAGACAAATGGTATGGGCATACCTACGCGGCAACTGGGCGGTCGTGCTAGACGTCCCTCTCCTTTTTGAGAGTGGCTGGGAACGCTACTGTGGCACTATCCTCGTCGTCGGCGTGTCGGATCCCGCAATACAGATACAACGCCTACGCGATCGTGATTCGCATCTTACCGAAGAAGATGCGCGGAACCGCGTTATGAGTCAAGGCGACGTGCGCGAGAAAGCGGAGCGCTGTTTGCGGAGAGGCCCGGGTAACGGCGTCGTGGTCTGGAATGATCACGACAGAAGCTATCTGGAGAAAGAGATACAGAGAGTCATGCAGGATGTTAGAAGCAATAGTCCGCGGTGGTGGAGTTTCCTGCTTTGGGTGAACCCGTTGTTTGGTGCGCTGGCTGGTATGTTGAGCTGGTATAAGATGCGGGACGTGCAATTACAATGGGAAGAACAGAAGAAGCGGGAGAAGGCGAAACTGTAGGACCTGATTTGGTTTGTTGACTCTGTTGGCTGTGTGCTGAAGACAGAAGGAGTGTCGGTGCTAATGTGTGTTGGTGTTTGTTGGATGTGCGCATAGATATCTTAGCAATTGGCGGCACAGGTGCTGTGTCACGGTAAATGCTTTCAAATTCCTCAGTTTGTGTGTTTATTTCATGTTTTCTAATCATGTCTCGCCAGTCTGCATATTATTTTGCTGTTGCCGTTCTGCTGTGCAGTCGAAAAGTTGTCCACCTTCACTTCTGCTCCACTGTCGCTGCAATGCGTTCAAAGTCCACCGCACCACACCAACGTTTCTTCATTCGCCCCGCCGCTCGCAAATCAGCAGGCCGGAGCCGACCTTCTCTCTGGAAAACATATTTCTACAAGCTTCTTGAACGTCATCCTGGTGGACTGCAATCAAATGACCATAGTGCGAGCATGAGTTCCATAACGCCCCAATCCTTCGTCGACGATGGCGGATCCTTCACCAAGCGCGAACCTCGCGGTCTCGATCAGCGCCACGTTGCGAGTTGGATCGCTAGCAACAAATCAGAGATATCAGGCTACACGGGCAGTTTCATCGATGACGGCGCGGACATGCAACTGCCACCTGGAGTAGCACCAGGCTTTGGCCCAGTCGACACGCGGTTTTACAAGCAGAAGAAACGAAAAGAAGCCAGAGATGGTGTGGAGACAGTGTGGAACGATGACGTGCAAAAGGCGATCAGCGGAGATATACAACGAAACTTGGAGAAGATAAAGGGATTGGGCGGACTGGAAGTTAAGCGGACGGATCATGATGGTTGTCAGGACAAGAAACCTGGGGATCAAGAGAAGGCGAACAAGGATACTGTGACTGTCCCTGTGCCACCCCAATGGGGAACCTTCGTCATCAAAGCAGATGATGGTCGCGTTATCGTTGTAGACAAGGATGGTGAGTTTGATTCCGGACCACAGAAGGCTCTCAGCGAGCAACCAAAACATTGGGTCAAAGCAGCATCTACCGTCGAGTCAGCCTCTCTGGCCAAAGGTGCAGTTCCGCATTCTACAACGATGCAACGCACGTCTTCCCGTCAGACAAAAGAACGTTCGAAAGAGAAGAAACAAAAGAGTGGCAGTGGGAAGAGTGTCAAAAACAATAGGTCTCGTCGCTCGCATCTCTCGTCACCAAAGACACTTACACCCATCTCCGAATCAGAATACGAAGAAGGCTACCTGCACTCTGGTGGCGAAGACATGGGTTCGCCGACGGGTTTCATGATGACGGGTGGAGCGAGCGGCTGGCCCTCTAGCAGAGCTACATCTGTATCCGTGAGCGACGCGTACGAATACATTGTGCCAGGATCTCCAATCAAGGCCATCAGTGAGGGATTCAGATATGTCAGACCACGCTCACAGGGTTACAAAGACATTGTTCCAGCGTTGAACTCATGGATTGAGAAGAAAGCGTCGCCCATGCGTTCGCCACCCACTAGACGGCCGCCTCCTGACATATTGCCAGTCAAAGGAGACACTACGGTATTGTCAGAGGCATCTTGGGATGGTGGGCAGTTTGAGAGTGCATGGAAAGTCGCCAGTCCAAGTCACTCATGCAAGAGCCACAGATCGACCCATACTAGCAACAAGTCGCCAAAATTCAAGAACGACTCGGACAGTGCTTCAGGGAAGAGTCATGCAACGTACAAAGCGCCTACAGTCGAAGATGCGTTAGGAGAGGAGGACCATATTGCGACTGGATGGGTCGGCAGTGTGAAGAGCACTGGAAAGCAAGGTTGGGGTCGTGACCAAAATAGCAATGCGAAGAGTTCCAGTAGTAAGAAAGAAGAAAGAGAACCTGCGTGGACGTCGTCTGCAAACACGCCTCATCCACATACCTGGGCAGGTCCAGGTAGCAGGTCTTCAAGCGAGCGAAGCTGGAGCAAAAGACCCAAATCCACTGACAATGCTAGCTGGACCGGTGTCGAGTCTCCTACTTTTCAGCATATCGCCAACAGTCCTACGTCTGTACATTTTGGCAGTCCTACACTTCCCTTGGGCGATACTACGTGGCATGGCCTTGAGAGAAACAAATCAACCAGTGAAGTTGGTGTCGTAGACACGGGGAGTGAGCGGGCGTCTCTAGGTCGTCAAAGCCGAGTATCAAGTCTACGGTCTGCTCGTCGAAGTCACGGTAGCCATGATACCCATAGAAGTCATAGGAGCAGTAAGCACGTACACCCTACATGCTGGGAAGACGGTCAAGCAGGTTGGGCGGGCGGAAGTCAGGCTAGCCATCTGAGCCGACACTCCCAACGACCTGACGATGCAGCCATTTGGCCTGATAGTCGTGCCGTCAGCGAACAGAGCTGGAGCAGTCAGAAGGCTCGTGTTGATGACGACAGTGGAGGCCAATGGGGTGGTGCAGATCAAGATGTGGGGAAATACGCGAATGGATATGATGAGGATAACGCGACATATCTAAACGATAGTTGGAATGGTGTTCCAGTGAGGGTTGGGGGTCGCGCGGGGAGCAGGAGCCCGAGGCAGAGTAGTGCCGCGACGGGCTGGGTGTAAGGATGGCGCGACAGGGCAATCGCGAAGCAAAAAAAGCAAGTGGGGCAATGGGAAGACGAATTGACATGTCGAGTCAGTTCCTAGAACGCATAAAATTACTAAGTCATACAACATATTCAGCTCAAGATGACGGCGTCTACTAAGGCAGGGCTGCACAGCAATGAACATGCCCATCAGCAGTCAGCATGGCGAACCAACGAAACTCAGCCCTGCGAGCGTGATGCAGCAAACTCGCGTGCATCCCGCCTCATCGCGTTCTACAATGGGAGCCCGCGTACATATATGCGCGTCGAAACACCAACGGCAAGCAGCGCGATACTCGAAAGACCAGCAGATGGTCCAAACTTCAAAGGTCACCAACCACCTATAAGTCTATGACATACCTGTGACAATTGGCAGCCTCAGAGCAACATACGAGAAGCCTCGGACAGGCGCCTCTACTGCACGTACTACTGCCTCAGCACACTGTAAGCTGCAAGGCCTGGGATGTACGCGCAGAGAACGAAGCACCGTTCACGTCGTTCACGTCTACATCGCGAGCGCGCCGAGTCGCGTTTCGGTGGCGCAAGTGACACTGCAGGTGGATCCGGAGCGTCGTGGCCAATAGAGCGTATTGCATAAAGTGGCTAGGAGGGTTAAAACCAGTTTTCCGTCATAGTTTCGGGATATGATCCTGGCCTGAGTGGAGAAGACGGACGCGATTGTGGGAGGCGGCCCCTAAGTGCGTGATGGACACGCTAAAGTACGAGGGAGACTGGGGACGCGTTTGAGTGCTGGTCTAATAGCTTCGTGGCCCAGCTGCACATCCATCTCTCTTACTCTTCTTCTCCAGGTTTGACTCTGTGTGTTCAGGTTCTCTGTCGTTGACCCAGACATTCTCTACTCATTGTGAGAGACGAAGAGACCGTCGTTGTTGTTCTTGTTGTTTTGGTCTGGCCGTCTTGAACGACCTAGTCGCGAAAGAGAATACGATAACCAAACCACCCCACCTTTCGCACCTTCCGTCCCAACGACAATCACCTTCAACACCACTACCGCGAGTCCTCAGTCGCATCAATTACGTTTTCGGGCCGATATATCTACTTGTACATCATATCAATCGCTATCGCGACATTTTCGACAGTCTTTACCATGGCCACCTCTACGCGCCAGCCCTTCGGCGAGATCGGCTCGTCACGGCTACAGGTACTCCAGAGCGCGAAGAACAGGCAAAATGGTAAGGCGCTCCAATTCACGTGCCATTGCTTTCACTAAACGCGTATGCGACAGCCATCTCGCCAAATTTCACGTCGCCGCAGGGTCTGAAGTCAATTCCCACGCCATCGACGGGTAAGCGCCAACGCGCACCCGAGATCTACGAAGATGCCGACTCCGAGAACGTGGACCCTTCCGTCTTCAGCAGCCCGTCCAAGAAGTCGAGGACGGCCAACAACAGCATCGACGCGGGATACATCAAGCCCGCCAGCTTCTCCATCTTCACTTCGCCCGTCAAGCCCAGCAGTGCCAGTCTCAATGCCACGCCTTCCGTCCCGTCTGTGCGCAAGGCTCTCTCGTCACCCAGCACCGCCAAGTCAACGCCCATCACCAACAGCCGCGGCTCACCCAAGAACAAGCGTCTCCATGCCATTTCCAAGCGTCGCGCATCCAGCTCGCCCTTCCGACGTGTCGACCCACCCTCCTTCAACCTGAGCAGCCCCAGCCTACCCTTCTCTATTGACGCAGCCCTCAGCGGCTCAATCTCCACCTACACACCCAAGGCCCCCACTGTAGCCGCCACTCCCGCCTCAGCACCAGCCGCCCAGTCAGCCCCTATCCTCGATGACAACATGCCCAAGAGCTGGTTTTTCGACATCCACGAGGACACGCCCGAGCAAGAAGCCGCAAACCTCATGGAACATTCGGCATCCGTCCTAGACATCTCATCCGACGACGACGCAGCAACCAAGTTCCGCAATGAGGACCGCGGCAAGGAGAACGTCCCGCCTCCAGACTTCCTCGCTGCTGCAAATGCCCGCAAGCGCAACCATGCTTCTTCCTTGGACGACGGCTATGAGACTGATATCCTGGTCCAAGTACCTGCTAAACATCCTCGTCGCTCGCGCAAGGTTGTCCAGGATGCTATGGATGAGGATAGGAAGCCGCTGGGTGATCTTGCACCGAGCGAGTTCTACGCTGAGGGCTGTGACGCCACAAGTTACGTTACCGTTGACGCGGGAATTGAGAAGCCGTCAGGGTTGTCCAAGGAGTTTGATGCTAACAGTGTGACACCAGAGAAGAAGAAGAAGCACGTCGTTGTTGATGAGGTACCCGCTGCAGTTGAGGAAGAGTCAATGACACCATCAGTATCTGAGGGCATCGTTGCTGCACCTGCTGCTGTTGACGTACCTGCCGTTGAGGCCGCTACTAAGACCACATCACAGTCATGTGAGGTACCTGTTGCAGCGTCATGAACCATGTTCCTTGCTTCTGCTTTATTCTTCTTCTCTTTCTGTCTACTTTGGACTACCCAATTGGCGTTTGAATTACCTCAAGGCGTTTCTATTAGCTTGTCACGATCATGTCCACGCTTGGTTACGTGTATACGATGGGATCAGGCGTTTTAGGTTTCTTGTCTATCCTTGTGATACCTTTACTGCAAGCATATAGCTGCTCACCTGTTACGCCTGAATAATACAAGAATTTATTTTCAACAGATATTCCTCTGCTGTGAACGCTGCTCTGATGATCGTGATGACTATACCGTGAGTTTCCCTTTGATCCGAGTGGCTTTGTCGTACTACGCAGTCTTGTCTATGGATTACCCTAGTTTCACTTCCGCGAGTGCGCGTCTGAAGTTCCTCTTCCTCCACGGCCGCCTCGGCCGCGCGGTACATACGAGCCATTCGCGTCGTGCTGACCACGACCACGCCTACGCGAAGGCGCAAAGTCACCTCGACCTTGAGCTGGCGGTACGAACTGTCCACGACCGCGCGAAGGAGCAAAGCCACCCTGATTATGGGCAGGCATAAACTGGCCACGACCGTACGAAGGCGCAAAGTCACCTCGGCCTTGACCAGGTACGAATTGCCCACCACGACCACGATGACCTCCGTTGAACGCACCCCTACCCCCACCTCTACCACGACTTCCATGCGTGTGCAGCGGCCAGAACTTCTCCCGCATATCTCTATCCACACCCGCACTTCTCTCCTCCATCGTGCGTAGGACAATCGGCCCGCTCTTTCCCTCTCTCACAAGCACCAGAGCGCGGTTCGGTCTCCGCTCCCGCTTCAACACATCCCTGAAGCGAACAAGCAGAGCGACGAGTTTTCTCAACGACTCCTGTTGTTTCGATTCCCATGTCTTCACTCTATCTGTCGCGTCTTCTTTCTTAACACGATTCACAGTCCCCATCCCTTTATCATAGGGTCCAGTGAAAAGTAAACTCGTGCGGCCGAACCAGAGCTGGTCTTGACATTGGACCAGACCCGCTCCTTCTGGGTTATACGCTTGCGTCTTGAGCTCTAGCATCTGGGAGGTGGGAATGATGTGGCCTTTTTGCAGGACGCGGATGGGGGCGTTGTATGTGAATTTTCCGCGTTCAGCAAGGCCTCCTTCGTTTGCTCCACGTACAGCTGCGGCTTCGGTTTGAGTAAGATCGTCCGGAATGAGGCCATCGTCGTAGGCATCTGCTTCGAAGCGACAGACGACGTTGAGGGGACCCATTGTGTAACGTATCGCACGGTAGTGACTTGTTGCATCTTCCATACCTTCGGTTGTCCGGGTGAAATCCTTCTCGAAATTGAAGCCGTAGCTCTTGCCGTCTGCATGTTTCCACCATCGTGATTCTCGGCGTACCTGAAAGGTGCGTGGACGAAGTTAATTTATGTCTCACAACCAGTTTGTACAGTGACTTTCTTACAATGACAAGCGTGTTGAAGACAAGGTAGATATTGAGCCGGAAAGGCCCGTTTGATTTGCCTTGGGCGAATTCTAGTAAGATACGGAGATTGTTTCGGTCTGCGAGGACATCGACGTCATGGAAATTGGTGTTTGGTGCCATGAGGTTCAGCGCATGGAACATTGGCAAGTATGGGTTCCTCGGCTGACGAGCGTAGTTGTAATCACTATATGTGAAGCCACTATCCGGTTTGAGTGTGTGTGGTAGAGGTGGTTGTTGCCACTTTGCTGGCTCACCCGGCACTAGATATACGTGAGTTTCTACGCAGTCAAGGTCTCGACGAATATTTGCCTGATGGCAGGTCGAAATCTACTTACCAAAGATGGTATTCGTGCCATCGTCAGAAGCTTGCCAGTTGTAACAACATAATAGTTCCGGATCTCGATCCCATACTACCTGTTCCGCTACCGGTATGAGTTCATCCTTGTCGATGGTCTCTAGGATCTCACCCGCGTCTTTTGCAATACTTTGGTCGAAGCGCTCTTTTTTCTTCTGCTGTTTCTTAGCTCTGACTGGATCGACCACAACTTCTTCTGTAAGCTTGATATCGGCTTCTTCTTCTTCTTCTTCTTCTTCTTCTTCTTCTTCATCCAAATCGGAATCCTCGTCCTCTTCGGGTGCGATGACGGGTTCTGTGTTGCTGTCGTCCTGCAGCTGCTGCCAGCTCGATCCTCCCAAGGCGAGAGCAATCTTGGACTCGAAAGACATGGTTGCTGAGCTCATGTTTGGTGCTACAGGATTATCCACAGGATTTGGCTTGATGGTATGTTGTTTTTTGAGGGTTATGAGGGGATTTTGATCCTGTTACGTCTGACCTGTGTCCTGTTCTTCCCCGCTTCCGTCCGTCACAGGGACCAGGGATGGAATTTTTCTCGCTGAAGGCTTCAATGAATAGTGAGTGAAGGGTCGAATTTAGGTTGCTTGACCAACGAACCGTGCATGCGGTCGTTCGGTAGTGCTCTTAGGAATCGTACTATTGAGAAAAATATGCGATGCGTAAAGTAACTCAAAACGAGAGATTCATACGCGGCCCCCAAAGTGAGTGTAGTGATAGATTGGGTTTGTTCTGCGGGTATCTAGATGTTGCGGATCAGGGGGATTATAATCGCACACGCAGCCAGCGTGCCGTACATAAACACAGACAGTATGTTTCAGATGTATGTGTATCGAACTGAGTTTAGGTCGCTGACAGACATGAAAGATGTAGTGTACAAAACGAGATTCTGGATTGCGCAGGAAGACGATACAGAACTCAGTTAGCGTTTCGCATAACAACATGTCGCGTATGATCCGCCCGCCGTACCGACCCCTACCGCGGCATGAGTCAAATGCACATGACAATATCGACAAGCTTATAAGAATCTCAGAGACCAGATATAGCATTGTTTCACTCCATTGTTCTAAACGTACATGTCCATATACTTTCAAACTATAGATATATGATCACAACTTCCATCCACGTTTCTTCGCAAGCGCCGTCTCCTGCCTGACCGCCAAATCCGCAATGATCTCCTCACTTCCACCACCAACAACCTGTGACAAATTAGCATAGGGTCGTAATATTCTGAGGAATCAAGCATACCATCATCCTCAAATCGCGACTGATTTGTTCAACGATAGCACCAGGCCCACCCTTCTGATATCCAGCGCCACCAAATATCTGCTGAGCCTCTCGATTCGCCATCTCAAGTATACGGCCACCATGTACCTTGCTCAAGGCGATTTGGCCCGCGATCTCAGGATCTTGCCAGCCGAGAGGCGATTGTTGGATGTGGTAAGCGAGTTGCTCTAGCCATGCCCAGTGGCTCTCTACATATCGACCGATCGTAGCTAATTTGTGCGCAATGATCTGATTCGAGATGAGGGGCTTGCCAAAAGTGTGTCGCTTGTGTGCGTAGTGGAATGATTCGCTCAGACAGGTTCGCGCTTTCCTGTTGCATCCTATACTCATGATGAAGCGTTCCTTATTGAAGTTTGTCATGACGATGCGAAAACCCTCATTCTCTTTACCGACAAGATTACTGACGGGAACGCGGACATCGTCGATTTCTACGAAGCTTGCGCCTCCGCCTTTCTGGCCGGAATTGGGTATGCGACGGTGCGTAAGACCGGGTGAGTTGGTGGGAACGACTAGTACAGAGATGCCACTGGCGCCTGGTCCACCAGTACGAACGGCGGTCGTCATATGTGTAGCCCATGGCATACCAGTGATCCATTTCTTGTATCCATTCACAATGTAGAACTGTCCGTCTTCGGTCTTTGTTGCAGTGGTTTGGAGGTTCGCGACATCGGACTGCACAGCAATATTAGCATTCTTCTTTCTAGTTCCCAGGAGAAGCATACATACCCCACCACCTGGCTCAGTGATGCCCAGGCAGAAACTTGTCTCCCAGGTAAATAACCCCGGCAACCACTTCTTCTTCTGCTCCTCGGTTCCATGATGCACGATCGGTGGAACGCCAATCACACTTCCACCCCCCAATGCGGTGCCCACGCCCCCCTCTATCCTACTATTCTCATCCGTCATGACCATCAAGTGGAACAAGTCCAAATCGCCAACCGGTATACCCGCTGGCCCCGGTATATTGCGTGGGCGATATGGTTCCGGCACATCAGCAAAGGCGAAGCCAGTCTGCGCCCACTTTAGTCGTTCCTGCGCGGGCGCTTCGCCAGCCTCTTCCCATTCCAACATATATGGCTTTATGTTCGTATCGATGTATGCGCGGCACGCATTGCGGAGTTTTTTGTGCGAATCATTGTAATAGGGAGACGCAAGGGAAGAGTACCATGAAGGTTCGCTCCATGGTGCCAAGTTGCCGAAGGTCTCTTTCTTTTGAGGTTGCATCACGGAGGGAAGAGGTGTCGTGGACTGGGGCTTTGGGTTCGCCATCGCGCTCGTTTCGTGTTGTTGCGTGACATGTTCGCAGGAACGAGGAGTCTATGTAAAGACCGCCGGATCCTACTATGGAGGAGTCGAGATGCCGCGGCTGAACGATGGTGATCATGTTGACTCGCGTGCTAAAATGCGGGGTTGCGTTGCTGATTCGCGCACCCCTGGGGGGTTAGCCCTACCATTACTTAGATGAAGAGAACATACCGTGCAAGTGTACAAAGATTTTATGTTCAACGCACCCTAGGGATTGTGAGTGAAAACAAATGAGATAGCGTCACGATAGGAAAGGATGGATTAATTGTGATGTGAAACCTGCGAAGCTTTATTGATGTCTCGATGCTATTTACACGGACACAAGACTTCCGGCAAGACGTCGTCCATTATTATATTCCTCCACTCGTATCTTCCTTCCGGAGTGACACGTTTACCTGACGCAGTAGCCACCGTCGATGAGGAGATCGGAACCAGTGCAGTAGGATGAGGCATCCGATGCGAAGTAGACGTAGGCACCCTTGAGCTCAGTAGCCTTGGCGTCACGACCCATGGGGATCATGGAGTGCCACAGCTTCTGGATGTCCTGTGGAACGAAGTCGGAGAGACCAGTATCGATGTATCCAGGGGAGATGGAGTTGACACGGGCAAAGTCCCTCCACTCGTTGGCGAGTGACTTGGCGAGGTGAATGCAGCCAGCCTTAGCAACGTTGTAGGAGGCCTGCTCCTGGGGGAAGTTGGCAATGTGGCCGGACATGGAGGAGGTGATGACGAGAGAGCCAGTCTTGCGCTCGCGGAAGTGGAGACCGACGGCACGGGCGCAGTTGAAGGTACCGGTCAAGTCGGTCTGGATGACCTCATTCCACTGCTCAACGGTAGCGTCGAGGATACCGTTGTCGGCAGTCTTTCCGGCGTTGGCGATGAAGACATCGACCTTGCCGAAGTCCTTGATGACGTCCTGGACGAGCTTCTCGCACTGAGCGTACTCATTGACCTGGCACTTGTAGGCCTTGACCTTGACACCGTACTTCTCGCTCATCTCCTTTGCGTTCTTCTCGGCACCCTCGGCGCGAGAGTTGTAGGTGATGGCGAGGTCGGCACCGTACTCAGCGCATCCTCGGGCAGCCTCTGTGCCAATACCGGTGGGACCGGAGGCACCGGTGACGATGACGACCTTGCCCTTAAGGCTGAAGAGGTCCTTGAGCTCGGTAGCTTGGGGAACGGTGATGGGCATTGCGGCGATTAGGTGGGTTTGTGAAGAGTAAAGAAGTTTGGGGTATATAAAATGGGAATTGAGTTGAAGTGTGATGTGATATGAAGATGAAAGCTGATTTGGAGGGGCACGGAGGGGTTCAAGTACTCTTTGGCAGCTGAAAAGACTTGATGGACAACTTCACGCATTAGTGGTTAGTGAGGGGCGCTGGGTCGACAGTGACGTGTGGCTCGTTCTAGGAGCCATCGGACGTCATGTCTCTGAGTTTGATTCGCCAATGGGGTTAGAAGGTGGACAGTCTGGCTCTAACATTCCACTGAGATCCTAGCGACAGACGGGGGTTGAGGTGGGTTGCTGTGACGTTCCTGCCCCTCTGTTAGCTTGCCTTACGGGAGCTTGGGCCATCTTTTCGAATGCTCCGGCGCGTGAACGCATCGCATCGCATCACTTTGCTTTTTTTCCCACGCGTTATTATCGTTCCCGTCGACTCCGTACTTGTCTTTCAATCACACGACATAATCGCCTTACGCGCATTGCCATCGGGGGTCTGGTTGAGTGTGCTCGAGCTGTCGCACGTTCTCAAAGTGGAACCCCATGATTGATACACGACATGCGTTGTCAGCGATTACGGCTTTGACAAAGATATTTGGCCGTGACAACCCTCGTATCTAGGCTGTTCATGCAGTCTGAAGCTGCCACGCTGCTAGCCCCGCCTCTTGTGCCATGTCGAAAGCCGATGCGTGTACAATCGGACCAGGCTCAGTTAGTCGAGCCGTACTGCCAACCCGGCTGAGGGAACAGTAATCGTTACTCAGCTCTTTCTTGCCTTGGTCTTCAATCCCGATCAGAGTGAATGAATCAGCTGCGTATTCGATCATGATTGAAGTCTCTGACAGACCCTGCATGTACAGTAGCTGCAGGCGAACATGGTAGCAGCTCCGAGAATCTCTGCGCATATCGAAACGTATCAAGCGGATCCGATCTGTCGAGCAAACCTTGGAATAGCCGGCCTAGAGCGCGTGTGATGCGGCAAAGCCGAAGGAAAACCGCGCATCCATGAAAAACTCCACGCGGGTGGAAGCTGCCTCTCAGCCATCGGTGATCTATCCACGGAGATACAATGGGGCTTTATTGACAATACATATGACGTTGCCGGTATCCGCCGTGAGCTGATCTAATCTGTCATTCCCCCATCGGTCCCGGACATGGGCAGTAGGAATTTAGTTTCTCCGATACCGCATCGGCACGTGACACTAACCATCGGCCAAACCTTTCATTTCATCTCAATAGATATCTACAGTGTCGTATCTGGCTCGGCGCGCAGTATGTGATCCAATATCAATGTCGCAGCTGCGAACGTGAATGCGTGTAGAACCTACTAGCCAGATTAGCCAAGCACCTGCCACCGGGTCTGATGCAGCCCTCTGATTCGCAGCGCAATGGAGCTCTACACCATACTTTTGCTCCTGCTTCATCTGCCCCTGAAGCCCGATAGCTAACACGTAAACTCTCTCCAAATCTTCCCAGACATTCCTCACCACATACCCGTTAGAGACCCGTAAGCCCGCAACGATGGTACAGAACGCGCTCCTCCCGAAGCCGCTCCCCGCAGACTCCCTTGTCGTTGGCCAACTGGTCACAGAGCCACTACACCCAGAACGCGAATCTTTCTACCCCGATAAGGCACATGCAGAGGTGGACGATCTGAATGACTTCCATATCCAGCTCCGTTACAAAGACCTCTACTCGGTCGATGCCGAAGGCCGATTCACAACCAACTATGGCGCGAGGTTCGATTTGGGAAAGATATACAGACAGCCTAATCTGCTTACTGTCAAGGCCGAGCAGATGATACAGCGGACCACGCAGTCATCATCAAGGGCCTTCCAAGCTGTGTGCAGCGACCCCGAAGCACGCATCTGGATGGCCGAGCAGATCAGGGCGGGCAAGCCCCTCTACATCGTCCTTGGCCTGACCGAGCTCAAGAACGCAACTTTCAAGCGCGCCAAACTGCGTGATGCAGGTGCCTCGAACCGTATCAATGAAACGCCCATCGAAAGGGACGCCAAAGTTCCTGGGTCCTTACGTGGCAGGTCCGAAGGCAGTTTGGGTGACATCGGCACCGAGCCATCTATATCAGGCGTGTTTGGCATGGATGTGCGACACGTTGCAGCGAGGATCACAACGCCTGTGGAGCCACATAGGCTGGAAGACATTGGATACAGGTGGTACTACTATGACGTACCGGATTCTCAGGACAAGGAACAGCTGATGGTGGGACTGGGCGAGCAGTTGAAGGCGAACGAACTTCGTTTGATGCTCGACCTCACAGAGGACGACGTTCAGGGCAATCTCGACGCCATCAGCAAGCTCAGTCTCGATGCGTTGAGCGCTACAGCGAGCCCAATGCTTAAGCCTAGTACGCCGATGCTGAGAGGACGCTCGCCTTCTCCTCATCCTACCATGCTCCGCTCTTAGTATCGCATCCTTTCTGACGGTTATATGTTCCGAGTTACGAATAACGGTCGACATGTTTCGAAGCATCGATTTGAGTCATGGATACGTATGATAGACTAATCTTGAGCGTTTTGGGCATATGTGTATGATTCTTACGGCCTGACATCTCTCTACTCTTTTCCTTGCATAGTTATACATTTGCTTTCCTCCTTTGACCTCATCTCATCTGTAACTCTCATGTCACCTCACCGAGGCTCAAAATCTACAAGCTTTTTTTCCAATGAAACATAGTATCAATGTTATTTTGTAACGACAGGAGCTTTTTAGTGACTGTGTGATGAGCTTACATTTCCATCTGAATCAGCAAGGGAAGGCGTAGTGCAAAAGCGCTCTATTAATACCTATACAGCAGTCACAAAGCACACTACCAAACTTGTCAGCTTGCTTCTCTCTTTTTTTAGTCTATCTCTGACTCAGCAAGACTCAGTTGTTGCGCCTCCGCTGCTGACCGCGCGCACTACGCAATAACCCTCTCACGCGATCCATGCCGCGTTCTCGACGATTGCGAGTACCATGACCAGAAAAAGCACCAGTTGGTCCATCTGACTGCGCCGCTACATCTTCCCATACGCCATTTCTAAGCCAAACAGCTCGGCAGAGAGGACATGTCTTATCCCTATTCCACTGTCGACTTAAAAACTCTTTGAGACAATTTTGGCCGATCATGTGTTCACAGCCTACGATTCCCTTGATCTTGACGCAGTCGTGAGCGGTAGCGTCCTCCATACAGATGGGACAATCTGTGTTGGTTGTGTTGGTTGTATTGGCGGCAGTGAGGGGTTCGGTGTGCTGTGCGATGAAATGGTTGATACGCCGTTCGCTCCTCTCTGTGGGCACACTGTCTTCTGATACGGGGTTGGGATCAAACTCCTCAGGGAAATAGCTATACAGTACAGATCCTAGGTCGTACATGTCTTCCTCTGGCTCAGTTGGAAGATGATCGAAAGGGAGATAGTCACCTGGCTGAAAGCCTTGGTGCGGTATGCGCTCGATGTGGCTTTGGAAGAGGATGCCGCTCCTCGACGAATGACGGGCTGGTTCAAAGCTGTGTAGCATGAACTCAGGACGAGTAGCGGAACGATCTCTAGAAAAGATGGGGTGGCTGAAGGCGTCCTCTAATTCGCTGATGTGAAGTCCGCTGATATCAGGAATATGGTTTTGCCCATCCTGATTGAAGGGAAACCGTGAACCGACAGAGTTGCACCTATGGCTTTCGTGACTCTGTCGCAAGCCGCCAAGCCTGCGGTCAAGGTTCGACATTGCTTCCTCAAGTGCGTTCATAGAGTCACGTATGTGATTGCCGTAGTCTGGGATAGGGAAATCGTCGTCGTAGCGGGAAACGTTGAGGGTAGACCAGGGAGTAACAGCAGCATTTCTGAATGGCTGATTTCGATGATTATGGGAGTGTCTAGCTTGAGGTCTGCCGCCTCGAGAGGCTCGGTGGGTGGTGTAGCTACCACCAAAATGATGTCCACGTCCACAGGATCTGGGAGGAGTGCGGCCACGGGAGCCTGTTTTGATACGTGAATGACTGAACATTTGAACGTTTTCTGCAGCCTGTATGAACCTGAAGAGTGAAAATCGTTGTTTGTTCGACGATCTGTAGTTGAGACCGTGTTTTAGTGGACCACGAATGAGAAGTGCAAAAGGATGTAATTTATATGAGCATGGACGCTTGCGTGAAAGAGTACCTGGGAGGTAAGACTGATGCAGATCGGGATGAAACTTTGGCTGGGACGATGTTGTTGCAGTTGTTGTGAACTGTCCACGTCCATAGGTCTTCAGGACTAAGTGAATGTTACTAAGGACTATCCGCCATAGGTTCGGCATGTCATCATATCGGGAACGTAGATGTGAACAGTATCTGGAGCTCCGGAAATAACACAGAAGTCTCACAATGGGTATGCATTATGTCTCTCTTATTTCTTCCCTTTCTTCTTTGTGTCACCCTCTTTACCCTCTTTCGTAAAGCCGCCTAGCACCAAGGCCTCTCTTGCCGCGGTGTTGATGATGCGAAAGCGGTCGGGACCCAAAAGTATGCCGCCATACCACCTTGTGACAATAACCATAACGTTCCAAACGTCCATTAGTTGCATCAGGTGCAACATGCGAGATCCGGCGGCAGTCTCGCCATCATCGTCGCAGTCTTGATAGCTTGTATCGTTTGGGCCTTTGATCCGCCAGGCAGTCATGTTATGAGTCGCGCGAGCAGCCTTCTTGTCTGTCGCTAAGAGATGCGCAACATACTGTCTGGCTTGAGCAGGCGATGATACTGGTGCTACGCGGGCTAAGAAGACTGATTTCTTCTCGGTAAGTGCAGGTGCTACGATCCATGGTGGTTCCGGTCCTAAATCGACGGTTGGATCAGGTATCGTGTGGGAAGCATCCTCAACTTCGACGTAATGGTCCTCATGTTGATCGTGTAGTTGGATATCTCCTTGTTGTTCCCCTTGCTCCAAGGCTTCTTTTGCTTCTTCGAGTAGGTCGTAGATACATGCTTCGCCCGGTTGGTAGACCTTTGCCAGAACTTCTCTTACAACATCGACAGCACGACTACCCATGCCCTTGGGTACATCCTGGCCCACGCTCTGTGTGCCTAGCACGGATGGTGGTGCGTCCGGATAGTCTGCAGGAAATTCTATGCGAAGTGTTATCGATGGCAACGAAGGCAGTCGCAGGCTATATAATCTTGCGTCTTCATCTAGGGCCGATAGGGTTCCTTCGTCAAAGATAGCGTTGAGCGAGGTGACTTCATCTTGGATGGCATCGTTTGCGGACATGGTTGTTCTTTCCTTGGCCGAATGGCGGGGTGGAACTAAGCGGAAGGCGCGCTAGCTTAGCGCCATTGGCGCTCGAAAACATCAACACCTTGCGACGCTCGCGTCAAACCTCCTTCCCCACCACGAACCTCTTTGTCGCAACCGCACGTCGCAGAAAATGGCGCCCAATGATGATGTCAAGCGCGCGACAAGTGTGTTAACAATCGCACAGATCAAATTCAAGCAAGCAATGAAAAAGACAGATACCGGAGATCGTCTTCCAATCCCAGTCGAAGTTAGCTCGCAGCTCTTCAGCAGCATAGATGCTGTTCTTAAGCAGAACACGCGTGTGAACATCCAGGTATCTAACTTTAAAGCCATTGATCGCATGTCCCTGGGAGCAGACTAATTTGCCGTTCGTAGAAATGCACAGAGTGGATCGTGAAGCACGTAGCTCCCTCCAAGGCTCGGATCGCCATCCTCGGTGACTATCTCATCGCTGTCTCCAAGTCCATTGTTGTAGACCAGAGTGCTCCAGGACCAGCAAAGAAAGCGGCCCGCAACCGGATGGATTTGTTGCTGATTGTCAACGATGTCCTGCATACTGACAAGTTCCATCGTCGCAACACGATAAAGCAGGGTATCTTCAGCGACGAATGCGAGAGCTTTGTTGTTGATTTGATCGAACAAGCAGCCGCATATATCACTGAGAGGGCATCACAGCTAGAGTTGAAACTTAGAGCCATTATCAACTACTGGTCTGTCAATAGGCTCCTCAGTACAGAGAGTCTCAAAACCTGTCGGGAAAAGGCAGATGAAGCCTTGCTCATTGCCCAAGGTGGCATGCCTGTCCGCAAGCGCAATTACCTCCTGCCAGAGTTCCACGGCGACCGATATGCCCCATGGCACGATCTCCCCGCATCATACATGCTCGAGCAGATGATCAAGTACCCGAAACGCCCAATCAACCCCTCCAAAATCCGGGTCAAGAGGCTAGACAAGAAGCCTGTCAGCCCTCACATTCGCAATCTGCTCGACAACTTCTTCGAAAAGATCGATCTCAAGTACCTGCCAACGGGCGATAATCCGACGAGCGAGACGACCAAGTACAAGCTATCGTTGGACCCCATGGGTCAGTTGGTCAAGCAGAACAAGGAGACTGGCGAGACAGTGACAGTGGCAAACGGATATGGTTGGTCGCCGAAGTTTTGTCAAGATATGCAGAAGTTCGGCGTTCCGGAAAACATCAAGATTGCGCGAGAAGATGCTGAGCGTATGGAGGACATGGACGATCTGCCAGTCACGTCGGTGGCGCGTCGTGATGACCGACATAGTAGGCCTACTACTTCTTCGTCAGATTCGGATTACAGGCGGGAGCGAATGGGATACAATCGTAGTCGAAGTCGTAGTTACTCTCGTCGTTCCTCCGGGTCGTACGACGATGATCGCTCGCCTCCACGTCGAAGATTCCGCGAAGAAAATCAAGGGCGCCGCAGGGTCTCGCCTTCGCCATCTTCTAAGCCCACACGTCAAGAGCTTGAGCAGAGAGGACTCGTTGAGTCAGGACGGCATTCAAGGGCATACGACAAAGATGGGTCTCAACTTGCATCGCAGTATAATGGTCCGAACAGGAATAGCCAGGGCAGCCCGGGTAATCATCAGCACCATGCTCCGCCCATGCCGACCCAGAACTACGGTCAACCATATTCTCAGCCTCCGCAAGCGCCTTTCAACGCGCCGCCGTTTCCGCCGCAGCATATGCCCCCGTTCGATGTCCCACCGCCTCCCCCGCCGCAATTCCAGGGACCTGGAGGCTTTGTTCCTCCTCCCCCGCCCCCCAACTTCAACGGTGCATGGGTACCTCCCCCTCCGCCTCCCAATTTCAACGGCGGATGGCCTCATCCTCTTCCTCCAAACATGAATATGCCGCCCTATGGTCCACAACAGAGTAGCCCGCATGGAGACCAATACGGCAACCAAGGTGGTAATCAATACGGCAACCAAGGCGGCAACCAGTACGGCAACAATGGTCAGTATGGTCAGAATCGAGGTGGCTACCAAGGGGGACGTGGCCATGGTGGACAGCGTGGCGGCAACAGAGGCGGTTGGAGGGGAACTGGGCGTGGCGGGCGATACTAAAATCAGTTGGAGAGGCCTATGGGCATTGTGTGCATGCATATCTGGTGGAGCGTGTCTTGATGTGTGGAAAGCTGTAGGATACCTAGTTCATGATGGCGATCATGTTGAGGAAGCATGTATAGGTCTATAGCGGATTTGATAGTCGGGCTATCGGCGGCTTATCCATAGCTTGCCTGACAGGTTCTTGTACACTCCATTTGCTTCTTTGTCCCCACGTGCTGTGATGACAAAAGTAACTTGCGCAATCATCATGCATTGGGCCTAGCACTTTAAGCACAAAGAGAACCCGGGACTTATTTGAGATCTCAGTGCCTATTGACAAATCATCTCTTGCGTCGAATTATACCCTGGGTCCTCAATTTGAACCGATACTATCACCTATTCTCGTGGTTGTGAAGTCTCTTACTAGTCAGGGACGCGTCGTGACGCGTTCACCGCCCGCAGGGGTCGTCATTCGGTTCGCGGATAGTTCCGCACTCATCATCACTCACTGTCACCCTCACCTGCCAACAGCCCAGGCGCATTGGTATTTCCACATTCTCTTTCCCACAATGGAGCTAACCTACTTGGATAACATCTCAGTTGGATGTCGCGCGTAATGGCGCACTCCAAGAGGAAGCGCAATTCTACCAGAACCAAACCAAGCAAACGAGCGCGGTGCATCGATTCCAGCGAAAGCGAACCCACCAACGACACCCTATGGGCAGCAGAGCACATTTTGGACGAGAAAATCATCCGTGGAGTGCGCACTTATCACATTAAATGGAAAGGCCTTGACCCGGAAACTGGCAAGGCGTGGGAACCAACCTGGGAGCCAGAAGAGAACGCGAACGACTTGCTTGTCGCTCACTGGGAGCAAGAGAAAGCGCGAGATTTGGAAGAAGTCCGCCGAATATTGCGAAGAAGCAGCAGAGGACAGTCTGAGCAACGGCAAAACGCTCAAGAACAGAGGCGCATTCGTAATTCCTGTGTCATTGACAGCAGCCCAGAACCTGCCATCTGCTCCTCTACATCTTCAACACCTCTCAACGATCAAAGAGGCCCGCAAACCTCAGCCAGTGCCACAGCACCAGCAGCCCGCATTTCACCTCGCATTCAGATCGCACGACGTGGCGAAAGTCTTGAAAGAGACGAATACGCGCGCTTCTCCCAGATCGCCTCGTCTGGGCCTGGTTCGACTCAAGCACCTACTCAAGACACCAACCTCGATAGCTCGCAGCTGTTTGCTGCACGGCCACAACCCCTCCTTTCCGGCGTAGTTGCAGATTCGCAAAGCTCCATTGGCGAAGGAAGCTTTGCTCCGATTGTTCAGCATACTGGAGATACAAGCCAGCAAAGCACATATACAAACGAGTCGCACATCGAGGAGGACGTTGTCGAAGACTCGGTACGTTTGCTTCTTGTTTTTCTACGAGTTAGCATATCTACTAACTACTACTTGCAGGGTCTCCTTGAACTGATAGAGGAAGCCGCACGACACGCCACATCGCCTACACGATCCATCCCTGAGACCATCCCCGATATCACCACAGCAGAATCACAAGCTGCTCCGACGACAGCCGAATTTGTATATATCTCGTCACAGGTGGACCAGGCGTCGAGCCAAGAGCTTGAGGATAGCGTGCCTATCCAACCCAGCGGAGACGCCCAGAGTGTTGCACAAGTCGAGTATATAAGAGAAGACCCTAACTGGCTCGAAACGCGACAGTCTGATCACATCGACACTCAGGTTTGTCCAGCTCAAGCCGTCTGCGAGATAACCTCAGATAGAGGAGAGAGCACACAGAGCGAACATCTGCCTTTGAGCCCAACCTCTGCAGACATTACAGGAGACGCTTCGACAGATGTCGCGGACGTAGCTGAAACCCCATCCTTTCTGAACAAATCCTTTACGCTGGTAGGCAACAGCCAACCGCATCATTCCGAACGGAGCAACGAAGCTAGCGGTATACAATTCGCGGTCGGCAGCATTGACGAGGCGTCGCAACATCAGACATCCCAGCAAAATAGCGTTCGTGACAGTCAGCCCAGTCTAACCGAACACTCGCTACTGGAAGACAACGAACAGTTCCCCTTTCAGTCTCAGCATCCGTTTGCACCATATCAGCCTTTACAAGAACTTCTCACTGCCGTTCCAGACCAGCTAGAACATACTTGCGCGACACCACTTAACCATCCAGGACAAGTGCTTACCAGGGTTAGTGTGCCAAGCCTGGCCTTTCCGGCGCCGGCGTCCGACCCACCTCACCAATCAATACAAGCATCACCAAACAATCCCCAGGTTCACGACGACGCGCCAGTAGTATCTCTGCAATCTGATTCCGCTCTTGGTCACGGCACTCTGCCACCAGATCAACCCGAAGCAAACAAGACTTTCCATGCTCAGTTGCTCTACGCTTCCTTTAGCCCTGAACGTGAGCAGCACGCGCAAGTACTACCTCTCGAGGCAGATCTAAGCACCCAAGACGACACGCTGGAGAGTATAAGGACTACCATCGAGAAAGAGTCAGTGCATCGAGCTAGCTCTGAATCTCGTCACGACTCATCTCAGGAGACTCCGGAACGGCTGTCAAGGTCACTCAATCACGAAACCTCGCCAGTCCTTTACCCACCAAGCTATTCCCTAAGAACTCAAGAATCCAGACTTCCATCACGACCTTGTACACCTATTTCTACTTCATCGCCATCAATCATGTCGGGTGAGAGCGCTGCGGAAAATGTCCATCGACGGCTGCAAGAGGACATTGCCAAACGCCTCGCAGCTTCCAGAGCTTCTAGAGGGCGCCCTGGCAGGTCGTCTATCACGTCTTCAGTAACAGGAGGTGGATCATCAGCTACTTCTACACCTTTGAGCAGATTACGGACAAATGAACCGCCAGAAGGCACTCGTTCGCCTTCTGCTGTGCCCGACCGTTCGCCTGTTGCGCAAACACCAACATCACTAAGAAACATTGCCTATGCCACTAGTAATACACCATTAGAAGCGCCACCGTTGGACAAGATCATGATTTCGCTGCCAGATGCTCCCCCAGAACCTACTATCGCTGAAGATCCAACCCTGTCTGAACCTATCGCACCAGTACCGACGTCCCCCGCTTCTGACGAAATGGATGTTAGTGATGCAGATGACGAGGATAGCGACAGTCTACTCAATGACGACTTGCAGTTAGCTGATCAAGAGTTCATCGTGCCGTTGTTCATACAAGGCCGACAAAGCGACACGTACGCCCAGTACATCTCGTCCAAAAAGGACTTGTTGGATCGCTTTCTCAAAGATCCTCGGAGTGTGAGCCCCATCGAAGAAGTCAAGAATATCTTGTCCCAACTCCGGGCTATTGAAACACACATGGACTTGGTCTTCGCTGAAGCCGAAATAGAAGATTTGAACGGCGAGGCTTCGTCGACGCAAGCTGAACATGCCGCTCGATTTGGTATGGAAAACTCGACCAAGTTCAGGTTCTTAGCCAGACTTTTCCAGGAATTGCGAAACTCCGAGCCGCAGAAACATCTTGTTTTGGTCACGGAACGGAACAATGAGACTCTGTTCCGGATCATCCAGACCTTCTGTAAGGCAAACTTGATCAAATACACTATGCCTGGCAGAGACTGGAATGTAGACCGCAAAGAGACCGAGGGTAGCTTACTGGTCACCGTTATACCGAGTGATGCATCGCCCATCATACATGCTCCCGATCTGATCATCTGCCTTGATGGCGTGCAGGACGCAGCACAGATTCGGAAGAAGAACTGGGCAAACTCTCCCGACCGCGATGTGGTGCCAGTGATCCATCTAGTCATTCCAAGGACTGTCGGCCACCTTGAGCGGTATGTAGCATCGAGTCTGGACCCAGTAGAGCGTATGCATACTATTCTGGCAAGTCTGGCGCATGTTCGCCCCGATGTTGGAAAAGCCATCGACGACCGAACGCCACGAGACGTTGAATGCGCCTCAGAAGTCGCCGGCTGGATCGAGAACATAATGGAAGGGGCCGAATGGCCATTGCCGTCTATTGGTAGCGTCAAGGATGTCATTGAGTATCAGACGCAGTTGTCGCAACCCTCTACTGATACGCCTATACCTGAGCGTACCAAGCGCCCTTTGGATGAAGAAGACCTTGACCCGGCAAAGCGTATGCGCTTCACACCACAACCACAAAGAGCTTCCGTTGCAGAGAAGGAGCACGAGGTCACGCATATAAGCGACTCTATGCCCGGAACTGCTGCACCCGAGCTTGATTTGCAGAGAGCATCCGCTCCTGCTGACAAAGCGGTTCGAGAGGAGCAAGAAGCCCATAGGGCAGAACAGAGGCACTTTCGAGAGAGTGAGATAATGTGGGACAAACAGCAGGGGAAGCATGAAGATCTCGCCCGTGATTATCGTGTTCAGAAGGGGAAATTGAGCGCTGCAGAGACCAGAGTGGAAACGTTGACCAAGAATAACGTTACTCTTACCGAGCGCCTTACAACACGTACCGCAGAGATGCGCGACCTAGACCAGCAGCTACAGGAACAGCGAGCTACCGATCTTCTCTCGCCTGATGCACAGATCGCCGAGATCACTAAGCTTCGCAAAGAACTTGCTGAAGCACGCGCGGAGAAAGACAAAGCAATACAGAACGCTTCGAGTGCGGAAAGTCTGCTGGAATATACGAGAGGAGCCTACCAAGATGCGCAAAACGCTGCTTCTTCCAATGCTGCCCGCGTTAAAGAGCTTGAAGAAGAAGTGAAGAAACTCTCGTCTGCAGCTTCAGGGGAAGCAACAAAGCGGAAGGGCATGCACTTGAATCAGAACTACGATCGACAGCATAAGCAAATCGCGAGCCTGGAGGCACAGTTGACTATTTACAAGCGTACGCTGCAGAGCAAGGAAGAAGAGATTGTTCGTCTGAGGAGCGTTGGCAGACCGGGTGTGGGCACCAGAGGCACGAGTGCAACACCTCAACCCAAGACCAGGAGTAGAGCTGGTAGTCCCACTTTCATAGGCGGCAGAGTTTCGAACT